CGTGAGGGTTGACCAACATCATCAATGTCGTTGAAATCATTGACTCCGATTTGAGGATGTATCAATAGGTCATGGATCTTTGAAGCATGATGACATTCATGAGGAGTGCATTCGTAAGTTCCAAGATCAACGTAGGGGATGTTGTCATGGATTGTCAAATCGATGCGTTCTCCATTCTTCGTAATCATGAAAGGCATTTGATCAGATGGCCATACAAAGGAATATCCTTCTTCCATGCATCGTTTCCCAAGAGACATCACGGACGGAGTGTCGTCCAGTACATAGGCATGAGAGGTCACATCAAAGGTTCCCAGGTCAATCTCTGCTTCTGTCTGAGTAGCAGTTGAACCGTTGGCTGTGTGGAACATGATAGGATCACAAGTTCGTTGCTTCAAGTTCATCCTTTCGGCTTTCCTTGCAGAAATCAGATCATGCCCGCTGCCAGAATCCAGGATGAATCTACGATCTTTGGCTTGCACTGGTAGTGAAATGCACATTATGTTCTTGGACTTCATGAGGGAGTTTCCAACTTCGTGTTCAACAAGGTCTTCAGTAAAAGACAAGTCATCACGATCATTGCCCAGTTTGATCAACATGTCGAACTTGGGGCCAATAATGATTCTAACTTCATCAACAAAACGATGGAGTCCACATCTGTCCATGATGATAGCCTTGGCCCGTGCTCGGACTGAACCGAGGGTGTTGTCGGACTTGGACTGATCGTCGGTCAAATCATCGACTTTCCAGAAAACATATTGCTTGTTGGGGTCACGATACATACGTTTGGGTAGTCCCTCCTGGTAGTCCTCAATGGCGATCTCGTGCACCTCAGGTTCCAGATCAAATGAGATCCTGCGATCATCAGAAGACTTCTTTGCACTGGCTATCCTCGGTGAGGTATAATCCATAGAATCTTCATTGTCGCTATCAAAGAAGGAGTCAATGGTAATGGGAGTCGCCTTCTTCTTTGGTGTCTTCTTGCTGGTTCTCTCTGAGGATGCTGAGGGCGATTTGTCTGCATGTAGGAATTTACATTTGTTTCCGAACTTGCAGGTACCTTCTTGCCAATTCCAACATACCTTCTTTTTGGGTCCAGCTGAAGATGAACTTCCTCTACCTTTCCCTCTTGATGAATCTCTACTTCCGCTTCTGCCTTTCTTACCTTTCATCTTGGCATCATAGACCTTCTGAGAATGACTGTAAAGACATTTGTCACCTTTGTTCCATCCTCCTTTATTGAAGAAGTAGTTACAGAAAATCTTCTTCTTGTCAACGGGTGAAGATGATCTTCCCTTCCCACCTTTGCCTTTCTTGTTGTTCTTGTCGGCATGGGATTTCGGAGAAGGTGTAGGAAGTACCGATGCAGCTTCACTCTTCGCTTTCGCCTTAGGACGTTTGGGAGGATCACCTGTAGACGATGCGGCCGCTTCATTCTCCTTCTTGGTCTTGACGGGAGCGGCAGGCTTGTCTGCATCTTCTAAGGCAGGTGTCGTCTTGTTAGAGGACAATGACAGTTTCACTGCACGTTCTCTATCTTTCAACAGTCGTTCTTGCTTCCCTCGTGCTATGTATCCCTTGATCATACCAGTTAGGTAAGCATAGGTCTTCTCAGGATGCCCTTCATCAAAGGTTTTGTATCGGTTGATATCGAAGGCCATAAGCTTTGAATGTTCAATCTTCCGGAACAACGTGTCACGCAGGGAATTGTTGGAAGGCAGATCATCATGTTTCATGTTGTATACGATGTCAAGCCATTTGTTGTAGAAGGCCTCAAGTTGGTCATCTCCATAGTAGTTGAACATATACAAATGATGGGCATTGTAGAGAACTTCAGTGTGGTCAGGTGACTTGAAGCTAATCAATATCATTGCGAATAGTTCTCGTCCCTTGATGAAGTCCCCACTTCTCCCATACAATTGGTTCTTCATGGACATGTCATACTTCACTTGCATAGACTTGTCCCCAGCATTGTCAATGACTTTTCTCAAGGCATTGGAGAGCTTGGCATCAATGGATTGGAATCTCACATCAGGAGCTTTGGCCAGCGCTTCCAAGTCAGGTTGATCTGCAAGACACGGAGCTAGCCATGCTTTCCAATCTTCATAGTTTCGATCCCCACTTGCAACACAAACTTCATGAACAACACTTCCCTTCCAGGATGAAAGTTCAGTGGTCTTAGGCCAGGGTTGGAGGCTGATCTTTTCGGCTTCTCTTAGAGATACGGATGACTTGGATCTATCCCTTTCAAGGTTCTCCAACTCCTTGACATTGGTGTTGTACTCGTTCCTGAGCTTCTCGAAGGCTTCAGCTTCTGCTCGGTATTCCTGCTCTTCATCGTTGGCGCGATCTTCAGCTTGAGAGAAATTGTTCTTGTAGTAATCTTTCCGATCTTCCATCTTCTTCAACTCATCTTGAAGATTTCGAATTTCATTGTTCTTCTCCTGCTTCATCTCGTCCAACTCGGCTTTCAGTTTGGCACACTTCTCTTCACACTCATTCCGAGGCATAGCATTACTGGGGTACCCATGTAATGTAGTCGGTCTATTCATTGATGAAGAATAATGAGCTTGATTTTCCAACTTCAGGGCAGCAATAGTACTCGACATCTCTTCTACCTCAGCGAAACGCTCATTAGCCAATTGATGCATCTCGGTCAAGTGGCTTTCAGGAATGGAATAGTCAGTCGCACCTTTGATCACGAGTCTTCTGTCGTTCAACATCTTGATGGACTTACCTGCATCCCTGTGAGCACGCTCAAGAGAATCCTTTTGGGCTTCAAGTTCAGTATGAAGGCGAGCAATAGCTGTGTCCCTGTCATTGAGTTCATTGTGCAAACTGTCGAACAAGTTACTCGTCACATTCGGATTGTTGCTCATGTGATCGATCTTGTTCAGAGCATCTTGATACTTCTTACCAGTTTCATCGAAGTTTCGCTGGAAGACTTTGAGCAGGTCCTCAGTGTCAATGAGTTCAGCTCTGTTCTGTAAGTACAACTTGTCAACCTCAGCCTTAGATTCCTTCAAGCTGTCACGTTCACGCACGGCTTGCATGTACATCTCATAGAGAGGTCCTCCATGCGGTGATCTGCTTGGTGATGATCTTCTGGCTTGTTGACAGGAAAGTTCATGATACTGATTCTTCGATTCAGTCAGTTGTTGTTGCATTCGATCCAAAAGACTTTGTTTCATGTGTAGTTCAGAACGTAGTCCCATTAACCTCATGTCCCGCATGCCGCCTGATTCAGCTAGAGATTCTTCAGATACTCTGTTCTCAGAAATCGTTAATCGAGATTGTAAGTTCTCATTGTGGATCACCTGCAATCGAAGTTGCGATTCTTCCAAAGCTAAGTGGTGTTCACATTCTGCATAACGGTCATGTTCAGATCTTATGTTACTACGGAACTCCTTCATGATCTCGTCCCTCTTCATGTCAGCAGCATCTAACTCAGTTTCCAGTCGTCTGACGTTCATGGCCATGGTGTGCTTCATCGTCTGGTTCTGATTGGCAACCTCGAGCATCTCGATCTGTAAAGCACATGTCTGGTCGTTGGCATAGCCGACCGCTAGAGCTTCCTGCTTGGCATTCATCTCTGCGTTTTCCAGTTCCAGTCTGAGTTGATTGATGCGAGCATTAGCATCAGCGCCCACATGCACCATAATTGCGTTCGCTTGTCCCATTTGTTCATCGAATTCCGAACGTAGTCGTGAATATTTGAATTCCAAATGAGATGCAGCTTCATTCGACATAGTCTGATACCTTTCCAACTCTTCGATCCTGTAGGTCGCACCTTCGTCTTCTTGTTGCGCAGCCTGTAACTCGAAGTTTAGCATCTGGAGTTGTTCGGTCATCGACATCATCTCTTGATGAGTGGTGCTCTCCAGGAAATTAAATTGTTGATAGGCATATGCTGTCGTCTCGCTCAATCTTGCCTGAAGTACAGATTCTTCTTCAGTGGCCTTTTCCAGTGATGTTTTGTATTCAGCTAGTTCACTCTGATAGGCAGTGAAGATGTCGCTACCACTTGACGGGGCGTTCACTTGTTGATAAGATCCTGTCCCTGATGGAGTAGCGTCCTGAATCGGTGAAGGCGGATTCGACGACGTAGTCTTTGCCTTGGTCCTTGGAGTCATCGGAGGCGACAATTGTCGTGCAGATGATCTTCTCTTTCCAGGGGTGCTGTCCCTATCTTCAATTGCTTGCATTGTCGAAATTTGTCTCCCTCTAGGAGCAACCAGATGTCGTCTGGGTTGGCTTGTTCTCAATTCTGAGGCATCGCTTCCACCAGTGTCGATACTCTGTGAAGAATTTGACTGCGTGCCGGCAGCTGGTGCAACGGCATGTCCAGAGAAAGAAAATGCATTATCGCTGCTATCCTGTTCAGTCATCTGTAAGGCCCGCGGCTACCCGCTCGTAGGCTCCGTAGGAGTCCTACGGCTGATAACCTGTGAATCGGAGGTTGTCACTCCGACTATGTATTGATGTTGGTTCTTGAAAGAGTCGTCTTCAATGGCGATGACAAGTGAATAGCGGCTTCCGCATGGCTTTGCTCTTTTCCGGTACTGCAGTGGGTCTTGAGCCAAAGGGGCGAGTTGATGTACCCCTTGGCTGTGGATCTTTGAGGGCTGAATTATGTGGTAGTGTACAATGGTCCGTAGCCTACACTCTATTCACATATTATATTATATATTATATTATATATTATATTTTTATTATATTATGTTATATTATATTATATTGTAGTGTGTATATAGATAATTATGTATATATGTATATTACAAATATATGTATATATACATAAGTATATATATATATATGTAATCATAATATATATATATATATACATACGTATATGTACGTATATATCATCACATCACCAATACTTCTCATGCATTGCCTGACATTTTTCAGCACTGGTTTGATGACCTTGGGAAGGAATCGTGAACCACCCAAACGTCAAGTGAATGTCACAAGTGATTATCCCCCATCCTGCTGGTCGGTCATTTTCTTTTCGCTCGTTGCTAAATATCGAAATCAATTTTCTCCTCTTCTTTTTCTGCCTTAGAAGGTGTTGTCGCTGGCTTGTGAAGGTAAAAAAACACCAACCTGATTTGATGGGGGCTACATGTTCTGTCTGTTGACTTCTTGCAGCAGATGGAAACATCTAGCATTGAGTGTTTACCCTATTTGAGACCGAATCACATCCAAGCTCATTATTCAGAAGGGGACCACCAATAAGCCATAAGCAAGGTTCAATCACGTCTTTCAAATAATGAGTCATGTTCAATTCCGCATCTTGACGTGCAAAGATATGCAAAGTCCACATTTGTATTGGGTTCTGTCTCCACAACTCGTGGTTTCCAGAGCAAGAGTCAAAAACGTTCAAAAACATCATCCAAGAACAAACTTACATCATTGCCCTAGTTCCACCTCTACTCAGGCTATATGGCTATGAGTCAAAACCCTGGGACACTAGATAGCTTAAATAGCTGGCTAATGGCTGTTTATTACTCCAAAGATGGTCACAATGGGTTTTGACAAATATCCATATTCATCTCCCATTCTTTGCTAAGATTCCATGTGCCCAACCTTTTGTGATTCGTCCGTCGGGACCCGGGCCGCTTCCAAATCCGCCTTGAAGCGTTTGAAGCGCCTGGCGTGGCGAAAAATGGTAGGATCATCCATAAATAGGAATCCAAACATCATGGCTATAACATGATGTATATGGGTGTATATGTGTATATTTCTATATATATATATATGTCATATGTGTATGTTTAAATGTATGGATATGGGTGTATATCCAAACATCTATCATGGGTATATAAATATAATGATATATGGACATCACCCTGAATAGATTGATGACCATTCCCCAATACGGGCAATTCGCCCAAGTTGTGGCAATGACAAATGTGGTCGCAACAACATCAAGCAGCAAGAAAGCGCGGATCATGCCAGAAACAAACAAACTCCATGGTTTTTGAACTTTAATCTTCCATGGCAAAATTCAAGGTTGCATCATAATATATTATCATGGGGATGTCTTGGGGATATTTTATGGGATGTATATATATATATACACATATGTTATGATTATATATATATACACATACATGCATACAGTTGCCTTTGATATGTGCCATGGTCAAAACATGATGATGGTCATCCATCCCATGCCATAGGAATCCAAACATCATAGCACATATGGTTTCTGCTGGGTATCCTATGGCTATTTCATGAATACCTATAAACCCTCCAAGCACCCTTAAAAATGCTGGTTTAACATTGTTTTAGCCCATAATCTTAGTACCAGTATATCCTGTAGTACCTTTACAATTGTTGGGCCGACTTTGGAAGGTCTAGAAATGCCTATGACTCAGAACCACCACAGCCGCGTCCGGTTGAACTGCCTGAGCTTTTCCTGCAGTTCCTGTGCCGGATGAGGTGCTCGATCTCGCAATTCCTGGATCGATCCGGAGATCTTCAAAAACTGATATCTGAGTCTTCACTTATCTTCTTAAATGAACATCATATCACATCATATTATGAATCATATGACATCATATCATGAATTATATTACATCATATGAAGATCCGGAGATGGATTTATGACATCATATTACATCATATTACAATCAAATTTAACATCATATTACAGTATGGTGATTAGATGATGTGATTACTGTATATAGTGCTATATATTGCTATATATATATATGTATAGTGCTCATGACTTCAAATAAAAATTGTTTCATTGATGATCATCATTGATGATCAATATTACTCATAGATTCATTGATGAAGAATGATGAAGTCGTAGCATTTCCTCGGCGATAGGTCTGGAGCCCGCCAGCAAGGTGGTCAAGAACTCGCGCTTCCTGCGGAGCTGTAAACCGTGAAGCTTTAAGGCAATGTAGTGCTTGCTTCACCGGAAAACTATGAAAACTGTTTCAGGTTGGTGGTTGACCTACCCCTCTGAAAAATGATGGAGTTCGTCAGTTGGGGTTCCTATTCCCAACATATGGAAAGTCATAATCCAGTCATGTTCCAAACCACCAACCAGGTTTTAGTTGAACCAACAAACTGTGATTTACCCAGTACCGACGCTGTGATTGAACTGATTGAAGCACTCGAAAGCGACAAAAACAACGAGGATTTACCACCAAAGCTGCGGTCATTTCGGTTTGACAACCAAACATGCTGGATACAAAGCCAATTCTACTGCTTGGCTCAAATTTAGACAGTGCACAAGGAAACAAACCAGTGACAGTGAGAACTGAGGTTCCGTTGGTCAAAAAATATCAAAAGATTTCAGATGCGCGAGGCTGAAGTCCCATTCTTTGGATCTCCGTTTCTGTTTGTCATACACTGACAGCAGCCATTCCCATTACGTATTGATCAATTTGGCATTGGTTATTCATAAACAAATCAATATGATTTGCTTATAAACAAGTTCCCATAAGTATAGCCAATAAAGAATTCCCATATAGGGATGAATTAACATAAATCCCAGCAATTTTGATGTTCACCAAGAGATCAGGCTTTTGACCCATAGCCTAAATCCATTGGATTTAATCGTGTTTACCCTCTGGTACTGACTAACATAGCTACATAGCTATTGAACATGGCCCATTTATAGTTGATTTACCTAGTGAAGATGGTGATGTTCCATAGTTGTTTGTATGTTTACCAGAGGGTAACCATCATGAATCATCAACCGTTTTGATTTTTTTCTTAACCATTACTATATCACTGCTCCGATTGGGTCCTACTATCATTGTTAATCATTAATCTGGGTAAATTATAATTAGTATTTCACTAACCTGGATTAAGGCCATTTGGGATGATTCCCTTATTAACCATGATTCCAGGGTTCGGTCGCAGTGAGGTCGTTATAATTTACCCAGATTAATCTACCATAACTCCCCATTTCCGGACCTCTTGGCATCGCCCAGCTCCAGCCATTCGTCCCAGCGAATGCGGCGCACGTCCCACCCAAGAGAGGTGAGCCTGGATTGGGCCTACCATGGGATATTTCCTCCCCCAAAAACAGGATGGAACATCAGTCAAACCTGTAGTAACCCCAGAAAAAAAGGATAGACAAATGAAAAAGTAACATCCTACTGAAATACTGATACATCATGATAAGTTGAAGCGTTTCTGAATCTTTTTGAGGTCAAATTTGAAGATTGAACCATCAAAAAACTTGCGAGAACCAATCCAACGGCAATTTTAACGATGATTGAAAAATGTCCAGCAGAAAACTGACCAAATTGCTGCAGTTTTTGAATCACTGGCTTTTTCTGTGTACAAAACAAGCGGGGATTCAACATCGCATCAAAATGTCAGTGATTTAATCCCCCCAAAGAAATGAAGGCCACTTTGCTGGGAAAGTTGATGATAAACTATATATATATATGGCAGTGTGTCAAAACCTTGTACCCCTGGTGAACATCAAAATAGCTGGTAAATGGATGTTCATTCCCCTAAAAATGGTATTAATAGGTATTGACCCGTACCCATATAAACATCTATAAACCGTTAAAAACCATTGGAATGGGGAAGTATCCCATTGACAACCGAGATGGTGGATTCTCCAAGAGACATAACTGGTACACATTGAAGTAGGTTTTATCGACACAAAAGGAGATGTCACCTGCCGGTTTCATTTGAAACAAGTCACGGCGAATTCATCAGCAAAAATACGGATAAATTATGTATATATATATATAATAATAAATAAATAAATAAATAATAATAATAATAATAAATAAATAATAATAATAACAATAAATAATAATTAATAATAATAATAATAATGATATATTATTTGTGTATATAATTATATATTATATATAATTATATTATCACAACAAAAAAACAGGAAAGTCTAGACATATCTCAGATTTTCGCACTTTGTGGTGTGCAAAAGCTACGTCATCAGCCAGTGATGCGTGAACCCATCGCCCATCGCCGCTCCAAGGAACGTCGCGTGCTGCAGCCGCTTCGCGGGAAGGTACTGGTCACTACCTCAGCTGATGGCTTTACCATGGTTTACCCTCTCGTAAACTAACAGTTTGCTATGGAAAATCACCATTTATAGTGGATTTTCCCATAAAAAAATGTGATTTTCCATAGCAAACTGTTAGTTTACCTTGGTTTACCACAGCGCCCAAGCCTTCGCATCCGCTCCGCGCCGTCTGGGTCTTCGGGACAGAAGAAAAAGGAGGAGGGTCCATCCACCATCAAACAACGCCGACGCTCGTCCACCTGGAGATGAAATTTGTTTTTTCCAGTTTCAGGGGAGATTCTAGTCCATCTACCATCTGGTTATTTAACATAGCCATGGAAAATCACCATTTTTAATAGGTAAACCATCTATAAATGGACCATTGTCCATGGCTATGTTAAATAACCAGAGGGTAAGTACTAAAGATTCCAATCTTGGAATACCCTGTTGACTTCTCGTGAGCTATAGTTTCAACTACATCCCCAAACTTTAACGTGGAACCTGAAAACATGCGGTCCGAAAGATGACGTTACTTTCTGGAATTGGCTCCAGTGTTTGGTGTCCATACAAACATTAGGATTAACCACTGCATTTGATTTGTACCATGGGAGCTAACCAATCAGAATTTCAGACTCAACCATTCTTCTGGCTAAATGACAAAAAAAATCACCAACCTGAATCACCAACCTGAAACGGGCCGACATTATTATTTCTTTGTTGGAGAATTACCCTTTCATTCTCAGTATCATTGTCATGTGACACAGGATAGTGACGTCGTTAGCTTGTTTATATACTCAGATCATTAATTAGCAATCATTATCTGGGTATGAGTCTCAAACATGACACCCTGGTGAAAACAGAACTAGCTAGTAAATGATCGTAAATGGATAAATGGCACATCCCCAAAATATTGTCTGGCGAAATCTCCGTAATTATATCATGTCCGAGAATAAGCAAAACCATTTGTAACCACATAGTTGCTTTTAAGATATCAACAATCTGCTCCCAAAAATCAAAAGCATGATGTTTCAATATCCATTTATAAGCATTATTCCTAACCCATGATTTTTGTTTTAAATATCCATTCATCCCATATAAACCCAGATATAAACCTCCAAGCATCCCATCCCATTCACCGCGCTTGACGGGTGACCCCATCGCCTCCAGCTGTTCCAGGCCGATGTCGATATACAGCGGACCCCAGCGGAAGGAGTTGCGATGTGCCTGGCGGCCAGAGTTTCCATGGCGAACCTTAGGTATACCCTGAACAAACATGTAAAACAAACACGCATGTCATGGCTGAAAAGACAACACACGAATTTAATCATAATCTTAATATTATATATATATATCATTATATATCTATAAAGATTAATGTTATTTGACCGATCCATGTTGTTGGACCGTTGCTACATCACCAACCACGTGAATAGTGGCTACATCATCTTCGTTTTGGTACGGTTAAATCCCAAGTTTTAATTCCCCATCATGAGTAGTTGATTGGTTTTCTTGGCAACTTACCCTAGTTTTAGATGCTTAAAACCCTAGTTTTGATGGTCAAAAATGATGCTTATCATTGGTTATCTTAAAAGCCAAAAAAATCGATGGTTCAATGATTCAGTTTTAAAATGATGGAAAATTGGGATGGTTATCTTTAAACTTCCAATGATTCACCATCAGTTTAAAACATCCCGAGTCGTCCGCGGCAAGTCGCACCTCGCCCAAGTCCGCCAAGTGGCGTGAGATGTCACGATGCATCGAGGTGGGTCTGGGCGGAAGCTCATGGGAATCTAGTGGACATATCATGGACATATATGTATATATATATATATATATATATATTATTTAATTATACATATTATAAATATATATTATTATATGTAATTATATATATTGTAATTCTATATATATATATATTACAATTATATATATTTCCTAAAATGGTGGATGATCATAGGACATTATCCCATAATAGTGATGAAAATCCCATAATATACCTGATATATCATGATATATCCCGTAATATGGTGGATTGTGGATGATCCCATTATGATAAGATTGGGAATATATCATATATCCGTTGGTTATTGAACATAGCTATGCAAAATCACCATTCTTACCCTCCAGTAAACTAACGTAGACATAGACCCTGCAAATCAACAAATTCTAGTGGATGTAAATCTTCCAACCCCTGTCTGGCAGCATCTATGTTAATGAAGGGTAAGAGGTATATCATATCATCATGCTTATCATCTATAAATGGGCTATGTTCCATGGCCATGTTAAATAATCATCAGAGTTACTACTTACACGATAATGATGTTGCATAAACATCTGATAATTGAAATATAATCAGTCGAATGGTTTAAATATCAGAGGATAGTCATCTGAACGTTTAAAGGGGATATATTGTTTCAGAATTGGCTGAATGGAACATCTGCACAAAACCAGTGGATTTGAAGCTATGAACCAATCCATTGAGCAATACCAGGACCATCCATTATAATATGTGGCCATAAGTTTATGCCAGATGTTCCAAACTATGGTTGTTCAAGATATGGGTATTGACCAAAACCATTCGATATCGGGCACCCAAGAAAAGGACAAGTCAATTGCTTCTTCCCATCTCAAAACTTTGACTAATCCCCATGGATACAGTGCTGCTATGTGCTTGGTGCAGCTCCAATCCGGCCTTTGTCCTCGATCGGAGATGTGCCTGACATGGGTGATACCGGTGCGTACCATTTCTCCGCACCAAAAAAATATGCGTGTTGTCACGTTGTCAATTATGAAAGAAGACTGCTTCGAACAGTAGCTTGAAGAGCAGTTGACCATTATTTTACCAAAATTATCAAAATTCAAAAAATAGACGCTTCTGTTTTTGGGAGTTGCTCTAAGTTCTCCAATGCCCAAAAAACCAGTCGAAGCTTGCAGTGCCAGACAGGCCACCTCTGTGACAGGCGAACATAAAAGGATTTGGAGTCGTGCAACAGTCTCGGCCAAACCTGCCGGTGCCAGCCCGGCTGGAGCGGAAGATACAGGCTTTATGCCCAGCATATGGTTTCAGTAAGATATACCTTGGAAAATCATAGGGCATTTGGAAGGTAGAATTGTAGTTATGTCATGTTAGGTATCTAATTAATCTATAGAATCTACTGTATGTGAATCATGTTTTTACATATATTATACATAGACATGTGTATAATTGTATAACCCTTCGTCACTGGAACGTGAAAATTATATCAGCCGGCTTGACCGTGTTTTGGGATTCATGTATACCCAAAGCGGTGGAAAATCAAACATGATGATTTCTGGAAATTTCCCGAACCAAATAGAGGCTTTAATGGTAAAATCAAAGGATGTTGGAAAATCACCTATAAATTATAAGCATTGGCATTTCAATGGGAAAATCATCTCACCAAATGACAAACAAATCCAGCAAGCCATGTTTGACGGAGGGCAAATAACAAGGAACCCCGAAACAAACATGGCTGACTGGGCGATTGCACGCCCCCACAGGTTGATACACGTTGTGAAGCTGCAGCTGCTTTCATCATCCCATTGTCTGCAAAACCCAGTGGGAAACACCGCAGAATCCGCTGGGAACACTGCAAACAATACATAACTACATACATGCATGGATTTAGTAATTTAGTATCATAATGATTCATAATGTATCATATGTGTGTCTACCTTCAGACTTTATTTCAACATCATCATGTGCCATGGTGAAGCTACATGGGATGAAAGGGACACCCTCATCCCACCATCATGAATGGTATTCCTGAAATAATAATGGGTATATTAATCCCCATGCATGGGGTTTATGGCACATGGTAAACCATGGTAAACCCAATCATATCAACCTCCCTACCCCCGGAAGCTATTCTTCCACGGTTGGTGCGGTGCCTGTGGCTTGTGAATGCGCGAGACCACTGCAGACTCATACCTGCAGAAAAATCCGGGGTGTGGGTGATGAAATGGATGTCAGTAGAAGTTGGTTCAGTTCATTGAGTACCCTAAACTGGACTTTACGGGTCATTGGGACATATTGGGACAATTTAGCAAAACATCATCAAACAATATGACCACTTGAAGACATTCACTCAAATCCATTTGCCTGTCATTTTTCCACCGATCTCTTTGCGATCGTGCACAAGTGCACAAGGACGAGAGGGCAGGACCAGTTTCCAGACCTGTCTGACACAAACGGAAAATTCACTGAATGTATGGGTGAATCACGAAAACGGTGTACATTGATACGTAGATCACAATAATAATCGACGCAACAAACAAGTAAATCAAGTAACTGGTAATGTCAAGTCAGGATTAATCAACAGCCCGTTATTAATCAACCTCCTCCTCCCCCCAAAAAAAATACAATTTAAAAACAGGTGGTCCCCCAGTATTAAGAAACACCCCCGATTAAAAAACCTCCAGTGCTGAAATCCATTTTTTATCCAACAATTTTTATTTCCAATTCTATTTATGTCCATTTATTTTTTACATTTTTTTTTATCATCATTACTTAAGGTTTAAGTTGATCATTGAAAATTTCAAAAAACAACTATTCCCCAAATGATCGATTTTTAATTAAAATCTTTATAAAAATCATCAGTTTGGATAGCTTCCCCATGAGCCCATGTCCCCCATTAATAACAACCAGGGTTTACTCCTGATTAATCAACCACCTTTCTGATCCATGAGATTTTAACAAATCCAATGGAATTCTATTAAGATCTAATTGACGTAAGCCATATCCAAAGTTTTATTGTTCAGAGTTGCTTCTTATTAAGGGGTGTTTAAGAAAATGACCTACAAGGTAGAGTTCCGACCTTCTGGGGGGGGGGTTTATTAATCCTGACTTGGCATTACATCTATAATCAATCTAATTGCATCCCCTAATTATTCATTTTTTTCACACACTAATGATTAATGGTCCCAGTATGTCCCAGTCATATATGTGGTCTCTCCACCGGGAGGAACACAATCTGGCATCTGCGCACGCTTTCAGCAAGTGCATGGGACGAGCTGTGATGAAAATTCGACGAAATCGCCTTGGAATCGTGCATGATCAATGGTTGAGGTCGCAGGAATCGTTGATTCATGATGGATGTATCACTATTGCAAGTATGTCGATGATGAATGATAATAAATGACTATTACATATTATTAATGATTATTAAATATGATTCAATTATTCTTAATTATGATGGTTCTTATTGATGATTACCAACAGGAGCAGATCCGTTGAAGTTTTTCAAGTAGGTCCAAACGCTGAGGATGACAATCAGGACTAGAACATCGTGGCAATCGTAGCTGTTTCATGTAACGCCAACCTGGCTGAAGAAACCCCATTTCTTCACAGGAGGCATGAAGAAATGTTAACCCCATTTTTCCAGCTAGATTAACCTCATTGACTCATTTCCAAGAAAATGTTCACCTACAGCTGAAGAAACATGTTACCCGGCCTGGTAAACGTTTACAAAAAACCATGGAAAATCACCATTTTATAGCTGGGTAAATCCACTATTTCTATGGTCATTTTCCAGTTCGCTATGTTAGTCATTACCAGAGGGTAACTTGGCACACTTGGCACATGAAAAAGCATCCAGGTCCAGGTCCTGGCCCCGTCTGGGTCTCTGACTCCAAAAGGTATGCAGTGACCTGCGGTGATGGGAAAGTCTCCGTCGAACATGGAGAGATTGCGCAACATCGGTGATGTGTTATTGCTATGCTTGCTTATTGGAAAATCAGCAAAAAATATCAACCATATACTTAATATATATATATATATGTATGAATGTATGTATATATGTATACACACTGTAAACATATTGGCTGATAAAGTGGATATATAATGATATATATAGATCCAGCAGGTCTATCCAAAAATCCTGTGAAACATATGGGTTTCGATTCCTCCCAGTCTGCCACTTTTCAGCGCTGTCAAACGACGGGGATGCCTGGATATTTCCGGGATGGTCATCGGAGCTGTGTTCAAAACCCCTTGTTGTTAGGGATATTCCCCCATTACATTCATTGTGATATTCCCATGGATAGTGATGGTTGAGAAACTGTTCCTGGCGGATTGTGATATTCCCCATTATATTGGTTGGATCTGGTTGGTATCCCTATCATGAAGCAACGGGGGTGGGTGGATGTTCGATGTTCATATGACATTCATGATAATTTGTTAAATTAAATAATTCAAACCAGCAAGCCTCCAAGAAATAGAACAGCTAAACTAAACAGGCCATAATTCAATCAATGGGAAATCCAGGATCCTAAAATGGAAGTACGTTAGTACCATTTGTCAGGCCATATTTTGTGGGGATATTCCCTGAACCATAGGCCTCAAAAATAGGCCTTATATATGGTAGGTACCTCCATGTGACTTCCCTAAACCCACCGCCTCGTCATCCCAAAGGCAGCCAATGGTCACGGGGTTCACCGCATCTCGAAACTGGAAAGCCACAGAGGTTCTGGTCATAACTAGGGTTACCAACAAATATAACTAGGGGGTTGCAACATGGTTTTGCCACATAGTTAGCTAAGTTGGTTTGTAAAATCTATGTAGATGTAACTAGCGTTTGCGGTGATTGAACATAGTGCAATTACAGACGGGATATATATATATATGTATTATATATATACATATCCACAATCATGACATTTGGGGGTACCACGGTACCACCTTGCACAACAGCCATGGAATGATTAATGCAGTCAACTGGGGGTCAGCTGTTTATGTGGAGGCCACCCGGAAGAAATATGAAGAAACGCTGTAACAAAGACAAGCAACTCGAAAAACACAACTGTGCGGTAGCAAAGGATTGGCAGTGGACTTCATTGGACTTTCAGATTTAGATCAACAATGCTCTTCAACCATCTGTAAAATGATATTAATTGGTTACAATGTGGTCACAACACAGAAACTATTGGAATACATGTGATTTAATACATGTGATTGAACACTTTGAAACATGTGCTTTTTTTTCAGTATAGAGTGTCTGTCTTCCTTTACTATACCATACTATACTCTCATACATTACAATATTATCATACTATATATATAGATCATATTATACCCCTAAATTTTCAGCTACTTTATACTATATATACTACCTAGTACCCCCACAAAAATCGGGTCCCATGATGCCCCTAGCTGATGCACCTGTTGCGCGGTGGCCTCTTCCAGCTTCTCCACGGCCACCCGCGACAGGGCAGCTTTCAGGCCTGGGTCCTGGCAGAAATTCTCTTGGATTTCCTGACTGGGAAATTCTGCCACTAACATTGATTTGGGATTTTTTTTTGGGCCATCGTAATTCTCCAGGAGATTTGAGATTCTCATGAATTTGGGAAAAGTCATTCTGGGAAAATGGGCCACTCACATTGATGAAGTACATAAATTTACAGGGAATTTTGCCCCAGCCATGGATCAACTCTCCTGCAATCCAAGCTGTGCCAAGGCATTAGTCACCTGGGCCATGGTAGCAGAGCTGAAATGGGAACGACCAATGGGTGTTCAATGGAGATTGACAACAAAAAAATGGAGATAATGTTGATATCAGTATAGTTCAATAATGTTCAATAAATACACATTCAACATTGATTGAATCATTACCCATCTTAAATCATTGCCCAAACCACGCATGGACATAGTGATAGTGTTGATACAATCCAGAAATCATGGTTGATGTTGGTTGATGTTGGTTGATGTTGGTTCATGTTGGTTGGTATCCGGAAATCATATGGCTATGGATCAATACCTATAAGTACCATTTTTAGGGGGATGAACATCCATTTACCAGCTATTTTGGGGTTCACTAGGTACCAGGGTTTTGACCCATCCCCATATCCATAAACCACTCCTGAAGCCCAATGGATTTCCCCTGGCCTTGATGAAATCCGTGGGTCGCAGCTGTTCGATGGCCTCCAGGGTGTGGTTGGCCGCCATGCGATTCAGCTCACTGTCGCGCCACTTCAAACGTTTCATGCACCACCTGTGAGATGGGTACCCTCTGGTAATTTAACATAGATATTGAAAATTGCAATTTATAGTGGATTTTCCCATTAAAAATGGTGATTTTTGATAGCTATGTTAAATTACCAGAGGGTAAGTGATGGTAAGCCATCAAAAAGGGCCAGGAGTTGTTAGAGAAATTTAGAAATCCCTCATGGTGGATGGCTGTATCATAAATGATTTGTACCAGTCTCTTTGAATCACAAATGGAGATCTGACTAAGTCAGATCGCGTTGAGGATCAACAATTCTGGAAACTCTGGAAATATAAACCCCGTCGATTCAAAGTTGCATTTTGTTTAAGCGGGGAAGGATTGAGGCGTTGCCAAGCCAACCATGTTGATTTTCCAAGGGTTTCTTGGAACCATAGTGACCATAGTGGTGACACGCTTCCCAAACCCTGGATGCTGGATGCTGGATGGGGCAGAACGCCCCAGATTCTCGAGGGAAAAAATAATTATTTCACTTGTTTGGCAACTTGGGGCTGCATCCCAGATAGTAATATAATAGTGTCATACCAGAGTTATATATGGGTTATATAATATATATATATATATACTGCATGCATATTACTGTGTAATATATATGTGTGTATGATATGCACACATCATTATATATATCAGAATTTGTATATGGGTTATATACAAATTTCATATATATGTACATATACATATAATATATATATGAATACATATAATATGATACACATATAGCGCGGATCCTACGCGTGAGTCTCGCACATCCAGTATCCCAGGCCAGGTGACATCAGAGACATCAACGCATGCGATTGGAATTGGGCCATCTTTGCTTTGACCACCGGCAGGATCTCCTAGCGGTGGCGAGGAGGGTTGCTTTAATGGAACACCATTGAAGTAGATTGCAGATCATGTTCCTAAAACCATGGAATTCAAGATGTGTATTGAAGAAAAATACCAGAGACTACAATTTGGATATTGACTTTGGAGATCTTTGGAGTATCCTTTTTGAATGGGGCGATGGTGATCCAAATGATGATTAAATGGTAAGATTTTTCAACGCTGTAGATCCACAAAAAAACCTACTCAGCTACTCAGCTACTCAAGTCCTGGTAGAAGTTGCTATCCACAAAGCTACTCTTGCCGTAGCCCCATAGGACATAACCTAACCTGGCTGTGCACTCACCAAGGTGGGATAGATTCTGAGTTCAGTGGGACATCCATTCGACAGTGATTCGACTTGCACAAGTAGTGGGAGTTCATTATGGTGTTAATCTAGATAGAATTGATGATCAACTACTTCATGATGGTTCATGACTGGACTATACTGGACTTATGATTATGACTGGACATGACTGGACTTATTTCTTATGTCATGATGTTTCTAAAAGTGGCTCATCTCCGACCCAAAAGACTCTTGTGCACCCTATCCTTCACCAAGATTAGCTTTAACATGCCTTCATTCATTGTTATGAAAAACACAAGCTACAAGGTGCTGCCCCCCCCATAGTTACAAGTCGTAACTATAGACATATATATATACATACATACATATATATAGATACCATTAACATCCATAAACCCTAATTAACAGTTATTCTGGCTGTAAGATGCTGTAAACAAACTACCTCTCGCAGCGTATCGGATACGCGTTTTGAGACCAAGCAGCTGCTCAGCGCTCAGCTCTTCCCGTAATTCCAGGAGACGCTGAGAGTAGCCAAACCATAATTTTACCTCAACGTGTCGTGAAAATCTGTTGAACAAAATGGCTTCAAAATGGTTTGTGTAATGGTGTGTGTTGTTAATGGTGTGTTTGTGTGAGCTCTGAAAAGAAATTGACCTTCAGCAAACATATAAACATGGATAGACTAAGATAAACTCATCCCAAACAAATGAACATATAGAAATAACATGAAATAACAGTGTCCAGAGTTCGTCACAAAATCATGACTTCACTGACAACCAGGAGATTGAAACGACCCCAAAATAGAGGATGTAAATATCCAACCATTTCACCACACTGGAAGTCTTCAGGAGCCTAAAAACGGGGCTGGCTGCTAAACAAATGCCACCATCTATAGTTCCCAGGGTGGAATTGGCCCCCCTACCATTGACCTTAACAGCCCTTACCCATTCACGCGGAAGCGGGAACACACGTTGGGTGCTCCATCAATTGGCTTGAATAGCATGTTCGATGTGTGCCGAAGACAACTTCAAATAGAAACTTGTGAGGTACAGCACGAAATCTGCTACCCCCCAAAAATCGGATGGTTCTCAGATTGTCTCCTAAAAGTTGCGAAGATCTATTGTCCTTTGTAGTCCCCAGGGCCATCTCTGCAGGCCAGTGGCATCGTGTTTCCGCAGGGACGCGGCTTTTTGCACACATCTGGAAATGTATGTTGCCTTAGACCATCCCAACAGGAAGTCGGCTGATGGCTGATCGAATCATCGCATGGTTCCAGACCATCTGTCTATAAATCATGCACTGAGTCACTGCTGACTCATAGAAACCCTCTCCGCAAAGTCACTTCTGTTTCTCCCTGGAGGAAAAGAGCAAACTGACCACACAGGTGAAAAGGAACTGGTCCCTTGAAGGCAAGAAACTGCTTCAAAACATCTGCGAGTTGGTGGCAGTGACATGGGCACCCGAAATACCCGACCATTTTGAGGACCATTCCAGAACCAAATCATGGCTTCAAATCCACCCTGATCAATAACAATCATGAAATATCATGAAATTCTAGGTCTAGGTGACATTGCAATTCCCCACATTCTGGTAAATCTCTAATCTTTGCCAGTAAATCCGCCATGGCAAAAATCCCAATGTTTTGTTGGTTATACCGTCAAAAAACCCACAACCATTGGGGAGGCAAGCCAGTACGCCAGTGCTCAATGGATCCCAAGTTACATCCATCAAACTCGTATCCTTGGCTCCAGGTTTTTAATCATCAAACTCATGGATTTATGAGAAAAAAATGGAAAAGTAACCTTTGACAACCAAGTAGCATTAACAATCCCATGTCAGTTCCAATTCATAGGATATGATGGGAATTTCACCAAAATTGGGTAACTATATCTGGAATCTTCCCGGATCATGTCCTAAAAACCATGGGGTACGGTATATAACCAGCCACAATGAGGATATGATACGATCAAATTGGGATATGAAGAGATATAAAGATAGAGTAAATAATACATAATAATACATTGGCTTATAATGTGAATTTGTCCAGAAATGAAGGATATAGGATACCCAGATTGGTTGCCAGTTCGGATCAATCCACATCGATGCCGGGCAAGACGGAACACAACCCAAGAGTAGGTGACATTTGACAAATGCTTTCTGGAAACATAGGTCGGTTATGTCAGAGTTTTCAGCATGTGTATCAGGGTGACTTGACCCACACCCATACAGAATATTGTTATTTGGTTGGTGGTTTGAACCCCTCTGAAAAATATGAGTTCGTCAGTTGGGAGTATTATTCCCGGTGGCCCGAGTTTCGTATCCAGAAATTCGACCCGAACAGGCCGGGGGTCACTTTAGATTCGTAGCCATTCGATCCAAAACCATTCACAACAATTCCCAAGCCATATCCCAAGCCGCATCAGCCCCAATGAAGTATCCAATCTTGGAAACCAGCAAATAGTTACATATATAGTCCCTATTAAGATATATTAAGTTCCATTAACCCATATTAAGTCCCTATTGTTGATGGTTTAATACATATATATATATACATATAATATATCCATCTGGGTATGGTCCTCTGAGTCTGGAAGCAGCCCGGCAAGATCCAAGCCTCTGAGGTCAATGTGACCTTAGCTTTGCTGAAGGAAAAAAACAAATCCGATGTTTTACCCTAGGGTCATTTAACAGTTTGCTATGAAACATGGCCCATTTGTAGTTTTTCTTTTTTAATGAATGATTTATTTAAATTTGTGATTTTCCATAGCTATGTTAAATTACCATAGGGTAGATTGCCAGATTCTTGGATATGTTTAATTCCAAACATGACCAAATAGATTCCCAATCCCCCTTGTTTTTTGGGTTCCCCCTTGGAAAACAATAACACATATTTCTTTTTCTTTAGCACACCCAGTATCTTCCCCTGGAAAAGAACATGACAAGGTCTTATACCTTTTTCTTAAGGGAAAATGAAAATAAAGAAATAAAGATCACATAAGAAAACCAACAGATAATATCCAGCATTCCAATGCCAATGTCGATATTCCGACATGTTTCATAAGGTTTACCAACACATTTATCCCACGTTTAACATCCCAAACATCACAATATTCACAATGTCACATCAAATCATGAAACCTCCCCGCAGAACATAACGAATGCTTCCGAATGGTTGAGATCCGGACGTTTCCGAGCAATGAACAACTGGGTGCCCCTATTAATCATCCATGTTTAACGGGAATATGTTCCATTATAAACCATTAAATTTTTGGGTATCCCCACTTTATGTTCAATAATGGTTTCTGAAAACTCGGGGGATCCTTAAAACATCTTAGAACCATGGCTGTTTCAATACTAAGTCATGGTCGTTTGTGACTTGGATGATTACACTGTCATGGCTTTGTCTGCAAAATGGATTGTGACGTTTCTGATATACTGTATTATATATATATATTATATATATAGTGATTTGAAACACACCATGGATATCCATGGATTGTGTATCACGGTGGATTGTGACGTTCCATGACTAATTCAGTGATTTGACTGTCATGGCCACGCATGGCCATCTGGCGAGGCACGGGTAGAGGTACTCGATACATTCGCACGCGGTTCTGCGCCCAGGATCGCCACCTTCCAGCGGAAGGGGAAGGTGGCGATTCATGGGATTTCTTCATGGGAAACAGGTGGGGAAAACAAAACCTGGAGAAATGTGATTTAAATGGTACTATAGCTACTGTAATTGGAGATTGTTCATTCCCCTGAATCGGAAAATTATGGGAAAATCTTGGGAACATCCACCATTTATGGTGGATGTTCAATGCAATCTCATGGTCTGATGCAAATTCTAGGTGGGATGTTCAGTAGGGACAGGGAACGACTTCATGGGATACGATGGGGATTTCATATCTCGAATCACAACCAATGAAAATGTACAAAACCTACAGCAAGACTTTGGACATGATAGGGATGATATGAGGATATCACATCATGGGATATTACAACCAACAATCTGAAGTCGCTTGTTCAAAGATGGAGAATACCCTATTATACGTTTTTTTCATACAGAACATTATTTTCCAAACCACGCAATTCTAGGGGCACGCATGGGCACCCGATTTTTTGTAAACCCATTTCCACCATCTTTCAACTCACAGGGTGGTGCCCCAGTTATTACAAGTTGATCTATTTTCTCATGTAACCAAATATAACTAGGGTTTATATTGATGAAATATCTAGTTAGATGGGGGGCATAAACCAACTTATCATCCCCTAATTAACATAAGACCCCGTCAAATAGGGGGTTGGAAGATTGCTCTCCACTCAAACTTTGCTGCTTTCAGGTCGAAGTCTTGGTTTGGGGGAGGGTATAACTACGGGTGGATGTGCATCCCAGTTAGAAAATGGTTTATAACTGGGGATATCCCATATATATCCCATATGTAATCTAAAACTTTTTCATCATATGGTGCTGCATCCACTCATCAGTCAAACTGCACTCGCAAGTAGGGGGCACCTCTTGTTGAAGCGCGCGATCCCGTACTTCCGCACATTCCGCTGCTCGTCGCGCACGGCACGCAGCACCGCCCGCTCCTGCGGTCTCATACGCGCCTGTGGTCGGATGCGGCTGGAGTTTCAACGAGGATAACATGGGGATAATGGGGACTTCACATGATTTCATGGTATGTCATGGTGATATTCCTGTGGATACCAATGCTAAAGATAAGCTTGAGTAATCAAACATGGCTGGGACTGGTTAGTGTTTCCACTCTGAATTTATTGCCACAGCAGGCTCTACTACACTCCATGATCCACAAATCCTACCCCTCTGGCTCTCTGGTAAACTAACCTAACCGTTAGGAAACTCACCATTCCTTACAGATAGATCACCTATAAATGGCCATGTTCAATAGCAAACTCTTAGTTTAGCAGTCTATTCCCATAGTTTCAAGTTCAATCACGTTCAATTCCATTTTCCCATGAAATATTCCCCTGGTTGGTGCTTTTAAGCATCTTGAAAAATATGAAAGTCAATGGGAATATTATTCCATATATGAAATGGAAAATAAAAGCCATGTTCCAAACCATCAACCAGTCCCACAGATTCCCATTCCCAAAACATCTTCCCCATCAGATCACCGTACCCCGTTTGAGTTCCCCGTGGGTCCCCCCTCAAATTGGCGCCTTGAAGACGCCCCGCGCGTAGCGCACTCCGCCGCCGCCGCCAGGGCCCCAGCATCCGCCCGGCAGCCCATCGACGACCACGACGCGGAGGCGATGCGCCGATCCCCGCAGCAGGCGCCACATGGCGCAGAAGTTGTATAGTAATATGATATAGTACGAATCATTAGTTTTAGTATGTTATAGTATGTTATAGTCATATAAAAAATGGTAGGTGAATCTATAGTTTTTGAGGATGTAGTACTTGTAGTTCATATATGTTAAATGATGTTAATACATGTTTTAAGTTGAAATAAGAACAACAAATGCAACGCTACAGTTGCGGTGAGAGTCAAATTGTATACTTATAGCTGCTACCTTAGAATGATTTGTTCAACTAGCTGGATGGTTTCTTTTGTAAATGCATGAAGTGATACTTAAGCTTTGATGGTTGTACCAAAGATCATGGAATCATGCATACTCATGATTTCAGTGATCTAAAACTTGGGCAGCCCATGAACACACACATTTTATCTGAAGCACCCAGTGACTAAGTGACCCAACGAGTGCCGTGAAGAACGGCTGGGTATTTTGTTGTTGCTTCGGCTCGGACATAGCAATGGAAAATCCACCATGTTTCATGGGAAAATCCACTATTTCGACTGGGCCATTTTCAATAGCAAACTGTTAGTCATTACCAGAGGGTATCATATCTGACTTACCTGGAAATAACTGAACTAAGGCCATTTGGGGATGATTCCGCTTACATTCACCATCATTCGAATGTGCATTATATCATTATATCCAGATCATGTCTGCAAGATCCAAGTTGGCTGAATGACTCGCGCCAGGCTGGCGCTTGAGCCAAGAGAGTTGTTGCGGTCAGTGAAGGATGACCTGACCAGAGAAGGCAGCTGATCCCTTCTATATAATATTGATTAATAAATATTAACTGACTATATATAATATAGATGCTCCTTTAATATATAATTAAATATAATTAAGACATTGCGGCGAAGGGATTCTGGCAAACCTGGCAGGCCCCAATCCCCCAAGGCGAGAGTCAAGTTTCTTGCCTCGGTCTGTGGATTGTACATCCGCTTGGAAAAAACGTGCCACACGAAATTTTATGTGGACTGCGACTAGAAAAGTTGTCTCAAAACTGGGGATTGGTCCCAAAAATGCTTCAGTTCATGACGGCCAGAAAGAAGTGCTTTGGATCAAACACACTAAACACGTGGTAAGAAATTAGTGTCTTTCTCTTCAGAACCGGAAGCATCCAAGGGAAGCAGAGTGATCACTTTCGTGACACAACTGCAATGCTTATGGCACACTGATCCTACAGCATCTTGTGAGATGGCAAGGCAAACCTTGTTTACTTGCCAATCCAAAGCTTGCCCTTGTCAGTGCTGCCATCACGCAGCTTTTTCCAGGCTCCATGCGTTTCCTCAATGACCTGAAGCGAGGATCCATCTTGGATGTTCCAACACGTTGAGAGACCATGTTTCACAGAAAATACATATGAAAAAATATGAACATATGTCAATACAATACCTACATTGAGAATAATTGAGATAGCAATTCAAGAATACAGGCAGGTTTGATCCATTACGCCTTGTCTATCTATTGACATGCTCTGTTGTAACCACTTCTGAATACAGCGTAAGTACATGAGAACCGGCACGTGACGCTTCTCACGTTGTGTCATATTTTGCATGCCCAGGCAGACTTGATCAACTGAACCTTTCCGACTGGGGTGAACCATCCCCATAGAAGAGCATCAATATAGATAATATACAGTAGTACTCTAGTGATGATTGGTGGCATGCTTGCCCATCGTACACACTTTGCAATTCATGTATCTAGTCTCAATTTTGTTCTATCCGTGTTGTACAAAAAACTTGGCAACTTGGATCATCTTGGATCATCTTGGATCGTTGATTCATCCAATTCCATCATATATTAACATCAATATACATCCATTTTTTCCTGGCTATGGGTCGAAATTTCAGGCCAACCTATGCGATTTGTAAGTCCGACTTTCGGGGCTTTTTTTGTCGGAGAATAGGGTACCTCTAAATCCAGTGGTTCATCAATGGATTTAGAGCTACCCTATTGGCATCTATTGGCTATATATGGCTATATTGATCTGACTATGTCTGACTACAAAAGTCTGGCGATATTGATTGATATTGATTGATATTGATTGATATTGATTGATATTGATTGATATTGATTGATATTGAATGATATTGATTGATATTGATTGATATTGATTGATATTGATTGATATTGATTGATATTGATTGATATTGATTGATATTGATTGATTGTTCATCATCAATATATGCATATGTATGCATCATGTTCAGACAGACCCGCTCCTCCAGGGCAAATTTCTTGTCCAGAGCCTTCTCCTGTCGCGGAGATCGCGGAGATCGGAAAAACGACAGTCGTGGGACCTAGTGGTTGGAAGGTCAGGGATGGTCAGGGTTGAGTGGATTGAGAAATGATAGGAACCATTGTAAATTCACTGCTTTGGGGTGGATGCTTTTGTGTTTGCTGACAGCATGAGTCAAAATTCTTCCTAGTCATATGATGAACATGGGTTGAAGTAATTTGATCAGGGAAGCTAGTGATAGTGGAAACATTTGATCAGGGAAACTAGTGAAAACTTGTGGTTGGGGGTTGAAGTGGGGATGAAATCAAACCATCACCGGCCTAAGAAGTTTGACCCATCACCCGAAGTCCCAAAGCCAGCAATGCCCCAATACTTGTACCGTCTTGTTTGAGATGGACGACGTTGTCAAGGTGGTGGTTTAGCCTCACATCCAAACAAATTAAAGTCTAGTTGTCTTATCATTTCTTGGATAAAACAGAAACCGATATTGGAAATCACCAATCAGTCATTTTAAGCCACTCATTTCCATGTTGGAACAGAAACCGCATATGAAACCACCTTTCAGCATTTGTGGCAACATCCCACCTCTCTGATGGGTATTTCTCAAATCCCCAGCATCGCAAACACCTCATAGCCGAAGGCGTTGAGTGGCTTGCCATCGGGCGTCTTGTACCATCGGAACCTGAAACAGTGACATGACTCCAAACCAAGTTCTTGCCTTTTTGGAAATCGGTTCAAATTCCAGCGAACCCCGAAATCATTGAAAGTGTACACTCGTGAGATCAGCGATGCAAACATCAACATCCACCTGAATATGCATCTGTGACGATCAACATGATTCAAAACAGGGTGCCCCTGAAATGAATGAAATGAATCATCCGAAAAAATCAGCAAAATCTGCGGGTCTCAAAGCCTCTCATCAATCTCCGTGGGCTCACCGTGACTGAGGGCCGTACCACTCCCTGATGCCGCTAATGACACCGGGGCACTTGGCCTCCGCCAGTGGCAGATGATCCATTCAATGCGGAGCCAAAATGTCTAGGGGTGTCTATCATTCTGGGGAGGAAGTGATTATATGTGATTATTATACCCAGAATTATATGTGATTATCTAGGGGATTATCCATTCAATTGAATGTCTAGGGAATTATATGTGATTATCCATTCAATTGTGAATTGAGGGGCTGATAAAACTTTGAATCAATCATAGCCAGCATGGGTTGCCGACTTAGAACTGCAAGGACTGATGTTTCAAAGACTACTCTGCAGGGGCGGTCGCAAAACCCAGATGTAGCAACCAACTCGTCAAGTTAGAGCTTCAAACTGATTTCAAACCCACGAAGCTGTTGTCACATCCCTTAATTGCACAGGAAAGTGGAATCCTCAGAGTCCAGTACCTTGGCATAGCAACATTCGAGACCCCAATTCCAAGCAACTTAGCCATAATAGGCTATAGTTGGATACAAAATCATAGCCTCATAGCCAAATAAATGGATCCATAGTGTCATTCCCGGATTAATAAACCCTGGTTGACTTAACTGAGGGGTTCTCACAAAATAGTGGTAAATGGCTACTTAAACAGCCCAGGGGGGCTGATCATCCGAGTTGACATTCATGTCCATCCAATATAAGGTACATGATTCACTCTATTTTACCACCAACAACTTGTACCATGTAGTAACCGCGTAGTAGTTCAAGAAAAACACCCAACCGCACACCTCCACGTCCTGAATGTCGTTCAGTTCCGCTGCCAACTTGTCGCCCTGAACGGTGCAGTTGGGTCAAGCATGTTGATCCCTGAAGAGGGTCAGGCACCAGCAAACCGTGGGTAAACATGGATGGTTTACACAGATGTGTGGTCCGCCCTAATATCTTCGATTTTGATCCCCTAATTTTTGGACGACCTGGAACTCTTCAATCTTGGCTGCTGCTTAGGGTCTTCACAAAGGCCTTTTTTTTCCATTGCGAATTCTCATTGGAACCGGATTCATCCATCAGATCCTCCTGTCCAATGCTGTTGATCGTGCAAACATGTTGTTTTTTACCGCAATAACTTACTGGTGCTTTTTACGTAGGGTTAGTAGGGGGAATGATCCAAAAAACAACTATTGATATCATGACAATCATCCCAGCAACCCCCATCCATTCCCTACGTTTAGCACGCACCAGTGAGATAAGCTGAGTGCCCCCGCTGCGCGGATTCCAATGATCTTCCTTGGTAGATCGACAACAGATATGGTGTCTATTTTCCCCGGCGACCACCAGGGTGTTTTATGGATGGTTGAGATGTGAAAAATCTGAAGCATTGAAAACTGGAAGCTGTTTCATGGTACATTATCACTGATCTCAGGAGATAGTCTATCATTTCCAAGTCAGGCCTGTCTAACCAACATGACTTCATGACTTCCTGCTATTTGTAGTTGCATTTTTTTAACCCTCTGGTAATTTAACATAGCTATTGAACATACCCCATTTATAGTTGATTTACCTATTCAAAATGGTGAAAGTTCTAAATCTCGATCGGTTCCGGTGATTCAATGCGGAACATACGTCTGCCTTGCGATGTATCCCTATGTTGTTGCAACGTGAATTTCCCAGTTTCTGTTGCTCATCCCCAAGATGTTGTGAGTTCCCATGTTTTTGTTTGCTAAATGTCATTTCCAAAGATATTAATCGCTATGTATTAAGTGGATATTAAGTGGATCCAACCACAAAATATTAAGTTTAGGATACATTTAGGGTCATTTCCAAAGAACATCCAAGATATCAAGTGGATCCAACCACGAACCAGTAATCAGAGCATTTCCTGGCGCCCATGGCTTTCGCAAAAAACGTTTACCCGGTCAGGTCTTTATCCCTTGGAATTCTGCAAAGAATCACTGAATATCACTGAATCATATATGTTAAGTGGATTTAAGTGGATTATAATGATTATATCATCCATGGTGCTGGTATATATGCTAACATAAAGGGGGTTTTTGTTGATGAGATCCATGGAGCACCATATATAGCAGCACCATGGATCCGTCATGGGTGACATCCTACCGATCTCCGACGCAAAGTGACCAGTCCAGCTCTCCATCATCGATCATCGCCAAGGCACCCAGCACCTGCCAAATCCGTGGGAAGAGCATGGTAAATAGAGATTGTTTTGAACCATGCTTTTACCAGAGTAACTGATGAATAGTAAATAGTACCATCTATTAGTAACAATAGTACAATAGTAACAATAGTACTTTTGAACCATGCTTTTACCATCTATTAGTAACGAACCAATAGTAACAATAGTACTGTTTTGAACCAATAGTAACAATAGTAACAATAGTAACCATTGACTAGTAACAATAGTAGCAATAGTCAAAATAGTAGCTGATGAATAGTAAATAGTACCAATAGTAAGCAACTGATAAATAGTACAATAAATGATAACTGATTGTTTTGAACCTGTAAATAACACCAATAGTAACTGATGTATCTGGCAAAACAATCATCCTCTATATTCATTTATCAATAGGTGGTGTCATGTTTCCAATGATTTTGCGATGTTCGAATCTAAAGAAACCATCCAGTGATCGTCGATCATCTATAACCCATATGCGAACCATGGTGCTGGTATATTTACCTACAAAACTGGGTGATTTTGGACAAGGGCAAATGTTGGGATTCATATTCCAGCACCATGGTTCGCATCCAAGGGTAATTGGATGTTATGGCACCTGCCGAACAGAAGACTGTTTTCGGTGGCAGCAGGGGAACCAGCAACTCGAACCAAATTTGGTCGAAACGTTCCACAGGAACACTGGTTGTTCGCATATGGGATTTGTTTTTCGTATTTCTGGGAGCAAAAAAATGGTTCCACTACTGTATGTCCTCATAAATTTACAGATTACATGCCCATATCAAATTCCCGAAATGATCCGATTGTCATCCCAACCATCAGCAACATATTTGCGTGTATGGACAATATCAAAAAACAACCATAATAATTGAAATAATATCAATTAGTTAAATCCATATTTCATCTTCATAGAATTATTGTACACATATATAAATAGATAAATAAATAAATTGTAGATATATATATATATGTTGTACATTACTGGTTGGTGGTTTTAACTATCTTGAAAATATGAGTTCGTCAATGGGAAGGATATATTATCCCATATATGAATGGAAAATAAAACATGTTTGAAACATGTTTGAAACCACCAAGCAGATGATATTAGGGATTTACCAATGGGAATATATGAGAATCTCATGATTTATGGGAATCTTATAGCCATATCATGTTATATATATAGATATACATATCATGGGGTGAGTACCCCCCCAGCTATGGCAATTTTTACACCCGAGCTGTGCCGCTTTGCCTTGACCGGCTCCACGGAACCTTGGGCCAAGGCCTGCGGTCGGGGGCACTTTGGAGACGATTGAACGCCAAAAACATGCGATGTTCATGGGGAAAATTATGATAATATATATATATATATAATGTATGTATGTATGTACATATATATATATACACATATGATATATATATATATGTATATGTAATTATATATAGATACTGTATATGAACGTTTTGGGATTTAGATGGATTTGGTGGGTTTATCTCACTTTCAGACAAACCCGACATGAGGTTCGACCAGCACTTGTTTGCTACGTTGCTGCGTTTGAACCGTGGCTTTTCATGTGAAACCGCACTTTTGAATCGGAGAATTGGAAGATCTTTTCGACTTGTGGCTGGTTCTTTTGTCCCCATCTGCCACATGTTTTATCTGAGAATCGATGTGCGTCTGTTTCTTTCCGCTTGTGGCTCGTTGTTTCATCCCCATTTGCCATTTCTTTTCCGGGATCGCCATCAACCTCCGAGCCAATCTCCACAACGTCCACGGGATCCTGTGGTGAGGATTGCGGGAGGTCACTTTAGCTGCATCCAGAGTTGGATCGTTGTAATGGATCTTTATACTTGCTGGCATGGTCTATCGCCCTTTTTGCAAATGATTTATTTAAATATATATTTATGATTATGCCAGACCACTATTCTCGACTAGAAGCTTGGAGAATTCTGTTTGAGGTTAAACGGATGTTATTACCAGTGTGGTTCCCCAAAGTTTTAGAGCCTGGAAGCATCTTTTCTGATCTCCCAATGGGGCTCAGCCAGGCGACGTTGTCACCATTGCACTTGGTCTCCGCATGGGTCACGTTGGGATCCTGACACCAGGTGCCATGAGAAACCAGTTGGATCAGTGGATCAACGAATCTGAACCGTTGGATGTTTTTGCGGTGATGTAATGGCTACCCGTCTGCTCAAAGCCAGTTTGGCTTAGTCCGAAACAAACGATTCCCTCACCATCCCATCCTCCCAGGTTTGGGGCAGCATGCCATAGTTCCAAAAGATGGGACCGTGATAGTCTCGCAACTTGCCTGGCGGGGCCATGGAGATCGCCGATCGGTTGCGAATTTGTCTGGCTTTGATGGTGAAGAATGGTGCAGTTTCGGAATTTCGAGTGATGCATACTGTAGAGACTGTAGAGACTGTAGAGTGTAAGTGAAACATAGTGAAACTATAGAACTCTTTGAATGACAAATAAAGTATCCACCTGCAAAGTAATGTTGCAAACAAAGCCCGTGTACATGGAAGTAAGCACCCCAAAGAACCAACCATGGTTGAAGGTTTGAGACCCTGGTACATCTTGGCCATCAAGTTTCGCTATGACAACCCAGCACAGGAGAATTGGATAATTACAGCACCTCAGCACCAATGAATCCACAAAGTGGGTAACTTCATGTAATTTCTGGGATCTGAAACCATCATTTTGAGGGGGTTTAAACCATTTTGACCCAACCCAAACTTGCTGTCGGATTTATGAACAGGAAAAATGGGATATGATAGGATAGTATGGCCACCAAAGATGGCTAATCAAAAGGTCCATTGGGCCCAACCAATTCTGACCACTCAAGTGACTTGTAGGAAAATTCGATGCCCAAGGTTGTCAATTTCCCAATTTTACAAATGGAAGACACCCAGGAAAGGGTCTGGGGAAAGCGCGTTGTCAGTTTCAAGTGGTCGTACACATACAGTAATTCTTTAAACCGCGGATTGGCGCAATTTACCAATGTCTACACATTGTGGTTGTAAACTTTGTAAACCACTGCATAAAAGTATATAAAAGTTATACCATCTGGTTATTTAACATAGCCATGGAAAGATCCACCATTTTATAGCTAGGTAAACCATCTATTTCTATGGGACATTTTCCATGGCTATGTTGGTTTACCAGAGGGTATAAGCCATTAAAAGTACCCATAGGATCCATGTATGGTATATATATATGCTAACATTTGGGGTATATTGATGGTAAATGTTACCATATATAGCAGCACCATGGATCCTATGGGGTATCACAACATCCTTTGGAAGAATCGGAAACCACCTTACGGATCTCCATCCTGACCTTTCTTCACATCCTGCGCGATGGGATTCATCTCCTCCTTCACAGCCACCTGGTCCAGTGGGCAGTGGTGGGCGCCCAGGAGAATGCTGGGAAAATGCTGGGAAAATGCTGGGAAAATGCTGGGAAAATGGGAATGAACATGTTTATTCTACCATCCCACAATACGGATTGAAGAATATTGAAGTTGTGGATTTTTTACCAGCCATAATCCGAACCATCAAAAATAGATAAACAGTTATTCTACGTGACAAATGGAACTTGGGTTACCAAAGGCTATGGCCAATGATGGTGTATCGATGAACCCACAAAATTGTTTATTGTAGTCAGTCTATCCATACAATATTATAGTATATCAGATTGAACCATTTCCATATCCCTGTTCTTGTGGACTTGTTCCCAATTGAAATCTCCCACTTGTTCCTGTTACTCCACCACCAATTATTGCCAATGTATATAGAAAACCCGTCAGTAATTTATGTAAAAACATGTATAGAATTCATTATAATTCAATATCTATATGATCATATGTGTGCAAGTGTGTACATACATACATAATTCTATCCTTTTTGAATCAACCAAATGAGTTTGGAATGCTATCTGCTGGCGATCCCAGGCCACCAGGCACCTCCATTTTGGGTTTGGTGTTCTTTGGGATCTCGATCAAGCAATTGAAGTGCTGCGAGGATGGCTGGGATGGCTGGGCAAGCTTGACTTAGATGCCAACAGAGATAGGGGCCGCCCTCAACTTTGTAACCTACCTGAAATGTCAACTATTAAATTTGGTGATTGTTAATGCTGGTGATATTTCAATGTTCATTTGTGAAATATTGCTATCTGGATCTATCTGGATCTATCTGCAATTGTCCAAGCTTCAGCGAGGCGTTGCCATGCCGAAACAGGTTATGGAGCTTTCCTGAAATATGGCTACCCCAAAATGGATGGTTATAATATGATAATCCCATGAAAATATTTAAAAATAGATGATTTGGGGGGTACCCCACCATTTCAGAAAACCTCCATATGTAACTTGGATATGTCCTCCATGAAACACATCTACAAACTGGGAAAATGTCCATTACTATCTCTGCTTCAAGGTTTCCTGACATGTCCTTGATACAAAATCACCTTTGGGGTTACAACAAATTGATTGAGTACATACGACGTACCATTGAAGCACCCTCTAAGAGGATGTTTTACCCTCTAAACAGGGAACAATGAGTACCACCATCGCTGGCAGGTGCTAGGATCTGATTGACACTGGAAGCCCCCAGAGAAGAATCACATCAACTGGTAGCGTGAACTGAATTTCAAACTAAGTTGGTGATAAGGAAAAAAATAGGAAAAACATGGAAAAACATATAAACAGAAGTATCAATCAAATTCAATCAATACAAATGGACCAGTCCATTGGGTATCGATAAAGACCACCAGTCCAATCACCAATGATCCCCCTCAGCTAAGCATAGCTAAGCCGTGGCCGCTCCTCGCCGCTCTTCAATGGAATGTCATGCCAAGGAGAGATCTTGTTTCCGTTGTTGTCCTGGATGATCCCAAGCGAAAATCCAAAAAGGCGCCAAGTCCGATTATGAAACGCCGTCCTGGAAGTGCATGCGGTACTCCAGGGTGCCTGGCTCTCCCACCTGGACAAAATAGTGGAAAGGATGGAATCGTTGGAGGTTGAGCCATCTGGTATAGGACGGATCCGTAAGAACAAATGGACTTCATAGTTGTTCAACATGTGTTGGAAGCGGATATGTATGTTTTGCCTGAATATACTATTCGTATATCTTGTACATACATACATATACACCTGAATACATTCATGCTGCTGGCATTACGGTAAAAAAGCAAAGTCCAACTAAAACAACATTTGAATATGGGTTATGAGTTGAAGATGACTGGTACACTAAAACAACGTGCAAAACCATGAAGAACACAACCTATACCCATGCTCAGAATTTGGATCGGGAAAAAACTTTGAAGGTAGAGGTGATATACATGGAAAACAAAATGCATGCTGCATGCTACCCTCTGGTAAACTAACATAACTATGGAAAATCACCATTTTTAATGGGAAAATCCACTATAAATGGTCATTTTCAATAGCTATGTTAAATTACCAGAGGGTAATAGAAAGAAACAAATTCAACAGGTACGATTGGATCCCATCACTATTCGGGACATAATCAAAACAGCATCCCAAGGAGCAAAGGAGGGAATTCGTCAAAGTAGATTCTGCATAGGGACTGCCAACGGAAAACAACTGGCATCTACAAGTATCAATGACTTAGCCAGTGCTACAATCAACTATGAACATGATTGGCCAATCTTATCCAGTCTTGTCAGAGGGTAATTGATGGCAATTGTTTTGCCAATCAACTCAACCATAGAGGCAGCATCAACAGCTGGCAAGTTCACGCAGCAGGGTGGCCGGGTGAAGGAAATATGCGAAACGAAAAAATGCAGATTTTGTGGTTCACATATATGACATGTCATTTTGCTTTGTTTTGTTTCGTTTCATTCACTCATTCCTTTGCTTGTTCATTCATTCTTACATTGACTCAATTCATTGATTGATTGGTTGATTGATTGGTTGATTCATTAATTCAGTCATGCATTCATTCAGTGATTGATTGATTCATGCATTGATTTAGTAGAAGTAAGGGATGAATGTGGGGTGTTGAATTAATTAACTGGGTATTCGTTGATGTTGATAAACGGCCCATGTGGGTTGGATCGCCATATTTCATGGTGGACACAGAAAGCCTTGTGCTGGGTGAAGGCTGAGAAGCAACGCACCTGGCCGTTGGTCAAGGCAAGGGGTAGAGCGGTAGAGCCATGTTTTTCGCATCCCAAACTGATCGATTCAAAAAACAGTTCATGAATCCATCCGCAAAAAATCTACCAGTTTCCTTAAGCTTCACCTTGCCTTCTTGATGATTTTGGGAAAGACAAACTGTTTGTGTCAAAACCACGTTCAAAAAGCCTCTGAAACGTTGGAATTCATCTCTCCCGTGACAGGAGCACAGGGTTCCTTAACTTTCTATTTCCTCAGCATCAGCTGGTGAGAGGGGTATATCACTCTTTCACAGCCTTTTCAAGTGATTTAAGACCCCAAATCTACTGTTAACTTGTGTATCATATTCACTTGATTACAGAACTTGATAGAGTCATTAAGATCTATGCTCCCATTATCTTTCTTTTCATTTCAATATTTTGGATGATCATTGTAATCAATTTCAATCACGTTGGTTTATATTGGATAGTTATTGTGAGGTGTTGACGTTCAACCCTTAATAAAGTACATCCTTTGCAAGTGCCACTGCTTGCATTTCCCATGATGTTGTGAAGTCCAAACTTCACTTGCACATGTAAAAACCACCAATCTAATCAATACAGCTAAACAACAGCATTTGCAATTATCAATTGTGATGTCAGAAGGGGAGCTGCCTTGGTAAACATATTTAGTTGTTTCTATTGTACTAAGCATTAGGTCATTAGGTATTGTCAACACATAGACACAAACAACTATATGTATAGATATTGAGCTTGCTGTGCAAAAACCATTGGAAGAACAATTTACAAACAAAGGATTTCGACCCTATCTCCAGTCCTACTATACTAGTTGACAAACACTTTACTGAACTAGATGAAACAAGAACCAAAAAAAGTATCTAATGGGAATGTAGCAAACACAAAGTAAACAACATTAAACACAAAAAATATTTTGAAAACAACATGCTATGAATATAAACAACATAATTCATCAAAAAAACAAAAAAAAAAAAAAACACGTAAAAATGGGGCCCCTATTTCGTCACACTCTCAAAATTTATCGGTGGATTGTCATCGTCATCATCATCATCATCATCATCGTCGTCGTCGTCGTCGTCGTCCGTCCGTCGTCGTCGTCGTCGTCGTCGTCATCGTCATCCTCATCCTGATCCTCATCATCGTCATCGTCATCATCATCATCATCAACATCATCATCCCTCTTCTTTAGCATTTGGGGTATACCCCATTCTCAGACACGTATCAAAACCCTCGCATCCCCCAAGAAAATACATCGAGCCAATTTTCCGCGTCCTGCCTGTGGCCAAGCCCGAATCAGGCCTGTGGCTAAGTGTTTTTGTGCCAGGGTTGCTTCCAACACCCTAAAAATAAATAAAAATAACATGTTGTTGCTCCAAACATTGGATAAAATTGGGGGATATACCCCCAATAGCGACTTGAAAACTCGGGAGAAGCCATGATGAGAAAAACCATGATGCTTGCCATATGATAAAGCCACCATGGGATTTGGTGGGATTCCAGAGACTGAGATAAACAAAACGGGGAAATCAAGAGGATTGATGTAAGATAATCAATTTCACCACCTGTACTCATGAAAAATATCGCTTGGAGCACTTTTATGCAAAAGCATGTGGTAGAATCGTATTGGAATCTCAACAGCTAGGGAAGGAGCAGTTGCCCATTTTTTCTCTAAATTCTGTTAGGCACCAGCAGTTTATCAAACTTCGTGAAGGGTACACCATCCCAGGACCATCCCATCCCAGGAACAGCCGACATAGCCAGTGCTATGTTCCTCCTGATGAACAATTCATGTTGCGGTGTTTGGGCACCCAAGAATAATTCACGACATTCCCAGTAGATTCCCGAAATCATGGATTAAACGTGATTATATATATATATATATAACCAGACAAAAACTAAAAAAAAAAGTGATCAAATTCAGGTTTAAGGTCAGTTTTGGATGATCCTTGATGGATTTGTTTCAAAAGATACGCCAAAATCCATAGCTGATCACGTCTAAACCACGTGGATGAAGGGCTCCGCCTTTCTTGGGGCGAGACGTTACCCCAATTCCCATCTGACCACATCCTCAGGTCGCGACGTGACGTCCTTAAAACAATATATCCAGATAATCCCCACTAATATATATATATATATATATGATTATGTGTATACTGTATATATATATATATATATCATGGGGATAATCTGGATATATGTTTTGTAAATATATCCCCAATCACATCCCACATGCCAGTTGCCGCCTGCACGACGCACCGCAATCATGGCCCGCATTGTCACCTCAAGGAACATCATCATCAGCATCAGCATCTTTAACAATAGATCTACCTCATCCCATCCCCCGTTCATATGGGTATGGGTCAAAATTAGGTACCCCAATAATTGGATGGTTAATACTAAACTAGACTAACATCTGTGGTCCCACATCGGTCTTCCATTTTGACCCACATCCATATGAAAACACCACAAAACCATGGTCAGCGGATGATAGCTGGAGATATTTGGGACCGAGGTTCAGGGATGTTTGATCGACGATGGGATCAGTGGGATATCATGTACTACTGTAGATGTAGATGTCGAATCCTCTGCTTATGGGAACCAAAAAAAAACATTGACTCGCCAAGCATTTACGAAGCTCCACCCTCCATATGGGATCCATCTTGGCTACTCTCTGGTAATCAACCCTGGTAATCCCCCGATTAAAATATGGATGATGTTCAATTGCCATGTTTGACTACCAGGGTAGTAAGGTTGGACATGACATCTTGAAGTTCAAGAAAACAACAAACATATTCAAAAAATCATTTATGTTACAATATGGTTCTTATATGTTAATATCTTATAATGTTGGCCCCATTATCTAAGGAAGGACCAACCTCAGAGTGCCCCAGCACCACGTCCAGCTAGGTAGCTGGGAGGTGGAGAAAATCTGGATGGATTTGGGCCAAAGAAGGCTGCAGGTCAGCCATGTTGTACCCAGTATGGGTTGAACATGAAACATGGTGATTTCGGAGAAATGCCCCAAGTCAATGGAGGTTTTCATGGCTAAGTCATATAAATCAGGATTTTCCACAGCTATGTTAAAAATCACTGGAGGCTAATGCTCCCATATGCTTCCCAGGATGGAGTGAAATCGATGAAATGTGATGGCCAGAAAATGAAGATATGGCTTTTGTCTGAAAATAGGTCATTAAACATAGCGAACTGGAAACTCACCGTCTTTCCTAGTGAAATTTTATGTTAAATCATGGAACTAAATGGCCCATGATTCGCCACGTTAAATTACCAAAGGGTACCCCAGTTTCAGACCCCGGTCGGCGGTTTGCCATGGCCGAAACCAGAAACAGCCGAAACAGAAAGCCTGGGACTTGCCATTGAATCTGTTCATTTTGGTCCTTTTTTGCTGGGTTCATATGGTTTTCTTATTTTTGGATATGCATGGCTACATGATGCTACATGTATGTGTTTCAATGGGGTGCGCCAACTGCATTCTTTTCCTAGCGAAGGAACATGGACATGGCTCGATATGGCTCGTGTCACCAGTGTCTACCAGTGCTGGGCAGATCTTCGGCTGATCTGGCCCCTCCAGCATTTAGCAGCACTTGTTGCAAACCTATGCTGCTGGAGAAACTACAATCCCAGCGGCCGTTTTTAGGTGCAGGGTTACAATTTTTCCGGTGAGACCGGTTCCAGTTACCTTTGTCCAAAATGGCAAATCGATGTACATTGTGCATACTTTGGAACACATGTAACCTGGTAATTCTAGTGAAAACATGATGGTTACCCTCTGGTAAACTAACATAGCTATGGAAAATCACCATTTTTAATGGGAAAAACCACTATTAATGGCCATTTTCAATAGCTACGTTAAATTACCAGAGGGTAATAGCCACTGGGTAGTTGATTGCCTCACTTTTTCGGCCAAACGTCCGAGTCCTCGGATTTCTCGATTCCTCCAGCAACGGTATGTACATCGCTGCCGCAACTGACGCCTTTCCCAGTTGGGAAGCCATGGGAAAGCCCCAGGAGAAGTCCGATGTGGATCATCTGAATATCAAACATCTTTGAAACCAACCAGATCAGTATTGGTTCCCCATATCCCATGTTGGTTAAAGCAACTATGTGTGTTTGATATCCATATAATTTACCCATCATTTACCAAGACTCCGCAATTATCATAGGCTACGTCATGATAATATTATATATAAATTATGTATATCATATTATGTATCATGTGTCCTCCTTAGATTCTCTAATAAACCAGTAGTTTCCTCCTTAGATTCTCTAATAAACCAGTAGTTATATCCTCACTACTACTTTTGAATTTGCCATTCTTTGGTTCACACCGTGTGTTTCTTGACATCCAGGGCGTTCCCAACGGTCCCATGGGTCAGTTGCGACCGGCCCTCCCTAGGGTCTACCTAGGGTCACTCACGTCGTGTCGGCTTTCACGCGGCGTTGGAGACGCGTTCACATCAGTCACATTATTAATGGATTGGTGATATAGAATGATGAGATTCTATGGGGATCTATACAGGATTATCATGGGGAAACCAACCAATATTGAAATGTTGAAATTGGTATATACGATTTTTAAGATGATGTGTCAAATTGTTTTCCAACAGCATGAATAAATATCTAATCAGAATGGAATAGCACAATATAAATCCTCTGAAAACAACATACTGTAATAACAACAACGACCAACCAGTGTACAGTTTACCTCTTAAACAATCGATGTCAACCATCTCTCAACGTTCATTCAAAAAATTGTTCGGGGAACCCGGTGCTGCGTGCCACATCTTGCCGTCCCAAGCCCACCATGCCGAGCTGACTACGTTTTGCTGTAATTGCATGACATGGATTGACATGGTAGGTACAACCAAGGACAACCAAGTTGTGACATGTTGTGACCAAATGTTCATCGCGAAGTGTGAAATGAATGAAATGAAGTGCAAACACTGGCCAGCACAGCGGCATGTTGTGGCACGAAATGTCTACGAAACTGAGGTGAATCTAGGTTCAGCTCCACCTCGGTTTGGTTCCACCTCGACAGAACGGCGGAGCCACAAAATCTGAAATGCCCAGGGCAACACGGTATGTTCCATGTTGCCAAGAAGAAACCATCAAGTAAAGTTTATGAAGTTTATGTAAGTCTCAGAATTTCATCCCATTAAATCTAACATGAAACATCATGGAACATTTTCTCAGGGCATCTTCTCTTTGCGTTCAAACGTGGCGCTCATTGGCGCCATCGCCGGAGCTATAGCAGCTAGGACTGTACGGTGGCCGTCATACAATGGCTGCGAGCTTTGGGCATTTGTGCGGCCACCTGTGGAATGTGATGTGTTAGGTATATCCAGGTATAGTGATCTGATAAGTGATCAGATAAGTGACCAGATAAGTGATCAGATAAGTGATCTGATAAGTGATCTGAATCAATTCCTGAAGTTACACAAGTTACTTGTTGTACATTTGCTTCGGCACTCCGGTGGCCCCGGTCAGCCATCTGGCTGCCAGGTGTCAATCCTATGCTGGAGCTGTTATATGATCAAGGGTCCCAACATCCAATGCGGGTACTGAGGCGTTGGCGAATTTACTGAAAATAACTAGAAGTGATACCCTAAAAGCTAGTAGCTGGGCTTATAACACTTAGATAGGCTTACAAACTAACTTGTAACAGGGATATATCAGCGCTTGGTTGGGCTTTTTTCGACCAACTAACTTGACACCTCTGTTGGACCCTCCAAACCTCTCCTCATTGTCGGAGTTCTGCACATTTTTTTGCAGTCCGAACCATTTATATATATATAATATGTATCTGTATAGAATGTCTAATAAATATATATATATATATGTATATAATGTGCTTATACATATATGTACATTACGAAGTAGATTGATAATAATGTGTGTATATATATATATATATGTTACCCATAGTTGCTCCGGACAACTTTGTTACACGTTCATAGTTTACAGGTCCTATTTGGCCAGCGCCTGTCTTCCCACACGGCCCCCACCTCCCAGGTCAAGGTATCCGGGTCAAGGCATTCGATGCTCATAATGTCCTGGGATTCGATGTCATTGGAACGGGAACTGTATAATGGATACTACTACAACATATATGGATACTGCTATGGATAGGTAAGGATATTATAATAATGGATTATAGGATATTATAATATATTATAGGTATTAACGGTTAATATATGAAACATAACATGCCGTTTTTCATTCAAGAGATAAATCTACAGACAGGATGGAAGGGGAGCACATGGTCACATCATTCAGCTGCAACGCACCCAGGAGGCAGCATGGAAAAAACCCCTGGAATTCCCTCGTGCATCGAATGATGGGATTCTACCGAATCTACATCAAGTCGGTTGCAAGAAATCTCCAAGTACTAGTATACTAGTATTAGAATCACATGAATACAAATGAATCAACAACATCTATTCCTGGTTGGTGGTTGACCTACCCCTCTGAAAAATATGAGTTCGTCAATGGGAAGGATGACATCCCATATATGAAATGGAAAATACAAGCCATGTTCCAAACCACCAACCAGATTCTTATGCTTGGCCACAATAAATTGGCATTTGGCATTTGCCAGTGCCATCTGAAATCCTGGACGAAAATTCCATGGTGATCCCGCGGATTGAGCTGCTCCTGCCCATTCTTGTGACCGCCAAAGACATAAATTCGACCACCCGCCGTAGCAGCGCCTAGAGCCAGGCTTGAAGCTGATCACCGAACCTGTCCTTTGATCATTTAAAACATGAAGGATCTATGATACAAACCCAAAAAGCTCATGGGATTCCTCCAGCAGATATGGCAGATATGTCACTTGTTGGGTCACTGGTTTACTTTGGCAAATGAATGGATTAATTTCGCTCTTCACAGCATTAAAACCTCAGTATATTAGGCACATGTGTTCCCCCAGGGCTTCCGTACACAGATACATCATGAAGTGGTAAATCTTGGAGAGTCAATTCCGAGACGCCCGTAGAATAGTTTGTTTTTTCTGCTTGATATCCTTACCTTAGCTGGTTTTATTCCCAGTGTGGGTTCTTTATTGGTTTTTGCCTTGAAATTCCCAGTGGCTGGGACCTCATTTAAACAGCTAGCCCATCTCCCATTTGGTCCATTTGGTCCATGTGACAACATCACTGGAACCATAAAAAAACAAAAATTTGGATTCAGCAACTTCAGTAGCAATTCATAGCAATTCACCACCAACAATTGGGCACTGAATATTACGGTACTTCAGTAGCAAAACAGCCCTGGATTTACCAAGTGGCCACAGTGACTTCTGGGCTCTGCCATGGCTTGAAGTGGAAACCACCTGGCACCGAACTCAGGGAGATTCGGAAGAAGCGAAGCTCAAACATCTCGGATGTTGATCAACTATCATCGTATAGCTAGGGTTAGTATATAGAAGGTATATATACTAGATATATACTATACTATACTATATATAGCCATCGGAAAATATCCCATTTATAGAAGCTATATATATTATATATACATATATATATATGTATACCATCTGGTTATGACTAAAATGGCGAAATGGAAAAATCCACCATTTTATAGCTAGGTAAACCATCTATTTCTATGGGGCATGGTTTCCATGGCTATGTTAAATAACCAGAGGGTAAACATATGTGTGTATATATAAATCATATTTGACCCATTTCCTGAATCAACTGACCGTTTTGGAAATTGGATGAATTTGATGTTGTCTACCAACCCCATTCATTTTCGCTAGAGGGATCACATTTTCACCGAACATGTCGTCAGCCAAAGAACTGCCATGTCCTGGTGCAGTGGCCCCATGGCACCTGTCCAATTCAGCATCGTAGCATTCCGCGTCGCAGAGGTTTTCCTGCAGTTCGTTGGATCCTAAAAACTGCATCTGATATGAACATAAAGCAGCCAAAGTAATATGGTCATCAAATGGCCATACTAATCATGGATATCATGGTGATTAGTAATCATATTAATTACCTTTCATGGATCAATAAGGAATCATATATTTCTATAAGACATTACATCACATGCATTTATCAAATCCCTGGTTTTTGGGGGTCAACCACGTTTAAACTTAATTTTCAATCACCACCTGGGGATCTTTCCATGCACTCATGTAGGATGGCGAAGAATTGGAACAGCAAGACCAACCAAACCAATGTTTCAGAAGTCAGCAAGACTTTGAATATTTATGGATATTTGTGGATTCAATCCAACAAGGAATATTTGGCAAAAAAACATTTTTTAAAAAAAAAAAAAACATGATTACATATACATACATACATACATACATACATCCATACATACATGCATGCATGCATGCATGCATGCATTACATTACATTACATTCCATACCATACCATACCATACCATACCACACCATACCACACCATACCACACCACACCACACCATACCATACATACATACATTACATACATACATAATGACATGTATATATATACATATATATACATAATGATGTATATATATATGTATATGTAACATGTTTTAATAGTTGAGTTAATTGTTGATACTCCCACGATTTTCCAAAATTCAGACCCCGCACTTTCCCCACGCCACCAAACTCCCGCGCACCCAGTGGCCATGTCCGCCAAAAACAAAAACACGTCCTGCAGTTGATGCAAGAATTGGCAGCTTTTTGTGGTTGGAGTAGTAATCAATAGTACTCGTCGAAAGTGATATAGCTAGTTTACGTACTAAGATACAATAATCAAGCAATATAGCCCATATGATACATATATATATTACATATTAATATATTATATTTATATATTATATAAAGCCCTGAATTAATGGTTGTGTTGATAAACCTGAAACAACAATTCTATCGAAAATTAGTGGGTCACCTTCGGGGTGAGGTGGTGACTTTTTCTCACCGAGAAGATGGGAAGATCGTCACCAATCTCAGTTGGTATCCAATTGGTCACTTTGCAACAAAAAAAATGTTGGTAGTTGTATGGATGTTCATGGCCCAGATCCAAACGTGGTATCATGGCCACAAAAAAAATATACTAAATTATCCAACTAGAGGTAAATATCAACCCGCCAAAATATCGAAAAAAAACAAACAAGTATGGTACTAAAATACGGGTGTTGACTTATCATAAAGCATGTGACCCACCCAATGTCCTTTCAAAGCTGCCGCTGCACAACCATAGCGCGCCTGAAGAGCTGCCGTTGACCATTTAACAGTCACTGGGGCTACTTTTACTAGAGACTAGTCATTTTTCTCGTGTATTGTATATCGATGTATATTCATGTACCATCTGGTTATTTAACATAGCCATGGAAAATCACCATTTGCAATGGGTAAATCCACTATAAATCACCATTTTCAATAGCTTTTTGTATGTTTACCAGAGGGGACACTCTATAGTCCAACCTCTGTTTTTCTGGATGGGATGAATCACCCATAAAATGCAACGATAAAACGCCGTTCGAGCCTGGCGCATGTCTGGCAGCTGTCTCCACTGTCCGGAAGATGCGTCATAGCCTCCGCTGCCAACTTCCAGCGATCCCCAAGATGCCAGCGCAGCAACACCGGCTGTTTTTTTTGGAGAAAGTGAACTATACTTTTTCTTTTTATGAAAGTTGATCTATCTATCTATTAGTATATATTATATATATATATGTATATGATTGTATATGTGTGTGATCTATTTATATATATCATTGAAGTGCTTTTTAAAGGGTATTCATACGGCATGATCACAGAACTGGATGGGCACAAAAAAGTGCTGTAATTTGACCTCATGGCTCAGGATGCTCAAGTACGAGTATGTAAATCCCAAATGGTGTACCCGGATGCACCCATCAATCCACAAACCGTTGAAAATAATGTTGTTGTCCAATCAACACGCATCAACAAGCTGTACCCTCTGAAATAGAACCGTTTGCGATGGAAAATCACAATGTTTAATATGTAGATCATCTACAACCAGTTTTTGCAGCTAAATACCCGCCATTGTTGAAGCGTATTCACTTGTGCCATCCGGCCATCCGCCAAAAAAAAACGACTTTAGCCCATTTTGGGATACCAAGAAGCTCTCCATGCAGCACAGCGCTTCACCACAAATGTTGGAGCCGCCGACCACCTGATCTGTCCGCTCTGGGCAGAAACTCTTATGATTTGGGGATCCAAATCTTGATATAAAAAAAGAAAATAGGTGATTTAAAGGGATGGGTCAAGTCCTATCCAAAAATTGCTGGAAAAATCTAGAGAAAATGTGGCACAATGAACTTCAATGAACTCCATGTGGCGCCCGGCATGCCTGGCATGCCTGGTGAATGATAGCTTTTAGAAACTTGAAGAACGATCCCAACAAAATGCTTGTAGCTGAGGAATATTTCTTGGCCTGAACCGTGAAACGTGATTGAAACCATCAAAGAACACATTATTGTTGAATATGTATGAATATGTCCTTTTCTTTGGTTGTTCAGATTCATGTTGCTGGGTGATTTTTTTGTTCCCTCCATCTATACTATCTCCAACTTTGTTTCTTCGAATCCCGCAGTTCTGGCTTTTCATTGTTTGGGTGGCTGTCTGAAACTAGGGTACCCTATTCTATCCATTGCTTCGTCATCATTTTCCCGCAATAAATGTATCTGTGGGTTTACATATCTAAATTTAAATCCCGTGATATCCCCCATTCACCCGATACATCACCATGAAACCATGATTCATCTTCTATGATTCCCATGGTTTTGTCTTGTGAAATCACCACTTTTTTGCGGCTAAAGTACAGTTTCTATACGTATCCATCTATACATATATCATATATATATACACATATATTTGTAATATATGACGGTTTGTCAAAATGTCTTCTCCTGGTTTGGTTGACAAATCGTAATTCCTTGCGTGCTGCTTCTTGTGTGGTCTTCAGAACTACGACTTATATACCCAAATCGTCTGAAACCCTGCATTTTATCTTTCATGTTTGAAGCCGTAGCTAAAACCCCCCAGTAAATGCTAACACCCGTCTATATGAAGTGGGTGCCGATGCTAGCTACTAGTGGTGGAACTGGAATATGTTTTCATCTGCTGCAGGGCTTATCGTTGCCTTTGCTGTCACTGTTGCTTTTGTCAAACAGACAAGATAAACTACAAATTCTCTGGTGGCGACTGGGTCACGGGTCAGCGAATGCAGCTTGTTGAAACTTTTGCTAGCGCATTGCTAGCGGGAATCTAGCGGGTAAAATTACGTACAAATTCGCACAATTGAGCAGAAACCTCAAAAATATAGGAAATTTGTTGAGTAGCACAGAAATTCACTAAGACATCCTTAGGTTTAAGGAGCTAAGTGTTACATCTTGACTTTTCTTTATGTTGAACCCTGAAGATGGCAACCTGCACATGCCTCCAAAACGATAGCAACACGACAACAAAATCGATAATAAGATATGAAAAAAAACACCAGCGTTTGGGCAGATACCCACCTGAAAAAACAAGCAGTCAGGAACACATGAAAAATATCCTTAATGGGTGTGAAAAAAAAACTAGGGCGAACCTAGCGGGTATGCTAGCGCTGCCTGGCAGAATTGGTGAATTTAGTTGTGTGCCACCTCATAATGAGAAATAACCACTAGGTCCACACTAGTTATCAACAACTGGTACAAAATTTCTGTGATCTATTTTTGGCAAATGGTCATATATATACTGGTTGGTGGTTTCAACCCCTCTGAAAAATATGAAAGTCAAATGGGATTATTGTTCCCAATATATGGCAAAATAAAAGCCATGTTCCAAACCACCAACCAGTATGTATATATATATATACGTAAAATATTGTATCCCTGTTATTGGTCAACCAGTCACCTCCAATCATCCACAGACTCAAAGTGAAACCATCTGTGCTGCCCGGCATAGATGCGCCCGTTGGTGGCCGTGGCGGTGCCTAACGAATGGTGCTATGGGCCATAGCCAGAGATGGGATTGAGTAACACCTTCATTTGATGTATTATGTATAGATAGATCTATAGATATATATATATATACCAAAATATATAAAATTCACTGTAAATACCAGTAAAATTGAAGTCTGCATAGGTTTTGGGGGATGTACCATATATATATATATATATTACTTATATATAGGCTTATATAGGACCTGGTTGATCTGAGCTCCAGTCAAACTCATTTACATCTCAGTAGTTGCTACTATCGGTTGTCGCTTTTTGGGGGGCCATGTCGCTTTACAGTGTCTTGTGTCAATATCGCTTTTGGGGGGTGGCATATCGCTTGACAGTGTTTCGTGCACATCTATGACAAACTCCTGTAATACTAAAGTGGTCTTCAACCATTTTGACCGTGACCCATATACATGTATGTTATATACACTATATACGTTGTATATACTGTATATACAGTGTATCTATGTATAAATAGACACTTTTTGTCTGAAGATGTGGATAGAAATCTGCTGAATCAACGCCAAGGCCCCAGACACTCAAAGCGCGGTGTGGGCATGGGGTCCAAACCTCACGGTGCAACGCTGCGCCGCTTTCGCGTCCTTTTTGAAGGCGGTTTTGGTCGTCTTTTGCTATGAAAAACCAGATCGTTAAAATGGAAGAACCCGTCCACATTTAGAATTTCAAAAGATATATGAAAATGGAAGAACACATCAAATATCTACATAGCAGATCCATGGTATTTTAATGGAATTTTAATGGAACCACTAAATATCATATCCATTAAGGAATAAACAATGGAGCTGCTGTGTAGCTTGCACCCTCTGAGGTCTTCGGACATTCCCACTGTCCATGGCTGTAGCGTTGAGCCTGGGGCGCTACGGGTTACACGACACGGTGGTGCCCCAGTTTGTTAGCTCAGTTGGTGAACAAGGTGAAGATAACTCCAGGTTTTCTTGGTTTTATGCTAGATTTGAAAATATAGTAATATATCTATAGTTCATGGGGATTAATTATAAGCCAACTCATAACTGAGCACCACGTTGTAGGAAATCCGGTGATATTCCCATGATGTCCCATGTGTCCGTTTTTCTTTTTAGAGGGCCCTTGAAAACATGGGGATATCACATTTATGAAGGTACCCAAAGTGGAAACTAAAATTCAAAAGTGGTACCCAAAATCTGTGGTCCTCTGCTTCGCCCATATCCATTATTAATCCTTACCATCAAAAAACTGGTATGGAGCAAGCGTCTAAAATGGGAAGATGAAAGATCCAATATAGGAGGCAAGAACTATGTAACATACTAATAATTATCCAATAGGGATGTAACAAGCAACCAAGATGGGCCTGTAGACCGACATTTTTTTCAACAGAACCGGCACAGGAGAAAGCACCCCTCCGAGGGGCCATGAATATGTTCACCAAATTGTGGGATGCTTGCTCTCTGGTAATTTAACAGTTTGCTATTGAAAATGGCCCAGTCGAAATAGTTGATTTACCCACTAAAAATGGTGATTTTCAAGTTTGCTAAGTTAGTTTACCAGAGGCATCCAGAGGCTGCTAAATCTCCATTAGACACCATCAAACACCATTAAACACTATTAAACCACCATTAAACCACCATTAAACCACCATAAATCCATGGTTTTTTGTATTAAAAATGGTGATTTACCCACTCAAAATGGTGATTTTCCCATCAGTTTTTTGTATGTTTACCAGGCCGGGTAACCCCCCCCCGCTTCATGGCCCCACCTGGTCCAAGACGTGACCAAAACTCAGGCCACCGAAGACGTACACATGTCCCCCTAAGGCTGCGGCGGCAGCCTGGGTCAGGGCACAGGCTGGGGTTAGTTGGTAGCTTAACCAAACCCTAAGGATCCATGTCTGGAATATTTACCTACATTGGGATTATTTTAAATTACTTTAGGGGTCAATGTAGGTAAATATTCCATACATGGATCCTCTGGGAAAGGAAATTCCAGGGAACATGTAGAAAACTATGAGAAAATATGGTAAAACTATGGGAAAAATATTGGTAAAACTATGGGAAAAATTGGAAACATATAGGGAAAATGATCATTAACAAAGGGATTTAGGGGTTTGCACCCAAAAAAAATGTTAACCCAGCCATGGTGTGTTCTTTTACACACCCTTTGAACCGCTGTTTAGTGACATATTTGGGACCATACAATGGGGATGGTTCATACTGGGAGGATGGAATATGGGGCTAATGACCATGGCTTCCTGTATAGTGCCAGAGGTATGCCAGAGGTGTTCAGCAATCCATTGAGCTATGGATGTATAATTTCATTTTTTTTTGGTTTACATGGAATTATTTTTTTTATTTTGATTTGGTAGTAAAAAACATTTAAAAAAACAGAGTCCAGTGGTTTGCCTCATCTTCAACACTCGAGTTGCTATTGGGGATGCCCATCTTTGATCATCCAGTGAGCATTCCAGCTGCAAATTGGCGACCAAAATGGGGAGTGCAAGCCCCATTCGAAGAATCTCGCGATTGTACGCATGGAAACATGGTCGCAGAATCGGCATGTCACACAGATGCCGAAATAATATATATATATTATATATATATATGTTAAAGGTATCGCTCAAATGGTGGAATAGCTTATATTTCCAAATCGTTCCCAGAATGATTGGTTGCTGGCTGGAGTGTGCCATGTGGCGGGCTTGGTTGAACTACGACTACCAGGGACAACTCAACATCTCATTGCTATCCACATCCCCTTGTCAACAATCCTCATGTTAATTCGCATCATCTAAAAGGCCAAAAAAACACACATTCCCTGCACCCAGCAGTCTTTCAGATTGATCGATTGTCAGTATCAACCACCGGCGAAACCCACCATGGCCCAGAAACATGCGTGTACGGTCGATTCATGGCAGGCAGCAATTCCCACCTGTCAGACTTGGCTTTGGGGATGGTGAAACACAGAGATGTTCTACGAGTATATCACACAACGCTATAGGACCTGAATTTGTTGTTATTTGTTGCTTTATCTACTTGTTTGACCTTGTAGTCTCGAACAAAGAATATTCGTTGATCGAATATGTTACAACATGTTACAACCACAAATGCGCAGGACAAACCGGGCGTCCAAAACCTCCCTTCAAATGGGGAAAGCCTCAAAAACCTATGAAAATCCTAGAAATTCCAGGGAAATCAACATCCACAGTGTCCACAGATCGCCAGCATCCGAACGGAACGTCGCCGTCTTTTCTCGGAGATCCGGGAGATCCGGGAGTTTCAGCGTCAGAAGTCCGTCACTGTGGCCCAGTGCTTGGTGAACATGGACTCACCACCTGCCGGCGATCGATTCCTGGGAAACAATGCCATTCCTTTGGGGTTACGGTTACATCATAGCTGGGTAATAACAGATTATAATTTGCTATATTGAACCATATGGGTATATGATATATGGGTTCATATAAGCAATACAGTAGCTACAGTTGGTGATGAAAATAATCATATGAATTGATAGTTGACTCTGGACATCTCTGGACCAACACTCTGGTGATATCAGGTGCTCCAGATTTCGTGTGTTAAATCCCAACTCCGGTGATCGGATAATGGAAATAACTCACCAATTGGCAATAATTGGAAACCAGAAAAAATAGCCGTATTACATCGTATTACGCTAAAATCAACAACTGGCTGTCTCAGTCAGAAGTTGCTGTAGATCAAGACACTGGCCTTGTTATTCTGTATGTCATATATGGAAACGGCTGGTTGTTCTCAGTGTTCATCTCTCCATTCATATGCTATCATAGGGTTTGATTCAAACCGGTATCATTCATAATGGTTCAAACAAAGCCATGTAATTCAGAAAATGCATGTTCTTTCAAAGTTTAGCCAACAAACATGGGCAAGACTTGTCCACTGTCCATGTATTTCACCAGAACAGCATAGAACAGCCAGGGCTGTCACAGCAGGTCACCTCCCGAATCAAGCAGCCCAGGATTCATGGAAGATCATCCTCAAACAGAAAGGACATCAGACGGAGAGTACTTCAAACATCTGGAAAAACCACAGAAATATGTACCAGTAGCCAGAAGAACTACCTTTAATATATTTGAAACATATTGAAATATTCAAACCACTCAAACCACTCCCAAAGCAAGAGACCTGTGGCATCGACAATGCACGCACTCTTGTCCTGAGTGGTTGCGTAGAGCGTAAGCCTCCATTTGGATCAATAATTTCAAGGGATGAAATAGCTGAAAGTCCCTGATGATGATGATGATGATGATGATGATGATGATGATAATGATTACTGTTATCTATGGGATGACTTCATTGGAACAATACGTAGTTCAAAACATCTACCAGAAAATGTTCAGGATAGCCATCTTTTCATGGGTATAGGATGAAATCAGAGTATAGATATTACCCCCACATTGAATGGATTCTTCGTAACAGTGACCAACACATGCTGCAATTCCCAGAGCTTTAAATGTCGACCTATAACCATATTCATCCATATTCTGATTCCGTTGTTGCTTCTGTGCCCATTTCTTGTGTTTCCTCTGTAAATTCCAATGTCGTGGGCTTCGTGTTTGTTGCTTCAATCCCCATATTCTTCGTTGGTCAAACCATATCAAATCCCACTTGTTTGTGTTGATCCTCTTACATTCCACATGTTTGGTTGCGGAAAGTCCGCTTTTGGGTTCCCAAATGACCCCAATTTGTTGAAACCAGTCACTTTGCCGGCTCCAACGGAGGGAGTGACCCTAACCTCCTCAGTGCTGAAGTCGTAGCGGACGGGCTTGCATCCCTCCTATCCGGGGGCAGCTGGGAGGTCCGCAACGACCGCGGTGCTTGTGAGTTACTGGGTACCTAAAAGATGGCGTGCTCTACTGCTAAGCAAATCCTCGATTTCAGACCTTCGGCCATAGGTTCTTGACTCACGTTATCAGAACATCTGCGTTTCTGACAGAGGGGGCAGCCCGACAATCCTGCTACGGGGCCTGCTGCCCTGTGCCAAAAAATCACCCAGGCATTGCTGCATGACAGTTTGATGTAGTTTGATACTATCCTCTAGCATGATGTTTAGTTCAGATTTAACTGGATTAATAAGATTAATATGCCTTTCCTTACCTCCATGTCATGATTTTATCTTTAAAATACATCTCGCAACATCTCAAGAATATATCTCATAATATCATTGCACACATGCAACTGTCTGCAGACTGCAAGTCGCCCATCCAGGCCCTTCCAAAGGCCTCTGAGCCGCAGTAGAGGTTGCGCAGGTTGCAATAGTTCGTGGAGAAGTCTAAAATGGAAAAGACCTGCCAAGTTTCTGGACACCGGCAATCAAACATTAACATGGCTGGCCCTGGCTGGAAAATAAAACCAGATCTTACAGGGGATTTCCCAGCCATGTTTCATTGCCGAAGAGTTTTTAGTCTCTGAGTCCTTCAAAAAATTAAGACAGAGTCAGGCCACCTCTCCCTATACATCATTAAAATATATTAAGATCATGAAACAAACTGAATCCCATCCATGAACTCAGCCCATCCAGCATAGGTTTTCAACTGCAAATCAAAGGACGGTGGTCCACACTCAAATCAACAGGATTCAACAAAAGATGCCAACATCATGCTATATCCCCTCAGCTGGTCAATCCGCAGCTTGATCCCAACCACTGTTTTAGCTGGTGAGTAAAATGTCCCGCTTCGAGCAAAGGACCTAAGCGTACGAAACTCACAACCATCCATCGAGATCCATCGAGTGGAGTTACCCACTAACCCGGAGTTGGTTGTCCGTCCCTCCTGAGACTCGGAACAGCCATAGATGCTGCATGTAGCCCCACTGCCGTTGAAGGTGAAGGTCATCCTTACATTCGTTGAAAAAACACCGTTTTTTGGGGCGTTGGGGAAGGTGAAAACCTCCAAAAAATAGTGGAAAGTACATGTTTGATTCCCAGCACACAACGTTGAGCCTGTCATGATTCCCTCCTGAGTCTTGCCCAGAAGGCAAGACTATGTAATTTACACCTCGTCGGAACTACCAATTTTTATCCTCAAAAACTTTGATGGTGAGCGAGTTTTCGGTGTCCAGCCCAATCTGGTCCTACCTCCAAGCGTCTTATCAGTGTATTGTTTGTTGCCGGTCAAGCGGGAAATCTCCAAGACATCTTCGTCATCCGCGAGCATGGCATACGTTCCTTCAAAACAACCAGCACTCCCTGGTAAACTAACATAGCGAACTGGAAAATCACCATGTTTACTAGGTAAATCAACTATAAATCTGGGTAATTTACCAGTAGCACCGCACAAGGCGGTGGCGGAAGTTTCAAAAATAGGAAACCTATAGAGAGGTTGGTTGTTGTGAATCAGGGATGGCAGAGCGAAGCCACTGATGGACTGAAAGGTGCTTGAGGTCTCCTCTCTTTCTCTCTCTTTCTCTGGCTATCTACCTACCTACCTACCTATCTTCTATGTATCTATCTATCTATCGATCTATCTATCTCTCTCTCTCTCTCATCTAATTACCTATCTATCTATCTACCTGTCTATCTATCTATCTATCTATCTTTCTATCTATCTATCTCTCTCTCTCTCTCTGTCTCTCTCCCTCTCTCTCTCATCTGTCTATCTGTCTAGCTGTCTACCTGTCTGTCTGTCTATCTATCTATTTATCTATCTATCTATCTGTCTATCTGTCTACCTGTCTATATGTGGTGCAGTGTCATTCAGTGTAATGTAGCGTAGTGTAATGTAGCGTAGTGTAGTGGAGTGTAGTGGAGTGTAGTGTAGTGTAGTGTAATGTAGTGTAGTGTAGTGTAATTTCGTGTAGTGGAGTGTAGTTGTGTGGTCGCAGGTGTAGTTGTAGTGTAGTGGAGTGTAGTGTAATGTAGTGAAGTGTAGTGTAGTGTAGCGTAATGTAGTGTAGTGGAGTGTACTGTAGTGTAGTGTAATGTAGTGTTGTGTAGTGTAATTTAGTGTGGTGGAGTGTAGTGGAGTGTAGTGGAGTGTAGTGGAGTGTAGTTGTGTAGTTGTAGTTGTAGTGTTGTGGAATTTAGTGGAGTGTAATGTAGTGTAGTGGAGTGTAGCGTAGTGTGATGTACTGTAGTGTAGTGTAATTTAGTGTAGTGGAGTGTAGTGGAGTGTAGTGGAGTGTAGTGGAGTGTAGTGGAGTGTAGTGGAGTGTAGTTGTAGTTGTAGTGTAGTGGAGTGTAGTGGAGTGTAGTGTAATGTAGTGAAGTGTAGTGGAAGGTAGTGTAGTGTAGTGTAATGTAGTGTAGTGTAGTGTAATGTAGTGTAGTGTAGTGTAATTTAGTGTAGTGGAGTTGTGTAGTTGTAGTTGTAGTGTTGTGGAGTGTAGTGTAGTGTAATGTAGTGTAGTGAAGTGTAGTGTAGTGTAATGTAGTGTATTGTAGTGAAGCGAAGCGAAGCGACATCTGAACCTCCAAAAGTGGTCCGAAAACCCTGGTGTTTTTAACATTTTGACTTCGAAATGTGCTTCGCGCCACAACGGCGTGCAATTCTTCGACATCTGAACCTCCAAAAGTGGTCCGAACCCCTGGTGTTTTTAACATGTTGACTTCGAAATGTGCTTCGCGCCACAACGGCGTGCACTTTTTCGACATCTGAACCTCCAAAAGTGGTCCGAACCCCTGGTGTTTTGTACATTTTGACTTCGAAATGTGCTTCGCGCCACAACGGCGTGCACTTTTTCGACATCTCAACGTCCAAAAGTGGTCCGAAAGTGTTTTGTACATTTTGACTTCGAAATGTGCTTCGCGCCACAACGGCGTGCACTTTTTCGACATCTCAACTTCCAAAAGTGGTCCGAGCCCAGGTGTTTTGTACCTTTTCACTTCGAAATGTGCTTCGCGCCACAACGGCGTGCAACTTTTCATTTCTCATCTCCCCAGCTATCTCCGCACCCGCCGCTTTAGCGAGCCTACTTTTCGACCCTCCGAGCCACAAAACATCGAAAAAACAGTGTTTTGCGACTTTCCTACCTTTTCGCGCATCTGCATCTTCTTTCTTCTGACTCTTTCTCTTCTCTGATCTTCTCTCTTCTAATCTTTCTCTTCTCTCTGCCTCTGCCCTGCTCTGCTTTTCATCTGGCCATATTGTTGGAAGTTTAACTTCTAAACTTCCTTCGATCATATTCACTAACCTGAAATAAGGCTATTTGTGGATGGTTCCCTTTACTAACTATGATTCCAGTGAGGTCGCAGTGAGGTCGTTATAATTTACCCAGATAAATGGGCAATTTTCAATAGCTATGTTAAATTACCAGCACCAGAGATGTTCACCAAGATGGGGACATGGCCTTTCCACAGTGGCTTGGTCAGCAGCAACTGGAGCTGCACATCAAGTGGGTGTTGGCACCTGAAAATTGGGGGCGAAAAAAATATTCCACATCCAGTGTTTGATCACCATTTTCCCGTTTTACAGTAATCCATATTAAACGCCACAAAAATTGCAGGAAATGAAACGGACCCCCCCAATTTTGGACAAACTCAAATATCGGTTCACAAATGGTTCTGTCCAGAAAAATTCTCCCCAGCTCCCGCGAATTCCCAGTGAAGTGGTTACTAAATCCCATGTTATTCCGTTTTTGAGGGTTAATTTTCTATTCTTCCGATGTTTTTTTTGGCGGTTATTCAATGCATATATAATATCATATATATATATCATTATACAATTATACATGTGTATGTATATATATATGTATACAGTATACAGTATACAGTATCTTATAGAAAAAGAGAGCAAGAGAGAGTGTATTATAATGCCATATTCCATTAAATGTTGAATCCTGGCTCCCACCCTTCAAGTCTCAAGTCCGTCCTCCATTGTGCGGGTCGCGCCATTTGTTCTTCGGGTCCAGCCGCGCCCGAAGTTCATCCACAACTTGGCGACAAGGAGCCCGCGCCAGCACCTCGACCTCCGAGCGAGTGCGCATCTTAAAGAACTTTAATGTGGGTAAAACAATGCCATTAATAGTGACTAATGCCATTAATTAATAGTGACTAATAGTGGTTCATTAATAGTGGTTCATCATTATAACAGTGATTATAACTACTAATAATCACTGTAATAGTGACTAATAGCGATTGTAACAGTGGCTATAATGGTGGCTAATAGTGGTTCATAGTGATTTTCATAGTGATTAATACCTTTTTTATGTGGGTAAAACAATGCCATTTGCACCATCCCCCAGTCATCACCATGATTTTTTACGTGGTATGGTGCCCCCATTCCCACTCATGGGTGGTAAACATGGCATTGTTTTACCCACATTATACGGTTATTTGACATAACTATGGAAGGTATGGAATAACTACGGTATGGTTAATAAGAACTCTCCATATCCATACCTCAGTAAAAAATGAGCATGGTTATTTGACATATAGAAAATCACCAGTCTTAAATTTCGCAAATCAATGGAAAACATCTATAGATTATAAATGGGTCATTTTCCATAGCTATGTGAAATTAGCCAAGGGTAACAAGCGAACCGGTGCCTGTTTGAGATGCGCTCGCTACAGTCCCATCAGTTTTGCTGTCATGAAAAATTGTGATGTCCAAACACTTAACCGCTATCAAATTCAGCCGTGGCTATGACCATATGTATATATATATACATATATTATTATTATTATTATCATCATCATCATTTTTTTATTATTATTATTATCATTATTACTATTATTTATATTATTATCGTTACTATTATTATCACTATTATCATTACATATTATTATTATCATCATAATATATGTACATATGTTGATCATACATCTGTGTTAGTACCCTCTCAGTTGATGGCAGCTGCGCCTCCATGGAGGCATGCACCCACGCCGCCGAGCCGGGACAGCGCATGCTGACAGCTGAGTGGAGCAGCGCCAGCAGCGCAAGGCGTGACATACGCAGAGACATTGGGGTTTTTATGGTGGTTTTATGGTGATTCCAACCTGACACTAACCTGTTTTTATGGTTTTATGGTTAGTATGGTGGTTTTATGGTCTTTATGGTGGTTTTTACAGTGATTCTATAGATCATAACCTGACAGTAATTGAGTAGTAGAATTGATCACAGATCATGGTTGGATACCGATCGAAATTACTCAGATTGACTAACTGTGACGATTAGAAATCAAATACTATGGACTATGGATGTTGTTGTTTATCCATGTATTAGCTAAATGTTGGTCTCGTTGTGAATTGATCACGAAAAAAAACAGCCGGGATAAAGATTGGGTCCAACCTGACATGAAAAAAAGCATCAATTGGATAGAAACCAACAAGGAAGCTGGGGTGCTCAGGTATGTCATGCATTTTCGTGCCACGTTGAATCATAGATATACTCTATCTATAGGGCTAGATCTGAAACAGCCCCAAACATGCGGTCAGTGGTTCACCTTCCGGTTAACCTTCGCGTGTCAACATAACGCGTGACATCTATATCAAAGCCAAAAAAGATAGAACAGTGAATTCCTAGCAAAATAGTAGTAAACTACGTGTCTATCCTTTTAGAGCTTACTATATGTTACTATATTTCTTTTGTCACGTCCTGCCATGCGCTGAATGGTCTTTAACATTCTTTCCTTACCTTGAAATCTTGAAACTGCTGCGCAATGACAGGACAGGCGAGTTGCCTCATTGAGGTCTGCCGCTAGCGCAAAGCTTTTGAAGTGTCAGATTGTGCATTCCAACTGTGGCAATGGACCTTTTAAATCCGAGAAAGACACGTCTTCCAAACCGTCCAATACTGCTTACTGTAAAAAAAAAGAATAGCATAGAATCATCTGACCTTCCACCTAATACAAATTGGAGATGCCAAATTCCTCCTCAAACGGTGAAACCCAGCCTGTTCTGCACTGGATCAAAACACTCTGGGCGGTACTTGTCCTGAATCGGATCATGTCCAGTTAATGTCCCGAGGATAAGATTTCCCTATGATCCTCCTCCCTTCAACATCGGTTGAATGCTCCCCTCAAAGCGTTCCATCTACTAAATCCAGCGCTGAACGAATCGAGAAACAAGCGTCAGTTGTTAATATCCTAATTTGACCCTAACTTGAATGGTATCATACATAGGTTTGTACCAATGCCTATGGCCTATGAACATGTCTATGATATTTTGGTAGTTCCTGGTATTTCTAGTGAAGAGGCCTGAAGAGGAAAATCAGATCTGCTTTGCTGGATATTTGCCCACAATAAGAGGCCTTCTTAAACTTTCATGATTTTCCCATTCACGATAGGGCTAGCTATTCCATCCCCTGGCCAGAAACGAGGAGATTTGTCCCTATTGAAATGACCATCTCCTGACATACCCACTTCCATCCATTAAATCCCCAAATGTTTGATGGTCAAAATTCATGGTCAAAATTCATGGTCAAAATTCATGGTCAAATCCCATCTTCCCCAAGATCCCATATGAAAATCCGACAAAAAAACATTGTGATTTCTCCCAAGAATCATCCTTTTTCATGGTTAAATCATGTTTTTAACCGTTTTCAAGTGTTCATAGTGTCAATCGCAATCCTTTCGATCAGAACATCAGGATTAAAGGATGGTGACATCCCAATCTTTCATGGTGGAATCTCCATCTTTGATGCTTACCCTCCGGTAATCTAACATATCTATTGAACATGGCCATAGAAATCGTTTCTTTACCTATTAATCACTGTGGATTTTCCAGTTCGCAAAATGTCAGTTTAGAGGGTAACCACCACTACTAACCACTATTCATCACTACTCATCATTAACGACCATTAATCATTAGTAGTGGCAATTAACCATTACTATATAATCATTATTAACCACTCTTAACCACTACTTATCATTATTAACCACCATTAATAGTTATAATTAACCACTATTAACCACCATAAAAATCATAAAACCACCATTACCTAATCTATTAACCACCATTAACCACCATTAACCACCATTAACCCACCATAAAACCACCATGAAAAAAGTTCAACCGCTCCTCGTAGCTCCATGGAGCCCGGTCCATCCCCATGAAGCGTGGCACGTCCACGCCACCCAGGACGTAGAACCTACGGACGTTCGGAAGGGAGTTCTGAAGGGATGCGGAAGGGAATTCCATGGGGATTTCTAGGATGTTCCTATTGGATTATTGTGGGATTTAATAAGTTCGGAAATCTTTGGAACCTTTGGAATGAACAAAAATGAGACCACCATTAATTCGTATTCATATTCATTCGCTAAGCAAATTCCTATTTTGTCTACGGTCAAATCCCAATGTTCAACCAGAAGCCCCGCGCCTTCCACCAATTGAGGCTGTGGCACCCGCACGTCGAGGTCTGCAGGGGTGATGCGAAGATGTGGGGTAAATCTGTTGTGAGATATAGAAACTATCTTTTAGACACTTTTTAGTATATATAAGTTGTTTAGCACCCAATCACCGTAACAGTGAGCACAAGAAGGGCACTGCAAAAAGCACAAGAACCGCACTAGAATGACTATGAGATGCTTTGCGATACGTTTGAGAAGCGCCAAAGGTTCAGTGGTGCGCTGCTGATTTCTGGACTTCAACTCTATGTTCTTCAAAAAATCAGCAATCCAAATCACCAAACCATGATCTTGACTAGAAATGATGATGAAATAATTAGTACCCTCTGGTAAACGTTTACATAGCTATGGAAAATCACTATTTTATAGCTGGGTAAATCCACTATTTCTATGGCAATTTTCAATAGCAAACTGTTAGTCATTACCAGAGGCTAAATCCCATTACATCCCATTAAATCACCATTTATAGTTGATTTTCCCATTAAGAATGATGGTTTTCCCAGTAGTTATTGCCAGAGGGTAGCCATCATCATTTCGGCATGGGTCATTGCACCCCCTGAGAAGTCGGACATGCACATTGAGGGCAAAGTCTCCCATAGTCCTGTCCTGCGGCGCAGTGGGTCAAAAACCACCACTGGTGGCGAATTCTCATGTTCCCAATCAAAAATTCTCATCTGTTGGGAGATTGCCACATTTTCAGATCCACATATCATATCAAGCTGGTTAATATATATATATATAAATAAATAAATACTATATAATACAATAATATATATATATATATTATATATTATATTTATTATATATATATACACATGTGTATCCCATCAGAATATCCCGGTTGATATCCCATGTCATCCCCATTCCCTTTTTGGACCTTCCCCTTCGCCATGGCCCTGGTGAGATTCCCATGGAGGACTCCTGGGATCGAAGCGCTCAGCCGAATCCATCGCCATCCCAGAACTGCCACCAGAGACGTAGATCTGCGGCGCCTCTCCGGTGGGTTCTACGCTGGGTTCTACGCTGGGTGAAATGGGTTGGGGATTCTGCTAGAATTCATGCCATTCACAGCCCTAGTTGGGAGGGAATTCACAGATTGTAACTATAAGTGATCCTGAGATGGGAGAAATTGTGACAAACATCACATGGCTTATGTAAAGTCAGAAAAAACTGGACAAGCCTTTGCCTCCAAATATATAGCACTACAGTGGGGATTGATGTTGATGATAAATGATAAATCACCCATCCTCCTGAGAGATGAGCGGCAAGATCGGTCTCAACCTGGGCGCGCCAAACTGACGGTGCAATCCCCAGAGGCCGCCAGCTGAAAGAAGAAAAGGAGTAGCTAATCACACAATAGGTAGACATATATTAATATATCAATATGTGTATATATATATATATACTGTATACATTACTATCTATATATATATACATATTAATATATATATATATAATTATATTAATATGTATATATATATATATATTAATATGCATATATATATATATTAATATGCATATATATATATATATATTAATATGTATATATATATTAATATGTATATATATAATATATACATACGACAAAAGAGAAAATGATAGATCATTGGGGAAAATACCACCCAAATTTGGAATGCACTAGCAAAATATTGTAAAATAAATGACGCCGATATATAAAGCCAGGGTCAGGGTCATACACAACCTTTGGGGCCTTTGTAGTCCAGGTTTACCTGTGTGCATTGACAGTGCAATCAGCTTGAAACTTCAATGGCTGACTGCCTAAAGTTTGCACTGGTCGCGCCTCTAGTGACTATATAATCCACACAGAAACAGGAGCTTCGTGCTTCCTTTCATCCAAGAGATACATCAATCGATATGCCAGGGACAGTTTGGAAAAACTGGCATCAAACTCTGGATATGGCTGTGGCTCAAAAACCGGCCTCCCATTGACCCACCCATTTTGCCATCGTCCGTACCGATCCAATCTTTCAGAACCATTGCCATTTGGAAATGACTCTGCCTGAACATGAGGATTCTTCCTGAAAATTCATCCAAAATAACCGCAGTTTGCGATTCTTTCCCCTCTGCGACACCGTGGTCGTCAAAGAAGTCTGGAGATTGACCATCTCACTCATCTCACCAGGACGGTGATGTTTCATGATGTTTCATCCACCAAAAACGGTAAAAATGTATGTAACAACACACACACACCATAAAGGAGAATGATGCAAAATATATCAACATATCACCTGATATCAACATCATCATGGTCATCACCTCATGTTTTAATAAAAAACAATTTATGAAAAGTTCAGTTCCAACCTGACATGGTTCACGTATCGGCTGCCTGGGTTGCCAAGAAACGCCTCATTACACGCGCGACACGCCTCGCATAACCTGAGCGTCGGTTGCCCATAGAAGCAGTGCCTTGATTGTCTTGATATTGGATTGCATATTATATCAATGTTAATCATTTATATTGTTTGATGCCACATATGTTCTTAATGACATCATTTTCCAATTGTGTTGTTTGCCAACTGTGTAGACATCTAATATCAAAGCGTCAAAGCCAAGTCAGTTGCTTCTTCTTCACTTAGTTGACCTCAGGTTGTTCATACGAATAGATGGAATGCATTGAAACTGTGCCAGCTGTAAACAAATGTACATGTAAATATGTGTACATGTACATATAGTATACATGTAAACTATAACATACTATACATAATACATATATGTTCATATACATTCATAGTTCTTCATACTTATTATGCTGAATTGTCTATTATATAGATATATTATGTGTCTGTATATTATAATAAATGTATGTTATCTGGATAACTTATACCAACCCACTAATCTGGAATACTATGTTGGGATGGTTACCCTAATCCTAACCATCATTCCAGTGAGGTCGCAGTGAGGTCGTTATGATTTATCTATCGATAGATAGATAAATAGATAGATCGATAGATAGATGCTATAGTATGGGTCCCGGATATCCTCCTAGAATGTGAGTTCCCCGACTGAAAGGCAGCGGTGGCGCCAGCCGTTTGCCCGATGCTGCGCAGAACCTGCAAATGGTTAGACCGTGGAAAATGTTCAAATACCAACCATGAACAGTATAGACCAATACCAATACCAATACCAGTACAGGAAGAGGCCCCTAGATAGGTCAGTTGACTTATAACCAGCTGGGTTCAGTTGCAGAACTACCATGCCGACTCCTCAAGCCCAAATCTCTAGTTTTGCAGACAAATCCAAGTCTCGTTGGCAAAATCACTGCTTTTGAATATCTCATAAACACTATGTCTTGCTCACAAAACCCCGTTGTTTTTTGTGAAATCCCCAACTTGTTGTCGTATGGTGTTCATAAAGTCCACACGTTTGGTTGGTTAACTCCCGACTAAATTGACCTTTGCTTGGTTAAATCCCAGTAAAATCATATGTTTGGCTGGATCTTCCAAATTCAATTTTCGGCTAATCAATCCCCAATGGAATTCCCTACTCTTCTTGTTTCATTCTCAAGTGTTCATTGTTTTTGATCACATCTTTCCGGATAGATTCATTCAAAAGTCGCTAACCTGAAAAAGGTTCGCCTGTTTGAGAATAATTACATATGGCAGTGTGTCAAAACCTTGTACCCCTGGTGAACATCAAAATAGCTGGTAAATGGATGTTCATCCCCCTAAAAATGGTATTAATAGGTATTGATCCATACCCATATCCATTTCAAACATACCCTAAGATGTTCCCAGTTCTATTCAGACGTTATGTAACTCATCTGTAATTATCATAAATCAAACATCATCAAACATGGCAATGGGAAATCCTGCAAAAAAATATAATCTATAATGTGGGTAAAACAATAACAAACCATCCCCCAGTCATCAGCATTTTTATAGCTGGTATGTTTACCATTCCCACATGGGAATAATATGACATTGTTTTAGCCCCATTAATTAAGGTATTGATCACGATTATAATCACTATCAACCACTATTAGCCACCATTTTCATAGATTTTCCATGATGTTCCCAGCGAAAACTCTCATAACCAAAAGGATGGCCTCTCTGAGCTGCATCACCTCTGAGACCTCAGCTTCAGGTTTTGCGCCGGTTTTGTGCTTGGCCGAGTTTTTTTTTTTTAAACAAGGGTTATAGTCCCGTGTAGAACAGAGAAAGTTGATTTTAGGGGAAAAAAAACAACAATCAAAAACAGAATCACCAAAAAAACATCTCGTTGTTGGTGTGTTGTTTTCTTTTTGTTTTTTTCTTGTTTTTTTCCTTGAGTTTGGTTTTCTAGTTTGTTTTTTTTCTGCGCTCTGGTTTTGTTTTTTTTGTCAAACCCTATATTCTCTGTGTTGCTGGGGTCATAAACCAAGGGACCATGAAAAAAGTGGTGAAAAAATGGTGGAGTTCTCCATGAAAAATGGTGAAACACCATGGTGTTGGCCATCTTAGCTATCCAAAGCTGAAGAAATACGGAAAACAAATGGTTTTTAGCTCCAAATTGGTGTGCGTATGCAATGGAACCAACCAAAACTGGGAACAAGCGACGGGTCAAAACTCTGTCACCCGCGTGAACACCGAAATAACTCCACCAACATGGTCCCGCCACATCAGGTATTTCTTTGTATTGACTTCATCATCATTTCAATCGTGGATGCCGAGCAAAAAATAAATCCGGTTTGTCTATTCTACCATCTTGCGTAAAAATTGAGCCACTCTCATCAATCAAGGACTACCACCGACTACCACCCTTATTCTTGCAAGAAATAAAATGACTTAAACCAACCAGAATGAGGAGCTCGGCAAATAAAATTAGGATTTGATCAACAACATTGCAGCTTCGACCCAACAAAAGGGGAATTGTTTCATGCGACAAACAAGCCAATGGGGGACTTGACTGATTCAATCAAAGAATCACGTATAATGCCAACACCGGATTAATAAACCCCCCCCCCCAGAAGGTAGGGAGGTACCTTCTGACTGGTTTTCTTGATCGCCCCTTAATAATAAGCAACTCTGAACCATAAAACTTTGGATATGGCTTACGTCAATTAGATCTTAATAGAATTCCATTGGATTTGTTAAAATTTCATGGATCAGAAAGGTGGTTGATTAATCAGGGGCAAACCATGGTTATTATTACTGGGGGACATGGGCTCATGGGGGGTACCCTTTGGGAGCTATCCAAACTGATGTTTTTTATAAATATTTTAATTAGAAATCGATCATTTGGGGAATAGTTGTTTTTTGAAATTTTCAATGATCAACTTAAACCTGAAGTATAACAATGATGATTTAAAAAAAGGTAAAAAACAATTGGAAATAAATAGAATTGGAAATAAAAAATGTTGGATAAAAAAATGGATTTCCGAAGTGGTTGTTGATTAATCGGGGGTAGGCCAAAAAAATTATTAATCTGGGGGGACCACCTGTTTTTCCATTACATTTTTTTTGGGCAGTTGCTGTTGATTAATCGGGGGGCATTATTAATCCTCACTTGACATTATAGGTATTTATAGGTTACCAATTTTACAATGAACCAAAATGGGAATATTAACCGCAAGCAAAAAAATGCGAAATATGCAAAATGATATTGTCGATCTATCTATTTACATCATTTACATGTATGTTATCATCCTATATGCTTCTGTTTTAGCATGTTACATCATATTAAACCATATATGCTATGTATTACCACTCATGTAGACCATTCGTCACTTTCGGATGCCAAATGACCACGCAGGACTTGTCATCCTCGGTGCGCCAAAGCTTCCCAAAGAGCCTGGTGGTCGGAAAAGGCTGCCGCGGCCAAATTCAGGATGGGGATCTGGTGAAAATTTTGGGTATGGGTCAATACCTATAGATACCATTTTTAGTGGGATGAACATCCATAAATCCCAGCTATGATTTGGGGTTCACTAGGTACCAGGGTTTTGACCCATCCCCATTTTGATCTTTGACCCAAGTTTTCTTCAGGACCTGACTTGAAGATTCAAAAGCCTCTGATTGCACACAATGCGAGGCAACTGTGAAGTCATGAGGTGTCAGGGTTGGTTTAGTAGTGAACTATTCCCACTGATCCTTAGAATTTATTTCACTTAGTGGAGTCTGCAACCTGGTATTGGAGCTGGATGAAAAGCAGTTTGTCAAACTGATGTATACTGTTGGCATACTAATTCTTCTGCACGACGGCTATAAAATGCTACAAGTATAGCTCTTCAGAATCTACTTCCTAGGGACACAAGCTACGCTTCACCAAATATGATATGATATTTGCTGGATGTCCCTACACCCTGCAATATTGACCAGTAGGATCAGTGTGACTATAATATGTGGGTTTAGGGTGTCATTTAATTGACTCTTGACTTTCACTGTCTACAACATTGCAGGGTAGAAACGGTGAACACCACAAGTATGTCACCAATAGTTGGAGTCAAGTCATAATTACCCCCAAAAAAAGGAATATCCCCCAAGGCCCAATACCTCCAATAACTAGATTCCGAATATATAATAACCAAATAATAATTCATAATCAAATGATTCGATTAACACATGTTCATATTACCAATATATACCCCAATGCACAAAATAAATGGAAGTATTGGACAATCTATTGGTATATAATTATTGGTAATATGCTATGGATGTACACTATGATTTTTTACATGAACTACCACAACTTGTCCAAGTAGATATCCGATTACTACACATCAATGATTACTATTCAGCGATATTACCAATATATACCCCGATTACATAGATTATCAAATATTGTATGCCTTACTATTACAGTACTATACCAGTATTTTACCTCAATGAAATACCAGTATCATTACAATTGGATTGCCATATTTGCAATCTCAAAAAAAGAACGAAAAGGGATTTATCACTATTCTACTGTTTGAGTGATTTTATTGTTATCTTACTGTTTGGCATCTTTTTGGGGGTTTACATTTTGAACGAATAGATTGAATAGATCCAGATCCACATTTCTGGCACCAGCTTCACCTTGAGGTGAGACCGCGACTTGGTACCTGGAAAGTTCACGGTTGCGAAGCGGGATTCTATTCAAACTTAAGCCTTCAAAACGTATGGTTGGACAGATCGATTCTGTACCGTATCTGTTTCTGTTTCTGTTTCTTGCTCATGTACAGAAGATGGTCTATCAGTCCATCACGTATATAATAGTACCTGTACCCGCTCACTGTACCCCGACATTTTACGGAATCATGGACACAATGTGTGCGCGCGTGTGTGTGTGTGTGTCTGCCCCAGCAACATTTATGTATGTCTGACATGGCTTGTATGTGTCGAAGTGCGGATGTCAGTACTTTTGGTGACTTCCACATCTCGCTATTGGCGCTGATTCTGCTAAGACCATCCAAGTGTGGGACCATCCGAAAGTATTACCATTGGTTATTGGCATTGATCACTGTCTATTTGATCCTTCCAATATCTTCCAATATCTTGCCTTGACATATATGGACCATGACTTAGCTTTACACATTTCGATACATTTCGCATATCTGGTTTATCAAAAGAGTTGATGAAGCCACTGAGATTTCAATTTTACACACGATAGCACTAGGCGAAGACACATCAATAGCTAGCGCCACCCCGTGGCGCCTTCACCGCGGTGCCCGTCAGGCCCGTGCCGGTGCACGGCACGCTGGGGCTTGCCGGACTTTCCTGGGCCTGGGAATGGGATGGACGGATAATCCAGACATATATAGACAGGTAAATCGATAAAACAAATAGACAGGTCCAACTAATCAACTAATCCTTTGGGATTATGACTCATATTACTCATATTATGAAAAATATTACAGAAAATATTCATAGATCCGAGGAATCAAAGCTTCAAAAAGGGGCACGCAGGGTTGCATTGATTGGGTTGAGATATATAATTTGTAAATCTCCCGTATCCCGATCCTGGTCAACTTGCATGTCTGTAGTTTTCTCCATTTCATTCCCTCATATATATATAATATTTGTTTACATATACATTCTATATAATCCATTATTAAAATTATATTGTACAGATACATATATTATCATATTTATATATATATATACATGCTCAATCCGGCTTCTGTTTCCCCATTGATCCTGCAACAGATTCCATAGTGCAGGCTTGCATGAAGCATAATTTGTCACCCCAATTTGAAGGGTCCAAGTGCCCAGCGGTTTTCTCGAATGTGCCTTTCCAGAACAAGTGGCACAAGGCATCATGTGGTCCCTCCAAGGACATACGTCATAGTCCCAAAATGGACAAGCGCTATCTGGATATGACCAGCCATGGGTGGAATTGATGTAAAAACTTTTGTTTCATCATGTTTCATCTGTATACAGTATACAGACACTATAAATGTGTGTTTCCAAACATGGGGGGACCCATGTTTATCACAAAGTTTTCCCCATCAATGACCAAAAACTTGGATGAACGGAAAAAAACAAAAACGCGCCTCGGCTGCTCGAGAATGGCCTGCCGTGTTGGTTTCAGAATGCCCAAGAAATTCATGTCATTCATTTCTAGTCTTAGACCCGCACGAAGTCCATCAATGGATGGCTTTTTCCCACACAATCTGAAGCAAAAACCATGTTTTTGGACATGTTTTGACACAAGCAAAATACCCTCTGGTAAACTAACATAGCAATGGAAAATCACAATTTTCAATGGGAAAATCCACTATAAAGGGCCATGTTCAATAGCTATTTTGACATAACCAGAGGGTACATCATCCAATTTCTGTCATTTTTTGGGCTGATTCCCAGCATCTCCCCAGTCGCTAATGGTGAACGAAACCGAACTCGGCGGACCGGGCGGGATATTTGAAGATGGTAACCTGGTCACTGGCCATGACTCAGGTTCCTATTGATTGGAGGTACCGATTCCATATATGTTTGGTCTATTTTTTAGGCCTATGGTTCAGGGGATATCGCCAGAAAATATGGCCTGAAAAATGGTACTAACGTAGCTCCATCAATTGGATCCTGAAGATCTCCCATTGACCTGGTCTCATGTTCCTTGTTGAAATGCCATAAACATCCAGTTAACATTCATAATCATGAGCTGACAATGCCAATCTGACAGATTGTTTTTTTTTTCCGAGCCCATGGGAGAATCAGAGGATGACATGTCGTCGTCGCCTGCTGAAGAGTCCCACAGGAGGAACCTGGGTCAATGGAGAGTTTAGCTATCCGTTCTGGGGAACTTACTGGAAAGTTCAGAAACCCAAAGTTCCAATCTGTAGAAAATGGAATATGAATTGATATGAACCAATATGAATTTGAATTAATATGTCCAAGCAGTGTTTCATGGAAACTGAAATATGAATCGAAGTGTAGCTATGTGCAACAGGGGGCAATTCATGTCAATTCATGTCAATTGGCTGTTGAAAATTGGGGTAGCCGAATGACCAAGAACTCCCCAGAAAGGGAGCCTTCTACACAGCTGCTTTTTTTTGGGTGCGTCCCGGGTATCGTTCACGTGGCGCAACTAAGCCACTCATCTTACTGGGGTATGTTCCATTAACCATGGCAGTATATCTTACTGGGGTATATTAACCATTGTTACTGCGGTAGTACCATTTTGTAACTTACTGGGGTATATTCCATTTATCAAAAATAACAAAGTTCACGTGGTTATTACCCATTTGGTAACTCAATCCAACTGACTATAAATGGCCTTCCGTCTTTCCGTCCTTCCTTTTTCAAGGCCCCTAATTGGGACTATCCCATGTGTTAACCATTTTGTACGTCTAACTTGTTTCTTATGATATAGTTCCCTAGATATATAAAGTCATATCAATATTGTTGCGTATATCACCAAGTCAATCCCATTCATACTTCCATACTGGCAACAAATATCATTCTATCAAATGTATTCAAATGTTCTAAATCATTACTTTTAATGATGTGGCATGTATCTCAATATTCATAGTAATTCATAGAATATATATATATATATACATTATATATATATATATGTATATGTCATATATAAGTAACTTATATAAGTAACTTATATATTATAGCCATAGGAGATGGGCTATGGCACCTCCGCCATCAGCAGGACCGATCGGCAGGCCGAAGAGGCCTGGCAAGCTGGTCCACGCACGTGGCACGTTGGCATGGCTGAGGAGGGTTGGAATCCCCAGAAATCGTAGCAAAAAACTGTAGATTCCCTCTGGTAAACTAACAGTTTGCTATTGAAAATGGCCCATTTGTAGTGGATTTACCCATTGAAAATGGTGATTTTCCATAGTTATGTTAGTTTACCAGAGGGTAGCCTCTGGGAAAATTGACCAAATTGACAAACAAAAAGTATGAAACACTAAAAAAAGGATGATTGGAATTGATGATTACCCGGAGGGTAATTTAAATGGAGACTGGAAACAAGAAATTTTCGCATGTCCAAGAAGAAAATCACATCCAAACTATTCCAAACTGATTTGTGAGAGACTGCGTAAAAAAGAAGGGGCCTATGCGATGACCGCTTAGTGTTCATGGAATTAATGATCGCTATGCATTCGGCCATGTCACCAAAAACCATTGCCGTGTTGGATCTGGTCCGGTCATGTGCGGTCCATAAATCCCCATGGTTCTGGTCTGTACAAAACCCCGTACCCTGTAGCTCACACAACAAAAACTGATAGCTATTGATGTTTATCCGCAGAAATTTTATGGGATCCACTTATGATTTTCCAAGCAACAAAGCTTTGACTCACGAATTAATCCATTAACACTTTTTGATGGATTAAATCCCTATGTTGGTTTATATCTCCTTTAACTCCCCATGAAATCACCGAAGAAAACTCTGACTCGGCCCCGCCGTCCGCGAGGCGCTAGCGAAGTGCAGCACGTCTGAGCCCAGGAATTGGGCTACGCTGCGGACCTTGGGGCTTCACCAAACTCCAAAGTATTTTTGGTCAAACCTTGGAGATTTACCCGGCCTGGTAAACATACAAAAAACTATGGAAAGATCCACCATTTTTAATGGGAAAACTCACTACAGATTCAACATGTTGATGTCATCAAAACTGATGCAAAATGGAGTCTAATACTGGATTTGTGTTATCCCATGTTATCCCATTTCAGAGCTGAATTGAAAACATGTCCAACCAAGGCACCACGTGCGGCGCCCGGCAGAGCCGTTGGAACGTGGCGCCCGTGGCGCTCCGCTCTGGGTCCGTTGGAACGTGGCGCGCCAGGTCGCCCTGCGTTCAGGGATGGGATCTATGGGGAAATTTCACATGTATATATATATTTGTATAATGTATATATATAATGTATACTTAGTGTATATATATAGATATAATGTATAATATATGTAATATATATATATATTCATTTATACACTGTATATCATCTATAATATTATATATCAATGGGGAAAAATCTATCATGGGAATCATCTATATAATGGTATATTCATATATCTATAGGATCTATGTAAACATGGAGAATATCATCAACATCGCTGGTAAATTCACCGGGATGTTTTTTTCATGGGACAACGGGAATGCAATGGATTATAGTAATTCCCAATAAATGGATTACCAACAATCTTTATGGATTGCCAGCATTTCAACATCAATATACTGGGAATATCACGGGGATATATCATGATGAAAATTGGAATTTAAGCAACAATCATGGGGACTCAACCACAATACTGGATTATGATGGAATATAATATATCATGGGAATATATCCATTATACGGTAGTGGTTCTATTCCCATTACATGTCCCATGATATATCAACATGTTTCTTGAATGTATAATGGCAATTGTATGTAATGAACATTTTAGCAGCAATAAAATGGCAACCTGCAGGATGATATGGTGAAAAAATATCCCATGACAAACCCCCGCGGGTTGAATGCGTGATTTGACCAACCATGGGAGCATTCGAATGTCAAGCATCCTGAGGATTTGACACAATGGGAATATGATGGGGTTTAGTAGGCGAATTTTCATGGGATACCATCAGACACACCGGGAGATTTTTGGTGGGATTTTTCTGATGTGAATGTCAACCCAGATTTACCATCGTCATGGGTACGACGAAGTCCCCCATCTGAGATCATCTATGGATCATGGATTGGTCCACGAGCCCAAGATGTATTTGGATCCATTGTACCCTAAGAAAACCACATGAGTCAACTTTCAGAAAAGGGATCTGCCTGACAAAATCGAAGCCAAACTAGTCGCTGGCAATAAAACATCATATATCATCATGCTCAGTAGGTAAATCACCTATTTCTATGGCCATTTTCCATAGCTTTTTGTTTGTTTCGCTGGTCAATCCTCTGATTTCATCGCCATGATTTGCCAGTGCCATGATGCCATGATGCCATGTGTTGCTTGTTGCTGATGGGATTTCCAATGGTCCCATGGTGCATCGATCCTCGAAATCCTACAACTGGTTACAACCACCTGTGGTAACCTGGCAGGACCAGGACACTCTGCATTTTTGGGAAGTCCAGCCGTTGGCCGGATAACCCAGAAAAACATGGAAAAAAACCTCAGGTTTTGATGCCAACTAACAGATTTTTCTAACTTACTTAACCATACTTAACCATACTTAACCATGAAGTGTAGAATTCACCTACTACAACCATCTAGAAACTAAGGTTCTTTCACCATGGTTGATATATCTCACAACCCGACGGCCAGGCCAGAAAAATCGCCTGTGTGAGGAGACCAGTTGACATCAAGCAGTACTTCAACCTGCGATGTTGGAACAACGGGGGAATTCTACCTAGATGTACATACAAGGTGGTGCCCCATAGTTAGCTAAGTTGGTTTATAACTCCCATAACTATGGTTTATGGTAGATATAACTATAGTTAATGGGGTTTATAAACCAACTTATAACTGGGGGGCACCATCCTGTATAATATATATATATATATATACATATTATATACCCCCAAAATAAGAAAAATCATTGACAGTAATTTAAAGTATCACTACTTTAGTAGGATTGTGCTTTTCTATCCTTTTTGGCGATACTAATATAGATAGATAGGTAGATAGATAGATCGATAGATAGATAATGATAGATAGATATATCCAATTCTAAAATGTCGTGGTGAATCACTGTTCAACATGTTCAACATCTTTTTAGGCTTTGGGGGTTACTATAGGTTCAATTCCATGGTTTCCCCAGAAATATCTTGACCCCATCAGAGCATGATAGATAGGCCACAATCTTGGGACAGTTTGCTGTGAAACAAGCAGCTCTATGTATACATAGTAAATCTTGGTGTATGCATGACATCAACTAATTTGCTGAGACACAATTGAAGAGGTTGGTGCAGTTGATCCTGAACTTCCGTGCTTTGGGGTAAACATGGGTATGTCTCAAGACTCCGACACCAACGTGCAGACATAACTCGATCCAACGCTTCCATCATGTTTAGTTTAGCAATAATCCCATCCCACTCATACTAAAGACCCCCTCCCAAATGTGCTAAATCTCCCACTAAACCATGGTTTCTAGGGGTGTGCTTGATAGGGGAAGGGATTCATCTTAGGGGGTGATCTTTGAGCCAAACTACCTGGACCCAAGGTCCAAAGATTCGGTACATAGCGGCTAGGCCGCTGGGAATGTTTCACTTTTTTTCGGAAGTTGTTTTTTCCCTCGGCCCCAAGCCCATTGTAAACTTCTAATTGTCAAGGAGTTTCCAGCCCAAATCATCGGCGAGGGACGCTTGCTGCTCATCTTTCAGCTGGTTCAACTCAGCCAAGAGCACCTGATTTTCCAAGGGTTTCACCTCATATGAAAAAGGTGGATGGGAAGCTTAAGATGCCTACTTGAATACATACATATAATATCATATAATCATGTATATCTGTATATCTGTATATATTTATAATGAATATATATATATATAATATATATATAATGTGTATATATAATATGGTGTAATATATAATAATATATAATATATATACATAAATTATTTTCATTATCACAAACGTACACAATACAAATATATCACCACACCTTTGAGGTCCCAAACCTTCATGGGTCTTTGCCAGGCGCTCAATGGGCGACCTGTTGAGTCGATCAGGTCGCACTTTGGGGCCAGCGGTTGATGGAACAAAACCATGGGGATTTTCAGGGTTTCATGGTGTTTAGTGGTGTTCAATGTAAATTTCATGGGGTTTTCCTGGGATTTGATGATGTTTACCACGTTTTTTTGTGATTTAATGGTGTTTTCATGGTGATTTAATGGTGTTGCATGGTGATTTAAGATGATTTACCCTCTGGTAAACTTACATAGCTATGAGAAATCATAATTTTATCATGCGTAAATCAACTATGTACGGTCCATGTTTAATAGCTCGCTGTTAAATTATCAAAGGGTAAATGGTTGGGAAAATGGGTTCTAATCCATTTTTAATGGGTCAATAGTGGCTTACGATTGCTATATATTGCTATAATCCCATCTCCCATCATGTGCAGGAAACTCTGATTGAAATGCAATCGAACTACTCATATATATATATATATGTTCATGAATTGGAGCTCCATCTGAAGAAATTTCATGTTATGGGGATGGGTTTCTTTCATTTGAAATCTAGAGTCCAGATTTTGATGGATCTTTTCTATCTTTCGGCCTTCCAGAAATCCATCTGCTTCGATCGATCTATGACCTACCTAAAAATGGGAGGATACGAAAAATTGCGACACCCTGTGTAGTTCCCAGATCCTGATTTTAATGCAAACAAAAAATGATTCTTGTATGATTCCTGTAGCAATGGATTATGGCTAGAAATCCAAGAAAATGAATTGAACTTGATGGTTTTGGAATGTTCATCAGTCTAGTACCTGCTGGTTTGAGCTCCGGGCCTTTCTTCCCATGCATCGGTCGCCGCGAGAGAGTCATAACGCCGCGCTGTGTCGTGGCAGATGTCGCGACCTCTTTTGCTGAGTGCTGGGGTCCGCCTTCTGAACCTCAGAACTGAGTTGAGTTTCCAACAAGATATGGGGTGAAAAGCCATTGGTCACTTGCAGCTTTGAGTGTACCTTGTGGCAGCCTTGGTTTTTCGCATTGGCATGGTTGGCATACTTTCTGTGGGTCATGATGATTGAACCCACCGAGTTTTTCTCGGCACCATTGCCATTTTTGGCCGGGCTCGAAACTTTCATGTTGGAAAACAATCCCATGTTTGTCGCATTGTTGTCTCTCTTGGTATGGACGACATGATGCAACCAGCTGCGGCGAGGCAGAAGTCATTCCAAGTCACTCCGAGTCATTCCAGACTTTGGTTTGATTGGTGAATGAGTTACAGTAATCTTGAGGCCTGAGTGGATGAATGTACTATCCTGCTAAATTCCGCAAAAACAATCTATGGTCAACTGTTCATTCTCACTTGAAAATAACTGTATGGCCTGTTTTTTTTTAACCGACATGGTGCTCCATGTCTGTTACATCTACTCAATCGACTTGCGGCTCCCAGCGAATTGGACTGACAACCCTGCAGCTTTCTGATCACAGATCCCATGACCACACACAGAAAATCAGTTGCATCAGCCCTCCGAGGTTTCTAATGTTTGTAGTATATTAACAAAAATAAACCATATCAAGGCCAATCTTGCATACCCTGCAAAAAGAAAGAATACGTTTTAGCTGGTTATTAATGACTAGTGAATATGTTCCCGTTTAGAGCAAACGAGAAAATACTGAAGTAGATGAAGTAGGTATCCAAGATCAATCTGGATGTGAGGTACCACATGATGTATAGTTATACACAACCAACCAACGAATCACTTGGGGTTGCAGTTCCAGTTATGCTTGGAAAAACCAGCTGATTCCCATGGTGATATCCATCGTTACATCCATAGTTATATCCATAATTAGAACTTATAACATCTTATAACCATATATAATGTTATATATATATCCATAGAGTTATTATTATTATAGATATATATATATATATCCATAGTTATAAATAGTAATTAGGTTTTATCATCCCATAAAAGCAACCAACTCCAAGCCCCGCGCCGCTGCCGGACTTTTTTTCACTTCGCATCCTCCGCCTTCACCGACGTCACCGGCGCGTTGGGACCAGGCTGGAAGCAGATCCAACCCACGCTCTCGTCGCTGAGGGCACGGGCCTGTGGCTTTTCACATTTTAAAAAGCTCGGTTTTATGATGGAGATCCATCCCACATGGTGCTTCCCATCCTCTGGGCACGTGAGATCGTGGGGATATCGCTACAAAATAGCTGTAACATCCAACTGGCTGGTGGATCTTCGTCCAAAAAAATGTAGGAATTCATGCGTCGATCTGTCCCCAATCGTAATCAAACATCATCCTCGAAAAGAGATGTGAGTTTCCAACTATTCCAACGATAATTCATCATGATCAAACATGGAAATTCCAAAACTTACCCTCCGGTTGATGTTTGCCTATCAAAACGTGGGGGGATTTTCCAGCAAAGCCCACCTGCATCTGCACCTGAGGTGGCCGCTTCACCGTCACCTGTGCCATGGCTTTGATATACGTTGGGATGGATATGAAATATTGGGGATATTTACATTGCTGGTTGGTGGTTGACCTACCCCTCTGAAAAATATGAAAGTCAGTTGGGATGATGACATTCCCAATATATGGAACAATAAAAGCCATGTTCCAAACCACCAATCAGATCATATTAGGGATTTACCAAAGGGAATATATGGGAATCTAATGATTTATGATAGTTATTGAAATTTTGATTTTAAAAAAATGCTGATCATAATGGGAATACAATAAGAATATAATGATGGAAGATAGTGGGAATATAGTTGGAATTCCATGGGAATATGTTAGGAATACCAACCGTCATATTATATATATATATTACAATCCTATCCCCCCAAGGTTAAACACGGCCATTCTATGGTCCCGAATATGTGATTTCATCCCCTATTAAACCATGGTTTCTGGGGGATATTTAGTAGTAGGGAGAGGGAATACTGGGGTGATGTTTGCGATGACTATGGGGATAAGTATCATAATCGGTTTCTTTAATGTCGATTAGTTAAATAGTTCATCATCATTGCGGGCAGGAAACAGAAAAGACAACAGAAAATACCTGCAGCCAGCAGGCTATTGCTGTATCCTTCCTGGAACTCCACAGAGTCTTGAAATCAGCCCCAGTGGCCCAAAACTGGGAGGGGAACATGTTGAAAATCTAACCATCAGGAACCGGTGGATTTTCCCTTCAAATATGCAGGTTTCATCGGTTTTTTTTCGAACACCACACCTGCTTTTTCACCTCAAAGAGCTGACCGGCTTTCAGCTCTCCTTTCGGCCTTGGGCGGGATTCGGCCAGGAAACTTGAGAACTTACCGGTAAGCTGCGAACAGAATCACTGGAACAGAGCTGTAGTACATGATTTCCTTCCAATAATTATCTGGTTGGTGGTTTCGATATATGGACAAATAAAAGCCATGTTCCAAACCACCAACCAGTTATAGATTTAGCAGGGTCCAATTAATAGAATTATTGCCCAACGGGTCTCCTTTTAAGTTCACAGCCACCAGCCAGGGTGACAGTGGTGTCCAACACCGATCGCCCGTATTTTGGCTGCTTGCAAATCACTATGTTTAGTGCTTCAATCACCCCTTGTGACTGGTTCAATCACTCGTTTTAATGCTTAATTAAAAATGCATTGTTTGTGGACAAGAAGATACAACAAGCATACATATCTTATCATACCTTCCATGTTGGATGGTTAAGTCATGTTAAATCACGTTAAAGTCACCATGTGTTCAACGGTTTTCCACAACAGTTTCGACCAAGGTACGAAGCCTTCAGGTCAGCAGCGGGCAGCAGAGGCACCGGAGACTCAAGGATGTAGTGTCGCTCACTCTCCACCACGTACACAGTGCCTCTACAAGTGATATAGAGATTAGGCACTAGATATAGTGATATGATGTGATATGATTATATAGGCTGATCTAACATCCTGATCTATCATGGATGATCCAACTAGATTATAATTGATATATATATATATGTATATATGTCTGGTTGGATCATCTAGAATAGATAGATCATCTATAATACTATAGATATTTAATGTATTAATGTATTATATAATATTATATATAGTATTTCGTATACAATTTATGGATGATCTAGCCAGAGGAATACATAGAGAGTTCTATGATTTCCTACAAAAAACTGTGGATTTTCAGTGCCATGTGGTTCCGCGGCCCAACCGACTGCACCTGCGTTCCCTTGCAGGGTGACCTCGGTTTACCACATTAATCCACATTGATGTGGGTAAACCCAAGACTACCCTCTGGTAATTTAACATAACTATTGAAAATCACCATTTTTAACGGGAAAATCCACTATAAATCACCATTTTCAATAGCTATGTTAAATTACCAGAGGGTAAATGATATGAAATTTACCACGTCTTAGTCTTGGGATATTTTCTGGTGGAAACAATGGGGATATCATGGGATTCATGCAATATTATAGGCTGTAATGGGATTTGTTTGATGTGGTAAACCCAATGCCATCAACCTACCACTTGGAGATAGCTACCACTAGGCTACCAGGTAGCGCTCGAGCGTTATGGATTCAATCCTCCAATGTCGAAGGGTTATTCCCCAAGATTTCCCACCGGGTAAATACCCTCTTTTGTAGACAAGATCTCCAATAATTATCCCCAGTTTTTAACAAAGTGCTTTACAAATCATCCAAAGATCTTCATTTCCTCCCCGAGAAAATTCTAACCGATATATGATTTCCATTGCTTGGAGATGTTGCTACCATAACCATCGAACAAAAAAAAACTTTCAGAAGGGTTTTCTTCCACCACCTTGGAACGTTGATTTCCAAGCGGCCCAGCCCTCCTTGTCCAACGCCTTGGACTTGAAGCGACGTCGTGGAAGGGGTCCACTGCTGTTGGCTTCATCGTCCAAAGACTCCAGGACCTCGTCCACCTGGATTTTACCTCCAGCGGAGGCCGTTTTTTGAAACCGCTGAAGATGAAAAGTTATAGTAACCACTAGTAATAGCGAATTATTATCATACGGCAGTTAGTACTATCTATTAAAATATTATCATATGATATCATATGGTATAATTACAGTATTATCAAACCATAGTAATTATAGTTATAGGCCAAATGACTACTATTATTATACGGTAGCAATAATAGATAATAATAGTCCAATACTAATTAACCACTAGTAATAGTAATCATAATATGTAGTTGGCAATAGCAATGGTAATTTGGTAGTGGAAAACCTATTGAAAGCTGATAATTTCCCAACACATGGTCTATAAACGGTGGTTTTTCCATATCCATGTTAAGTTGCTGTAAGGTAATGGTGACCCAGGATTAATAAAACCACCAGTTCACCAACAGAGTGTATTCCGGTTCGACACTATCTGTTGAAGGCATCAACACCTGTGGGAGTTGGACAAGAAAAGAGGGCACCTGTCGTCATCATTGGGATCCTGAGACTTACCCTCTGGTAAACATACAAAAAACTGTGGAAAATCAACATTTTTGATTGGTAAATCCACTATAAATGGCAATTGTCAATAGCAAACTGTTAGTTTACCAGAGGGTACATGAGTCACATGTGCGAGGGAAGTTGTCTGAGGTCAAATGAAAAAAGAACGTTCCCAGCTTCCTTCGCAAGTCATGTTTTAGCGTGTACGCTAGCGGCTAAACAGATCGCAGTATCCAAGCAAAATCACAATTGGTTCAGTCTTATTCGAAGCGATCCTACCTCGTCATGAAGTCAACCACGATCTTTGCACCGGGAAAAAAGAAAACGCAACACTAGTCACTCGCATAGAAGATTTGAAATGTGATTTTCAAATCTTACCAGGTCAATACATGCAAGTAAAATCGGTGTATTTAAAAAAAAATGTACAGAAGCTGCATCTTTCTTCAGCAGCTCCAGCCGTTCCTTTTCGCCAAGACGCCAACAACTTTGCAATTGTTGATGTCGTAGACCTGAGACACAAAGAAAAATCCAGGCCGACCTGGGTGATTTTCCCATCCCCCAATGAATTCCCCCAGATAAGCTATATACAGGTCCCAGGAAAGACACTTGATCCGACTTTTTCCACACCTTTGTTCATCTTCAGGAAATTTATTGGCTACATCCTCATAGTTCTTGGTTTCTAACCTCGTCATTATATTCCCCCATCACAAAACTTCTGCATGACTCCAAGCCTCGACATAACGCCGAGGCACGTCGGTCATGGCAATGCCCGACTTGCACACAAAGTGTCGCTGGCTGCCACTGCTTTTCGACTTTTCCAAGGCCTGCATCAAGCTCAAGGCTGCAGGGCCAAGGGGTAGGGGGTTCAGCGATTTGTGTAGATGGTTATGGGAATCAAACATGGGAAGCTGGCCAACAAATGTGAAAATCAGCCATGAGAATCTAGCGAAAATTTGGGATATCACTAGTCTGGACATCGTTCAAAAAAAAAACAAAAACGATCCCAAAAAATGGAGAGGTGTGGAAAATGGCTCATTTAGTTCGATGATCTACCTACAAATGGGATTTTCCAGAGCTAAATTAGCAAACGGTAAGTCATCTTAAATCCCCATTAAAATCCATTAAAACATCCATAAATCCCAATGAAAAATCCCCATGAAAAAATTGTCCCATTAATCCACAATAATCCACATGAATCCCTATTACCCTCTGGTAAACTAACATAACTATGGAAAGATCCACCATTTTTAATGGCTAAATCAACTATAAATAGCTCATTTTCAAGTTCGCAAACTGTTAGTTTACCGGGTAAACACGATGAAATCCACCATTAAACCACCATGACTTCGCCAAGGCCCAAAGGTGATGTTTCTTGGATCACATGAAGCAACTGGATATCTCTACCATCAGAAATATCCAGTCAATGTGGTTATAATTAATGTGATTAATGGTGAAAATAACAACTGGTTATAAATATCCAATGGTGAAAATCATAGTTAATGTGGTTAAAACATGTTAAAACAACAATAAACCATCCCCCAGTCATCACCATGAATTGATAGGGGCTATAAACCATTCCCAGTCATGTCGGTGATAGGAATCATCCCGAAAGTGATCAATCCTTGACTTACTGTGTTTTTGTGTGTATATATGGTGCAGCGTTGGCCACCCCCCCTCCCCCCCCCCACCAATGGGTATGGGTGGACAGTATCGTCTGGTTCTTCTGGCCCCCCCCTGTGGCCTGTGGTGGTGGTATGGTTCTTCTGGTCCCCCCCCCGCCCTGTGGCCTGTGGTGGTGGTATGGTTCTTCTGGTCCCCCTCCCCCTGTGGCCTGTGGTGGTGGTATGTTGGGTATGTTGGTATGTTGGTATGTTGGTATGTATGTATGTATGTATGTATGTATGTATGTATGTATGTATGTATGTATGTATGTATGTATGTATGTATGTATGTATGGAATGTAAGGTAAGGTAATGTAAGGTAAGGTAAGGTAATGTAAGGTAAGGTAAGGTAATGGTATGTATGTATGTACGTAGGTATGTAGGTAGGTATGTATGTATGTATGTATGTATGTATGTATGGAATGTAAGGTAAGGTAATGTAAGGTAAGGTAATGTAAGGTAAGGTAATGTAATGGTATGTATGTATGTATGTACGTAGGTATGTAGGTAGGTAGGTAGGTAGGTAGGTATGTAGGTATGTATGTATGTATATACACCACCACAGGGGCATCATACCCCCCCCCATCCCATGGGGGGGGGGTGGGAACACGGGACACGGGACCATATATATATATTATACATATGTCATATATGTACACATATCTATATATATATACGTACGTACATATATATATATATGTCTGCAAAAAAGATATGGCTACCGGAGTTTGCATTGATGATGATGATGATGATGATGATGATGCAAGGCTCAGTTCCGCGGGCATCGGGTCGGGACATGCTTCCAAGCATGGTTCCAAGGCCATACAGATACGAGATGAGGCCCCAATCCCAAGAGCTAAGTTGATCTCAAAAAAAGAAAAGCATAGCATTTTTGGGCTACCAATATGTCTATTTAATTGGTCATTGTGACTGTTCAAGCCTTCAACCATCCAATTTTCAGCTCAACAATATTGAGATCCCCATACGAGGTGCTGCCAGTTATGTAGAAGTTGGTTTATGTTCACCCATCCAGGTATATTATATATAGTTCTGTCACTACCATAAACAATCCATAAACCATATTTAAACTAGCCATTGTACTATAAACCAATTTAGCTAACGATTTGAACATTTAGCTATTTGGAAAACCACCACAGGTATATGTTGTATCCTTTGAATCATATGAACTGTGTTCAAGTTACCCGCTAAACGTCGTCCCACATAAAAACAGGCCTTGTCAGGGATTCCCAGCTCAACCAACCGGGCTAATGGGCAGCCATTGTTCCAATGGCTTCAGCGAAAACGTTTTCACGTTTAAAACTTCCCAGGAGAATCTGTCCGACTCAATATTCCCAAAGGTCGTTAGTTATCATTCCCATATGAATATTGTCGTTAGTTCTATTCCCATTGAATCATGGCAGGGGGAACTTAGTTAAATATGATAAACTAATTCTTATGATAAACTAATTCTTCCAACTGTCGGTTATAATTTATTTCCCACTAACTAACCCATATTGCCGGTTCAAACCCATGGAAATAACCCAATTAAACTATCAATATTATTACTAATAATAACCTAATAATAACAACCATACTATATAATCATATATAATCATCAATTCACCATTCATAACCCAATTATCAAAATATATTACCCATTTACCCTCTGGTAAACTAACATAACTATGGAAAATCACCATTTTAAATGGGTAAATCCACGAGAAATGGCCATTTTCCATAGCTATGTTAGTTTACCGGAGGGTATCCATTTATACCAACGCCTGCCGCCGAGGCCCCCAACTCGCCTCCTTCCACACGAAGCCTTCCACCACGCCCGAAGAACCACCCTCCGTCACAGAACCCTCCAGGAAGATCTGGTCGTCGAAGGTGGGGTGCCGTGGACCTGGAGAATTTTGGCGATGAAAATTGGGATTTTGCTGGGGAAAACATGGGGAAAACATGGGGAAAATTGCCAAAGTTCATCAAAGTTCCCAATTTCTACTGCAACTACGAAAGACATACATTATCATACCTTTTAACTGTTGGTTAAACATTTTATTGAATCATAATATTTCTGTTGCGTCTTTCATTCGCATTCAACAAAAACTCTGTGGATCAAAAAATACCTTTTCATTCTTCAAATAGGAAACGAAAACCCTATTGATGGTTAAATCACATTTCCCCATTTTCCCTGGGGAAATCCCCATGTTTCCTGTTTAAATCCCCGGGGGCTCCGTGTGCCGCCTTCCAGCAGCTCCAGCAACTCTTGGGGCTGCAGCTGCCGCAGCGTCGCCGCGGCGTCGTCGCTGCGGTCTTTCAGGTTCACGGGGGCCACGCAGCGGACGATGGGTTTCTCCTTGGGTCGGGATAATATATAGAAAAAAGAAAGTGAATACACAATGGCTATAATATGGCTTTTTTTACTAGATGATCTTCCCAAGAGCGAGATTGTTCTCGACTATTTTATAAGCCCTCAAGGTGGGATCAGTCACATGGCTTGCTGGAAGATCCACCAGCCATCGTTCGATGATTTTCCCAGGTATAAATGTCCATTTCTAGGGGAACTTGACTTATGGGATATTATATATATATGTTATATATATATATATTTATCATTTATACTTGTGTTATATATATATATATGTGTGTTTATTATGTTTTATGGTTTATCGGAACTCAATTGGAAGTTGACTTATGGGATTCAATGGTCCATGTTTATTGGAGTTAAACTTGATGGGATTCAATGGGCTGGGAATGGCTGGGACCTGGGATGGAACTTGAGGGGAACTGTGGTACGGTTGGGGTGGGAAATCAATGACTGGTTGGTGGTGCAATGTGCCCATCTTGAAAAATATGAGTTCGTCAATGGGAAGGATGACATCCCATATATGAAATGGAAAATTAAAGTCATGTTTGAAACCACCAACCAGATAATGAAGTAAACAAGAACTAACCAGACTGACTCACTAACCAACTGACTGACTGACTAACTACCTAAATAATCAATCAAGTAACACGATTCACCAACTAACTAAAATCGACCAACTAACTAACCAAGCAACGAAATGACTCACCGATTGACTAACTGATTGAAGGACTGATGGTTAGTAAATGGATTAGTTAATGGTAGTTACCTATGAATAGGCAATGGTTAGTCAATGGTATCTTGGAGGATATAACTGGCTAGGGTATCACTGATCTTCGGGCACTCACCCAGCCTGCTGAGAAACTGACTGACTAACTGACTGACTAACTACCGCCGGTAACTAGGCAGTGCTTAATAAATAGCTCGTTCTTATCGCCGGTTGCATTTTTAAGGGATATCACTTACTGCTTCTCGGAACCACGTGGGACTAGGAATGATTTCTTCCTCTCCCAGGAATGGCGTGGTTAATCACGATAGTTGAGGAACATCTAACTAGTACTGTCACCATATAGTAATCTACTATACTTGGTGACAATGGTTATTAAGTGCAGTCAGTATTATAGTCAGCTATGTTGATTTGAAGATGTTAACTATACTGAATGGACACAATGTAGTGTATATATAAATATATCATATATATATATATATGATCGACAAAAACACTATACTAGTATCGTTTGTGATTGATCATCCAAGTACATTGGCAAGCATGTCAGTTGTGGTCTGTGGATACTGGGATGGTACCAAGCCGAGATTTCCGGAGGTGTGGCTGAATTCCGTGGCTTTTTCCCAGAATTACCGGTTGAAAAGGGAAGGGTTTTCCCAGCTAAATACATGATTTATTTGTTATAGGGTTATAGGGTTTCAGCTAAACCTATTTCTTATCTATATTGTTATGCGTCTTATTTATTTATTTGTGTGGTCACGTAGTCCGTCAAATCTTTCAAAAAAGTCCTGCTTGATACAAACTACCTGCCACCAGTAGACTATGTCTATTGGCTACCAAAAAATGGGATAACCCCAGGAACAAGTAGTCCATTGCCAAGGATGCTCGCTTTTTTCGGCACTTACTAGGATGATCCTCAACTAGGCAACGGGTTAGCTTTCTGGCTAAAAACAGCTATACCATCACTTCAGTCCATGAAAACCACACTGAAATACAATGATCGAAATGCATCCAGTTTTTGATTGAAGCAGCTGAAATGACTGGTGTGTCATTGATTGCTGGAAGTATATGAATCTTCAACAATGGAAGTGGCAAAAATAGCGAAATGGCCTGGCGGAACGTGTGCATTCCTATGACAATGGATCAGAAATAGATGCTCCGCACCAGAAAATGCCGTCAGGATTGGGAGTATAGATTTACATCAAAATGCCATCTACATAGAGAGAGAGAGAGATAGATCAATTATATTGAATACATGGGGCATACATACATAGTACAAAACCAGTAAATCTATCTACATCTACATACATACATATGTGTGTATATATATGCCATAGCTGTATTCATCAATTTGCTCAGTAGAACTGTCGCCAACCTTCATTGGATTGGATGATTGGGTGGTTGTAACGGTTACCCTCTGGTCATTAAACATAGCGAACTGGAAAATCACCATTAGAAAATGGGTGCATCATCAAACTAAATGGGCCATGGCTTCGAAAACTCTTAAATTACCAGAGGTTGGTATAGAAGTATTTGTGCAAACTACTTGCTGTTGAGAAGAAAAAATACCAGAGACTACCCATCAATGTATATATATACTATTTAATATATATATATGTACCAACTTTCAGAACAATCCCAGCAGATTCGGTTGACATGGACAGCAGCGGCACCAATGCTCGTAGCATGACATGCAGACAAGGTGCCTTTGGTTTCAAGAAGGAGGTGCCCTGATTACCTCAGTTGAAAGTGTCGAAAGTTGATAGCAAAATTGAGGTTAACCCATGGTGACATCGCAGATGAAATCCCTTTTTTTACCTCCATGGTTTTACTTCTATGAATGGGATATCAAGCTCCAATAAAAGCAGAGACTCCTGTGAAACAATCATCACCCCAGGTGATTGAGCCATGGATCCAAAGTGGCTTCCAGTCATTGCGGACCAACTCATCCCTGTTAAGATGAATTGGCTGACATCGTAACATATGAAAGTCATTTGAAAGTTGGAGAATATTACGATAGTAAGAAATCAAATATCCACCATCCACCGTTGCTTGGCACCGTTTTTGTTGAACTGAATCGACCATCCACAGGTCCGTGCTTTTTGCACATCAAATATTGATCAACCTTCCAAGGTCCGTCCCAGAAATGGCCACTGCTTACAGTTTCATCATCTCTTGGATAAGATGAATCTATTACAGTATGATGTAATATGATGTATCACTTAAAGATTGGTGTCATCATAAAAGTATGATAATAAAATCATATAACCTCAGTATTTTTTTCACTGGATCATAATCTCAGTATTTTTCATCTATTACAGTATGATCATAATCCTGAGATGATCCTCCCCATCTCGGGTTTGAGTTGGGATCGGCAGGGCCTAGCCCACCGAGATTCGGAAAAAAACGCACGCGCGAAAAAAACATGTCTGCCAGGTGTGGCACAAAATTCGACCATGGGCTCCAACAACATGGGATGTGTTGTCTTAATAAATATGTATCAATATGTAGACACATGACTATTTATATATCTATATATATATACACACACATATTATACATATATATATACATACGATATAATCTGTCTATAGCTTTTGCTGCATTCAGCGATGGTTTTTTGGATCCCTCCGAAGATCCCATCATTGTGATCCAGCGACCTTTCACAGTGACCCAACCAGTGCTCCCATCTTTCAAAGCGCGACAACGCACCCGTTGGACTTTGGCCTGTGGGAGAACACATGAGTGACACCAATTTCCCAGAACCAAGCATCATTACCAATTTTTTGTATCCCCAAAATTGGGATACACTTCCATAGAGGATTAAATCCCGATATTTTTATTATGGATTTAGCAATCAGCAGGGTCAATCGTTTTTGCGATCTGAGAGAGGCTCCATGAGCCGAAAAGCAGTATAACTCGGTACTATCGTTCCTTGACCAAAAAACAGTTGGTTACCCATTGCGTGACCAATCAAGATCACTCAAGCATTTAGATATGTATATTATATATATATACATATATATATATAGACATATATATATAATTATATATATACATATATATATAGCATATTATAGCATTCTGTTTATGATTTTATAACCACACCACACGGATCAAGGCTTTCAAGGCTGCTTGACATTCCGGTGCCTCATCATCCTCTTTGGAGCCTTCTAAGATTTCCACGTTCTGCCAGGATTGAAAAATGCTCGGTGCTGGGTGAACGATGCAACCTCTTGAAGGCTGTCATGATGAACTGCGTGAATATCATTGATTTGTATGAAAATATCATTAAATCATGATTTGATGTATCAATATGGTTAGATACAATTAGTATATCCAATATCAAATATATGACCGAATAATACGATAAGTATATCAAATATAACTTAACATCAGAATAATCATAGATCTGGGCAAATTGCAATGATGAACACATGTCTTTCTTGGGTCATAAGATTGTTGAAAGATATACAGCGTACATGTATGCCTACTGGTAAATGTATACATACAGACAGTATGTATCGCGTGGTAAAATGGAATGCAAGCGTGTACCAATCAAGTGGCTATCACATATTTAAACAAATCATGTTCGAAAATCGGAATAATTTCTCATGTCTTCTCTGTTTCCAAAAGACATATTTGACATAAACAACATCAAACAGCCAAAATAAACCATATGTCTACTTAACATCTTTAACATCAAACAGCCTTAAAACCCAAAAATCCAATCCCCGGGGAGGTTTCCTCACCGATGAGGAGCTTGCGAATTCTCTGCGAATTCTCGATGCTGAAGCTGGAGGTCATGGTCACCTCCTTGGAGCAGACACCATATTCCTGAACCTCGAAGCACGCCACACCCCCCGGGCCCCAAAAAACTCCGTTTCGGGGTGGAAAGTGGTCCATGTCACGGTCATGATATCTATGTCCCCAAAGTGGTGAAACATGGTGAAAAATGGTGTGAAAATACGAAACCCTAAAACTGACCTAAAATCAGTGTCAATAAATCTTGACCCAGAACCAATCATCACCACATGTGTCCGAAAATGGAGTATATGATCAAGAAATGCTATTTAACAGGGAAAATGATGTGCAATAGTTCAGTCAAACCCATGTCTTTCTTTTTCAAGATTGCTCCAGCAAATGGGTATGGGGTCTACTAAACCATCTTTGGAATAAGGGCGGAAAAACTGGGGTACCCGGGTATTGAACCATCCCCAATCATAAAAATACCATCTGGTAATTAATCAAATATATAATGAACGTGTAATGATCAATCAAACAAACCTGATTTACGGCCAGCAAACTGATGTTTCGCTCAATATGTGGAACATGTTTTTTAAAAAACTACCCCAGTACCGTCGGATGGCATTTGGCCAAAATGACCAACATTCCCAAAAACTCGGTCCGGGTCCAACAAGGAAAAAACACATCCATACCTATATCATATAGCTTACATTGCTTAGCAATAGTGATCAGAACATAAGCGCAATGGTCATCATGATAAAACAACTGTTTTTCACATCTCTCATTATGTTTACCATACCCATCATAATCCAAAATCCCAAACTTTCTGACATGTCAGACCCAATTGACAATCCAATGTATAGATATGTGGTTCTTCTTGAAATTGGGGTAGTTTCTACCCCCTCATCACCATTGGTGTCAGGAACCATGACCAATTGGTCAAGTTTCTTGGGTGAATCAGTTCATCCCTAAAAAGATCAAGGGCTGAACTAAGGCTGAGTCATAGGTAGTTTAAACCCCTACCGTAATATGTAATATGTATGTAAATATATATGTAGATACAGTCATCCTGGACTCTGTTCAGAACATGGAAATGAAAAAACAATCCCCCACAAAAATGGAAATATGTTTGAAAAACACACACATATTCTATCTACTTCAGGATGACTAGATACATGTGTATATATATATACATATTATAATGATATGTATATTTAAAATTATATGTTTATGTGTTTATATGTATATGTGTATAATGCTATATGATATATACATATATATATTTGATTGACTTGGCTACAAACTCAATTTGGACTATATTTTTTATTATATATATATATTATATTTTATATATTATATTTTATATATTATATTTTATATATTATATTTTATATATTATATTTTATATATTATATATTATATATTGTATATTATATATTAAATATAATATATTAAATATTATATATTATATACTATATATTATATATATTATATATTATATTATATACATATTACATTATATTATATATATATTATATAAATATATATTATATATGTATGCCAAGCAACGGCCTTCAAGAAGTTGATTTTCTGCATCCCAAGCTTTCCAAAGTCATCGAAGACCATCGAGGCCTGCTCCTGGCTGACCTGAGTTTTTCCGCGAGCCCGAAAAAGAAGAGATGGATTTTTGAATCTGGTGAATATCATGTGGATATCATGGGATTATCATGGGATTATCATGTGAATATCAAATGAATATCATGTGGAATATCATGTGAATACCCTCTGGTAATTTAACATAGCTATTGAAAATGGTGATTTATAGTGGATTTTCCCGTTGAAAATTATGTTAGTTTACCAGAGGGTATCATGTGGAATAGCATGTGCCTGAGGTCAAGGATGATTCGCCAAGAAAGCCTGGTTGGTGGTTGACCAATCCCTCTGAAAAATATGACTTCGTCAGTTGCGATGATGACATTCCCAATTTATGGAAAAAGAAAAAATGTTCCAAACCACCAACCAGATTGGAATTTCGAACATGACGTGAAATATCGCTATTTTTGATATAGTATGGAATAAACTTATGGAATAGTATTGGGTTTTCAGTCAACCACAATGGACAAATAAAGTCGGGGTGGTGCAATGTGTCTGTGGGATTAAATTGAGTGTCAATGGACCCACCAGATTAGTTATGTCTTGTACATTTGCCCGTGTTTTCGGGGGCAAACAATTTTGAGCCAAGCCACTTACAGAAGAACACTCCGATTTACGGGGTGTCAGCTTTCAGCAAAAAAAACACGGGTCTAGTTCTGCTCAAGAATTTAAGTTCGATCCTCTTGTTGCTAACGTTGGGTTCCCCCTACCTGTTTTTCTGGCAACATCCCATGTTATATTCCCATTGATATCATTTAATATCATTTAATATCTCCATTAGATATCCGTTATATGATATCTGGTTGCTGGTATACCTACCCCTCTGAAAAATGATGGAGTTCGTCAGTTGGGATGATGACATTCCCAACTGTTTCTGGAAAGTCATAATCCAGTCATGTTCCAGTCACCACCAACCAGCTTCTATACATCATTATACATCATATTACCCGGCCTGGTAAACATACAGAAAACTGATGGGAAAATCACCATTTTATAGCTGGGTAAATCACCATTTTATAGCTGGGTAAATCAACTATTTCCCAACCAGATATCTTGTTGAACAAAAACATCCCCTCAGTACATCCGATAGGCTGCACCCGATGCAGCAGCCCAGCAATGTCCACCAATGCCCATGTCTTTTCATCATGTTCCCCCTAAAATGCTTAGAGATCGGGGGAAAATCCAGCATCATTCCACAAATGTAAAAAACCTTCATTGAAAACATCATTAAAACAAATCAAATCTATGGTTTTGATTTACAAAATCTGTAAATCTCCATGTTAGCTCCTTAACACTCCCTAGTTTTGATGGTAAAATCCACCACCTAAACGCACCGCATCTTGGCGGCTCGACTGGAATGTCGCCGTGCCCCTCGGGCAACGTGGCAACGAAGCTCAGGAAATCCTCCTGGAGGGATATTCTCTGGATATGGAGAAATATATGAAGAATGATAGGTAATGATGTCATTACAGATGTAATCCAGAAACAAAGAATAGTATAATGGAGAAATATATGGAGAATGGACAGGGATGGAGAACATCAAATATTTGGATAAACAGATGTAATGATGCTGTCATGATCTGGGTATTATGTGTACATATAATCTTGTTTTTGATGTTTGAATCATGTATATAATTGTTCTATCCTACTTCTGTATGGTTCTTTCAAAGCCATCCCAAAAAATAGGCTCCTCCATTGGGATCATTATCCCATTGTTGGGGTCCTAACTATGCCATAGGATCGCCGTAGAAAATTATGGAGCTGGTCATAGGCCCGATGGCTCATGAGATGTTTGTTTAAAATTGGGTACCCCATTCCATCCAGTGGTTTATCATCAATTCTCCCATTCAAATTGCTGGAAATTCTGTTCATACATGCGTATACTAACAATGTTCAGAGCCAGTAGAAGACATCCGTCCCTTCTGAAATGCCATCCCATTCAGTTCCCACTGAGTCTGTCAGTTGGGTTCATCAGGGTTGCCAAAGTCATGGGGGTCACCCTAAATTCCCTAAATCATCCATTGTTTTTTTTGGATTGTCCATGAAAGCAACCAGCACCTTGGAGATCTTGCTATTGCCCCTGGCCACACGGTCAGGCGTCAAGTGTGTCAATATGGCCGGCTAAGACATTCACATTCATGGGGAATTCATAGCAGATCATCGGGAAATATGGGAAATTCGCAATAAATATGGAGCTCTAGTTCGCTGGGAAAATCCAACTCAAGTCCCATGAAACCAACCAGTCATGATTCTTTTTGGGCGTGGATCAAGAAGTTGCTGCCAGGATCCATCCAAATCCCAGAGATTTGAAAATCTTTACCGATTTCACCATTGTTGGTAAGCAATAAGAATATCCACCATTGGAACGGCCAAAAAAAAGGTGAAATATCCCCGTTTGCACCCTGGTGAACATCAAACAAGTAGCTGGCAAGTGAACATCATCTGCCCAGATCTGATACCCTCTGGTAATTTCACGTAGCTATGGTACATCATTTCTTTACCGGGTAAGCATCAATAAATTTATAAATGGACCATTTTCCCTATTAGTGTCAAATTACCAAAGTGGTAAAGAGATGATTACCCTCTGGTAATTTAACATAACTATGGAAAATCACCATTTATAGTGAAATTTCCTTAGAAAAATTGTGATTTTCCATAGCTATGTTAGTTTACCAGAGGGTATTATCATTGGTTTTGACACATCCCCGTAAAAATATCACTATCCCATCGCATGATGCTCGTTGGTCGACAGGTTTCCCTATGGGTTAGTTATCACAGTAATTATAATCCCCAACTAAATTAGGTCGTAAAATGTTATACCCTCTGGCAAACTAACATAGCTATGGACAATCACAATTTTTCATGGGAAATTTCACTATAAATGGCCATTTTCAATAGCTATGTTAAATTACCAGGTAACTCCCTATTTTAACCAATCAACCAGGTTTTTTTTCAATGGCTCATGCAGCTTTCGAATTATTGAAACATCCACGTGAAATTGGGTTCAAGAAACCTCAAAAGCTCTGCCTTGCCTTTCTGACACGAGCGGTTGAACAATTGCTATTTAGCCAATGAAGAATGGTTTATATGATGAGGATACAGTAGGATAAAAAGGTTCCAGAATTGATTTGAGGGAAAATTTGCCGAAACCCCCAACCAATTTGAGTGGAAAAACCACTTGATTCAGCGCGTCGCATGTCCCATTACTTCCACATCAAAAAAAACAATTTTCATTGCGAACTCGCATAATGTTGCACCAATGTCCAAAACTTAAAAAACACCAGAAATGCACTGGTGAAGTCAACACATGGATGGGTCCAATTGCCTACGAAATTACCATATGTTTGGGGGAATTACCATCCTACCAGCTATACCAGCTATGACTTGTTGGGTGCCATCCGGGTACCAAGGTGACGAAAATCACCGACATCATTACTGGATGAAACATCCCCAACTAAGATTGATAAAGGGTAGAAAATCACAATTTTTTGAGGTGGTATGTTTACCATTTCCAGTCATGGGTAGTTGAAACATTATTGTTTTACCCACATGAAACTAGAAATTGGATGAAATTGGAATGGTCGGAATGGTTCTAAATTTTAGTTCACCTAATCCCCGAACTCATCATATCAACCCTGCCACCCTGGGCGTATCTCGCCTGGCCACTTGTTGAAAGGCCGCGTCCGGTGACACTTGGCTCCGTCGGAAGGCGAAACGCAAGGACATCTTGGCGCTGCGGAGATGCCTCCGCTGCACCTGAACAGTCAACTCCAGTGGATGATTCTAGTTATTTTATTTTATCTAATCATCCACTATGGGAAATTTAATAATGAGAAACATCCTATGATTTAATGTTAATGTTATGCCCATTTTAATGTAATTGAATATGATTTAAAATGGGAGATCATCACTGATGTTTTTGGTGTCAACACCAGTAAGAGGCCATGCGTGTGTGGAAATTTTGGGTGTGGGGGTGGGTGGGGGGTGGGGCGGGGTGGGGTGGGGTGTTAACGTTCATTGCGACTGCAACCACACAGTACGTTCTCTTGCACTCCACACATACGTCTTGCTACGCTGCTGCACGTTCCCTTGCACTTCCACGCATACGTCATGCTACGCTGCTGGACGTTCTCTTGCACTTCCACACATACGTCATGCTACGCTGCTGCACGTTCTCTTGCACTTCCACACATACGTCATGCTACGCTGCTGCACGTTCTCTTGCACTTCCACACATACGTCATGCTACCCTGCTGCACGTTCTCTTGCCCTTCCACGCATACGTCATGCTACGCTGCTGCGCGTTCTCTTGCACTTCCACACATACGTCATGCTACGAGCCAGAACAGCTTGCTATGCGGATGGTTGCAAAGCTTGCACAGGAGCCACCAAACAAGTGCCAGAAAAAAGCCTCAAATGGCAAAACTTTGCCCACAACCGCGGTGAGTTTGTGAAGCACTTGGGAGGAAGCCCACGAAAAAGAGTTCTTTGGCCGGAACACAGACTTTAGACAGACAGTGGGATTGGAAAAAAACACGATTCCCCGGCAGTTGAGTACTCATAAAGATTGCAGACAAGACTTCAGAAGAAATTGGAAGTACTTGTATGCTGCAGTCTGGCGCAAGAGCGTCAAAGGCAATGTCCTGAACAACCTCGGACAACTTTGTGCTTGAAAGGAAAAAAGGAACTTTTCGGCGAAACCCTCGACGAACAAAGCTCCTGTTTCGTGCTTGTAAAACACTAGATTTTCCACTTTTGAAGCGACCCTTCCAAGGGATTTGCACCAGAAATTTATTTCAGGAATATAAACATGTATAAATTACAACAGTTTCGGACACTTCCCTCATCGTCCTGGCACTGTGTGATGTCATCACCGACACGGCCTCTTACAGATGCTGCTACCTTTTTGCTGATTATTGAATGTGATTGAAAATGGGAAATGATTTGAAATCATCACTAATCTTGGGGTTTTGAAGATTATAGTCTATAGTTATTGAAAATGGGAAAGACATCACTTTATTGCAGGATGTTTTTGGACGTTGACTATCAGAAATACATGGGGGTATGATGCCAAATTTCAATAGTCCTGCTTTTGGGGTAAAAAAGTTCAATCTGAAAAGGCAAAGGCGCCCATACTTTTTGAGGTACTTGTAAAGGGCGGATTGTCTCTGAGATGTACATCACAGTTTCAAAACTGCATTAAGCGATTCCATAATGAAGTGACTGTATCCAAATAACCAATTTCGCTGGACAAGTCTCTATATAATAGTTGGCCCAACCAGGCTTATATAGATTAAGGCTCTACTCACACCAATCACATGTGGCAATCCAAGATTTCGGCAATCGAAATGCGGGCAAAACATTACGCGAAAAACAATTGAAAACAAGTACAATTCAGACTGTCACAAGGGCAAGGGTATTTATTTTAGGGGGATGGTGGTGGTGGTCAAGAAACAGGAGATCCAGGACTCAGGTGGTGGCGTTTGGCAGAGTTTGGCCCCATCGAAACTGTTTGCACCGGGTGCAAGAAATTGCTAAATCTGTCAAGGCCTGATTATGGTTGATGATCATTACTGTTTTCTGTTGGTATGTTGGGATTTACTGGGTTTTATAGTGGTGCAGAATGGTTGATCAATTCTTTGACTTATAGGTTTTGGTCATCAAAAGTATGAGGGATAGAAATGATGAATGATGGCTGGTTGATGATTGCCGGAGTATACTACCCTTTACCTATTGGGGATTATTCCACTACCGGGATGAACCAACCATTGCTTTAGGGATTGCAACAGCTTCTTGACACTGCTCAGAGGGGTTCAACCAGTTCAACACTGGAGCTTCGCCAATCGAGAACGGTGTGTATACGGTGTGTATCACACAATCATGAATCATGAACATATACTGTAGCCTGGTATTTCATGGTATTTCCATACAACAATGGGGGGAATATATGGAATATAACCATGTATAACCTACAAACAATGGGAGCTGAAGCAACTAACTAAGAACAAGTTGACTCTGATATCCATGGGGATAGATGAGGACGTTCATCTCAGTGTTTTGTGGTACACTTGATCACATGTTTGCTTGTTGGGTTGAACCAGGTCCATTTCCACGCATACTGGATCAACATTTAAGAAAAGACAGAAAAAAACATTGTGACACCCAGTACTGGCATCACTTAAGATTACCATCTGGTTATTTAACATAGCCATGGAAAATCACCATTTCTAATAAGTAAACCATCTATAAATGGGCCATTTTCCATGGCTATGTTAAATAACCAGAGGGTAACTTATATAGGTCCTATGAACGGCTCGTCAATTTCTGCTTCCCAACTTTCCATCATGTTCCAATGGTCTGACGATTGTTTGACCCCTCAAAAAACCCATCCTCAGGGTTCCAGTAAACTGGGTCTACTGGTCATTCCCAAACAATAAACAGGATAGTAGAAGCCTCCTCAATCAAAAATGATCATTTATCAATTTTCTTCTCATATGTTTCATGGTTCCAGCCCTCCCAAAAGAATGATGGTGTTACTTTAAGTTCCATTACTGTATATATTCAATGTGTTTCTCTGAAAATAGGAGACCGATGAAACATTGCTTGTCTTATCATAATGTTCTATGAGTTTGGGTATCAGTTGCCATATGTTGCCATGGCAATTTTCCATTCATTTTCCCTATTTCTATTTGTCATGGCCATTTTCCATGTGGATATCCCCAATCACCCAAAGGTCACTACCCGGAGGGTCCTCAAAGGTGGCGTTCCAGTGGGAAATCCCCGCACTACATGGAGATGTTTCGAATATATCTGGGAAAATCATAGGAACTTATGGGAAAATATCAAACAAGCCCCCAACAAAAACGGTGTTTTCAGTGGGAATTGTGTAGGAAAATCATCGAAGTAAATGGTGGATTTGTGGTTGCCAGGTTTGACTACTGGGCATCTCCATTCTATTTGTTAATCAATTGAAGCCGCTTCAAGTGTTCAAGTTATTGCAGCTCATGCCCATCGCAGATGCATTCTTACTAAGTTCATATACCTTAATATCCATTAACCATATCAAGCCGCTTGTCCATCGTATTCTATCCTCCATGTTCGTTTATCTCCACATGAAATCCATGGTGAACTCCACCGAACTTCATGGGAAATCCCAGCAGATCTCCCATGAAAATCCCATGGGAATTTGCCATGTCATCCATGTCCAACGGCAAACTCACCATTCTCCTCTTGAGATTTCCATGGTTTTCCATGTTTTCCCAAGTCAAAGACGATGAAAATCATGAAAATCCAGAGGTTTCGGGCCCTGTCCACCTGCTCAAAGCTGCTGGAGATGCTTTCATGCCACTGATCGCCTTGGAGGTCCAGTGAAACCATGGAAAAACCACTGGGGACCTCCCATGACTTAGGAAGACCCCATTGTATGTGTATGTATATATACATATATATATATATGTAATATATGTATACATATTAGATATATACATATTATATATATGTGTGTGTACAATTTTCTATACTGAACATACGTAATATATATATATATACATAATATATAGATATATTTACGTGGCCATTCAAGACATGGACAATTAAATGATATTGTCAACCCTTTTTATGCCATGGGGATGCAATGGGATTCTTCCATGTTCTATGAAGATTTAAGAAATGGGAAACTGCATCACCAAAGTACAGTAAGGAGGTTCATCACAAACTGGAAGGATTTTAACGACCAAAACATGTTTTGACTGACCCATCACCCTGGTAGTTCACAACCAAGCCAAGCATCAACCGTCGCAATCAATTTGAAAAGTGAAAACTGTGGGACAATTTTGAGAGTGGTGAGTGGTGAAAGCACAACTCGGGATGTGTCACCCAAAAAGGTCCAAAAGTTAAATTGCTCCAACATACTCCAACAATTTCTATGTAGTTCTACGTTTAGACCCGGAAAAAACGCATCAGAATAGTTCGGCCATTTGATCAGCTGTGCATCCCAGATTTCATCCCATTTGATCCGGGATAGTCCACTAATCATGGTAAATTATAATGATTCCCTAACCTGAAATGAAATAAGGCGAAAAAATTGGGGATGATTCGCTTTACTAACCATGATTCCAGGCTTCGGTCACAGTGAGGTTGTTTGTTTATATATAATACATCATCCGTTTGTAGATGGATTCTCCATTAACAAACCATTTTCTGGGTCGCCCCATTCTGGTTGGTGGTTGACCTACCCCTCTGAAAAATATGACTTCGTCAGTTGGGATGATGACATTCCCAATATATGGAAAAATAAAAGTCATGTTCCAAACCACCAAACAGCGTTGATGGCATAGGCTAAAAATTCACCTTCTCCCAATCCAAATCCGCCAGAGTTGCTACGTTCTGCCGCAGTCTTCAGCACAGCCTTCAAGCGGGTCAAGGTGACCCGCACCTGCCGAGAAAAATGGTGAGTTGGTTCAATCCATAGATGATTAATGGTGATCAGGGGATTATGGTTAATGATGGTTAATGATGGTTCAATCAAAAATGGATGTTTTCTATTTTTGACCATTTAGACAGTGGGGCGCGGCACAAAAGGTGCACAAAAGTCTTTTCTTTTACAGGATCCTGGGAGAATATCCTGGCAGAGTTAGCATATCCGATTGGGGGATGAACCATGGCACAAGCGACAGAAATTGACATATGTCATATAACTATATTTACAGCTACCAAAAAACACATGGTTGATTGATGGTTCTCAACCCAACTAAACCATGTTTCAAAGGATTGACACCAACCAACTAAGCACGGGGGTGATATTCAAGTTAAAGAACAAGAATCAGATTTATCGAAACAATGCTGTGAAAAGGTGGACTTTTGTTGCAATGGATAAGACTCTATAACAGGTGGAATCCTACCAGTTCCAATGTCTGTTGGGATGTACCTAATTCCATTAAATTCTATGATAAAACATCTGTTTTTTAAATTGCAAGTATTACTTGGCCCCAATTTTCATTAATGGTCTCGATTGTTAATACCTGTTTACTTGTTTAAGCAAATCAATACCATTAACACCAGCTATCAATTGTTCAATGGTCCCAAGCAATCATCCATTTACGAAGCATCTTTCGTTTCCTGGCCTGCAGCATGAAGCGTCTGGAGCCTGCCACTGGTTTTTGTTCAGAAGGCCAGGGCCATAATGAAAAAGTCACCCAATGGGTACGGCTTATAAGGATTTATAAGGTAGATATGGAGGTTTCCTAAAATGGGGGTACCCCCAAATCATCCATCTCAAGAGGATTTGCCATTGTAAACCATCCAGCTATTGGGGTACCACCATGGCTATGTAAACCCCCAAGTTCATGGGAGAAGGTGAGGCCCCCATAGCCAAGTTGACTTCCAATTCACTCAATTTCCATGTAACTGGGGGGGGAGCCTCACCTTAAAGCCATGTATATCATGGGATATATGTCTGTACTTAATAGGGGTTTTATGGTTGGGTCTAACGTTTTTTTTTTCCGGAGCTACCAACCACAATGGGTACCCAGTTTTGGGACAAACCCATATCTGTAGTTAATTTTGGAGTTAAGTGGTATATATATATATAAGATTATATAGGTTGCAAACCAACTCAAAATTGATGTGGCTTTGGTACCCTGAAAATGGGGTACCCCATTCAATTTCCTGATGAAAATTGCCATCAGCTTGGTTCTACATACTGACAATCCCATGGGGATGAAAAATAGCCGGAATTTCAAGGTTGGAGGCGGCCATGGCAGGATTATCATATATATATATACATACTTGTATATATATATATATCTTTATTGATCATTAATTTGTACATATAAAATAGTATGAAATCATATCAAAAGAAATGAAGACAATGCTAATCTTAGATACCCGGGATAAATTCATCACGCTTTCAGTTGTGTACTGGGAGAATGATCTTCCAATTTTGCGGAAATACGCAATGTTAAGCAATTGGTCAAATCCCTATGATGGATTAAGTTTTCAAATCCTTATAAAATCCCATTAAATTGTATCGAATCCCCGTACCCATATTTAATCCCTATAAAATATCATTAAAATCCATATCAAATTCCAATAAAATCCCATCGAATCCCTATAATATATAATTCTTATCCATATCAAATCCCTGTAAAATACCATTAAATCCCTATAGATTCTCATGAACATCCGTATAAAATCCCTATGAATTCCTTATCCAATCCCATTAAAATCCATGTAAAATTCTTTGATTCGGCTGTTTCAATCCCACCTCGTTCGATATATCCACCAAGCCAACAGTTCGCCTGACTGCCTAGCTACAAAGGAAGTTAGTTGGCTAGTTCGTATACCTAACTGGTTGGTGGTTGACCTACCCCTCTGAAAAATATGAAAGTCAGTTGGAATGATTATTCCCAATATGGAAAAATAAAAGTCATGTTCCAAACCACCAACCAGCTAAAATTCCTAAGATATCTCGCAATCTATGGGGTAACAGCAAATCTAACCAGCTCTACAATATCCAATAGTCTACTAATCTCAACTAACCCATTCTGGTCGCCCCCGGCCTCGCCCCACACGTTCCTCCGCAAAGGAGCCTTCGATCTCCTTGATGGTGGCCTTTGCGATGAAGGACCAGGAGTAACACCTATACCAGGGGTTATCTATATTATATATAATTATATATAATTATATATATACATACACTATGTATATATGTAATTAAATATTATATATACAGTATATAATGTGTGTGGATAAACATATTATACTGTATTATATACATAGGTACATAGATAGATTTCAGCGTGTAAGCGGGTGTGAGGAATATGTACTTAAAGATACTTCATACAACAGCGCAGCCAGGGAATTGTAAAATGTCTTCTGTCGAGGCGCCGAATCTCGCCATTACCACATCAATTCTCTACGACATTCACAAGGTCCCTAAGCAAAGTTCCCACCTTTGCTGTGAAAAATCCCAAATCTTTGGCATCACAAATGGTTTTGGATAACCACCACTGTCAGTTCAAAAGCACAGTTTCATCAATAAACTGATACAGTATTGAAACAACGGACTTTCAATGTCTAGCTTTCATTGCCAAAGGGCAACTGCCCATTTTTTTCCAGCGATCGATTTCCGCTGTTTAAAATCCCCGATGCTGAAAGTATGGGATGCAATCCATATTTCTGTTGCTTAAATGCCCGTTCTCCATGCATTCTATCCGTAGTTTTTGTTGGGGTATTGATGGTCCCCATGGACCTGTGTAGAAATTGTCCATGATATATAACTGGGAAATGATGATACCCTCTGGCAATTTCACATAGCTAAGGTATAGATGGACCAATTGTTCGATGATTTACCTGATAAAAAACAATTAATATAAGTAGCAGAGGGTATATCCATAGAATTCTATTGCATTCCATGATTTTACCATGCAAGACTGAGGCATTTTCCAGCCACCTAGACAGGGGCACCTGGGCACTCTGCACCATGTCTTTGGCACTTTGGCTCAGTTTCATGAGAGCCTGAAGCACAGAAATCTAGGAGCCCTTGGGGCCGCGGCCGGGTGTTTCTTTTTGTTTTAATGGCTATAACATCACCTCCGCAACTATGGATAAGAATGGGATTTTAGCCTCAAACCATGGGAGTTTTAGTGGGGGTTGGAAGCCTGGAGCTTCCGAGGCTTTGACAGCCACTTGGTGGGAGCCCAGGTCTCCGTTGTCAATAACCCATACATAATGTATAATGATGGTCTATCTGGGATATAACATATGAAACTATGCTATATATATATATGTGTAATATAGATCATGAAACTATGGTATATAGATGTATATGGATGCGTTAATATAGTCCATATCTGGGATACGCATCCAAGCACTGAGCATCTGAGATCAAAAACAGGCACTGCTGTTGGGATTTTGAGTTGAAGACTGAACATCTGGGGAAATTAACCAGCCGAAATGAGGATCCAACCATCAACAATAGGACTTTAATTCAGGTATCATGAAACTGGGTTCTTCAAAAATGGATGCCCAAAAAAATGCATGGATGGGTTCTAGATGATTATAGGGTACCTTTGTGAAAAAAACAAAAACCCAATGATCATGAGGGGTGTAATTCAGATAAGGATAGCAAACGGGGATGATCAGCAACAAGTATCCGACAGGAAATATGTCTCTCAGAGAATGGTTCTTGTCCATTTACCAGCTTGGATTACAAGAGGGCAAATGATGATTAGGTTTCTGTGGAAAACCCAGTCCGCAACTTTTTTAAGTGGCTCTGCTTTTTCATAACCCCCTTACCTGGTAAGTCATTTGCTAGATCGGGCATGCTTCAGATACATGGCTTTGGCACCAAAATCCTGGGATTTCATATGGGAATATCAGCCATGCTGGATTCATGGCTCAGCCAATGGTGATAGCCTCTGGTAACTTAACATAGCTAAGTTACCTGGTTGGTGGTGCAATAACCATCTTGAAAAATATGAGTTCGTCAATGGGAAGGATGACATCCCATATATGAAATGGAAAATAAAAGCCATGTTCCAAACCACCAACCAGTTACAGATGGACCAGTAGTTTGATGGTTCACACGGTTTACCTATGAAAAATGGTGATTGTCCATAGTTATGTTAACTGATATACCAAATGGTATCACCAAGGCATGCCTGAGATTACAACCTCCCAGCAACGGACTGGATTTTTAATGCCTATGACGATAGCCATGATAGGTCATGATAGGTCCAAACAGTCCCACAGCCATATCAACCATTGCATACGAATCCTCTAGGTCAACCATTGCCTGTGTCGCGTGTTTGTCTATGGACTGTCACCTAATTCCCTCTGGCAATTTTTCAGTTTGCCATGGAAAATGGCCATCAAAATAAGAGGTCATTAAAGGCTCAGGCGCTGCCGTTCGCCCAAACTCTGAACTGTCCCGACTACAGTAACACCTGGTCCCAACGCAATCCACATCTTCAATTATTGCAATGATTGAAGATCGTCAATAAGGGATCAAATCCCCCACCCTCGCTAAACTTTTACACCGATTGAAGATCTTCAATCCCGTTACACTTTTACGATGATTCAAGATCTTCAATAAGGGGGTCAAATCCCATACCCCGGTAAACTATTACATTGATTGAAGATCTTCAAAAGGGCAAAAAAGGGGTTGTGGAAAAAGAGTTTTCGAAGACGGTTACAGAACTCTCAAATAGCAAAGCCTTTTTCGATCATGCCCAATTCCATGTCAAGACATATTGAGACAGACATTTTCTACGGGAAATACCCTCTGGTAAACTAACAGTTTGCTATTGAAAATGGCCCAGTCGAAATAGTGGATTTACCCATTAAAAATGGTGGATCTTTCCATAGTTTTTGGTATGTTTACCAGGCCGGGTACCACGGCTTTGGCCCTTCGTCAAGACGTGATTCACGTGTTGCATTCCGGGCCATTTCCGGAGACTCCTGGCCTCCATGTCTGCTGCCGGCATATCCTTCATGAACTCTACAGAGCACTCCTCCAAGAAGGGATCTCTATGTTTCAAGGAACTTGTCGCT